CTCAGTGTACAGTAATTCACCCTTTTAACTCCCTCCTTTTAATTTTTTCTTTTTGTACCACAGATCTCCCTGCAAATGGAGGAGTGACTTTCACTTGAGGACCATTTCAGCAACCCAAAAAAAAAATTATATATTCTAAACCATCTCTTTATAGAGCTTGGTCGAGTAAGTAAACCCAGATCTTCTTCTTCTTCTTCTTCTTATGCTTTAGTTGAAGAAAACCCTAGCTAGCTTAGGTGGAGAAAGAGAGAGAGATGGGGAGAGGGAAGATTGTGATTCGGAGGATCGATGATACGACGAGCAGGCAAGTGACCTTCTCAAAGAGAAGAAAAGGGCTGATGAAGAAGGCCAAAGAGCTGGCCATTCTCTGTGATGCTGAGGTTGGGCTCGTCATCTTCTCCAGCACTGCCAAGCTTTACGACTTCGCCAGCACCAGGTAAATTCAATTTCGTTCATTAAAACTAGTCATTCCTTTTGGATTTTTATATGCCTTCAACTTCATTAATACTCAATTGATTTGCCTGCTAATGCCTCCATTTCCCCCTTATTGTTGGGAAATTAATTCCCAATCCTTAAGACTACTAAACGTAGATAGATCGGAGATTTAAGGAAATTTATCTCTTGACCAGCTACTCTCGATACGTATGTACGACTAAATTGTATCACAAGAGTAATTATTTTGGCTTTTTTTAATATTCTTTCTTTTTTCCTAGACGTATTTTGCTGGTTAATTTGATCCGTTCGTAATGAAATTCACTCAACTATACCAAAATCGTTTTTGGACAGACACACAAGAAAGATTTTTCCGGTAATTACTTAATCATGATATAGGATAAGAAGGTGATTTGTATTTAGTTCGTTATGGATTGTGATAATACTGTGCAGATGGCTAGATTTGTAAATCATCGCTCTCCTACAGATTGACTTATTCATTCTTGCCTAGACATAGTAACGGGTAGACTCTTTGGGTAATTGGACTCATATGCACTTTTAGTGATTTTGGATTTGTGTTGGATTTTAACTGCGTCGTATGTTACTCAATTCATTTAGTTAGATCTAAAAATGGGTCTAATTGGGTGTAGATGATTCTATACACACAAAAAATATATACTAATAATTTCATTAACTAAAAATAGGACCAAAATTATATTATAATTGAGTACACATTTTCTTTTGAACTTCCAATATAATGGGTCCAATTTAGAGCTAAAATGAAAAATTGGGTATGCGTATGCCCCAAAAGTAAAATTACCTAAACTTGATTGGACCCATAATAAGTTGGGTTTAGCAATACCCAAATATTGGGTCCTTTTTGCCATGCATTTACATGTAAAAATTCAAATAAACTCTGAACTAGTTTGTAAAGCTTTAGTTCTTCTCTCCAATAGTCATGGTTCAAATCTCTCAAGTCTATATTTATTTAGCTCATTTCATTAAGATTTCAGGCTCCAGCACTAGCTATGAGTAGACGTGTTCAAATGGATACTATCGTAACTATCAAACCAATTAACCCTAAATTTTACTAACTATGAACTACAATGCCTTAACCAAATCAATCAAATTCATTAACTGAAAGCTCATTGGTTAATTGGGTTAACCAATATAACCTAACATGATCATTGCGAGTATGCGGGGAAAAAATTATCTTCTTAATTCATCAATCCATAATATATATAGTGAATAAAACTAGCATGAGCTTATTGTTAACCCTTAACATAAATACACATAACTAATATAATTAGCCTACAATCACTAGAAGTAGCCACCTATAAAAAGTATATATCAATGATATGAGGTAATGAATTGGGTATATTTGTGTGAGTTGTTATAGTCTCTCAGTCGTTATAAGAGTCTGAAAAGATCTTCTCTTTCATCATTTCATCCAACATAATGTTTTTTTTATCTAAATTATGAGCCATATGTGGTTGCTTACCTTCTAAAGAACAAAAATAGTATAGGTACATTCACGAGATTCTTTTTTTTTATGGGTTCATAAGGGATGAACATTTGACTTTTGGGTATTAATGCGTAGTATTAGAGTACGAGATATTAAATATATGAATAATCACCTGATTGATAAATTGGTTTGATTGGTAAGCAATGTCGTGGCTATTTGAGGCAAGGAAAGAAAGACTAGAACCAAAGAAGCTAAAATCAAATCAAACCAAACTAAATATCCAAATTAACTAAACTAAACTATCTAAATACCGTCGGTTAAAATGATTATCATGATAACCACTCCATTTGAATCCGTTCAAATACCACAATTCATCCCAATAAACTCATGCTATTAATTAAACAATTGATGGAGTTTAAAATCTATTTTTATTTTTAATTCATCTACTTCCTAACATCCATCCGCCAAACGACCCATATATGGTATTTTGGTGCTATTAGTGATTGATTGCCCTATAACAATAAGAAGCAAAATCAGACAGGAAACAATCTCCCTCTTCTTTCCAAATGGAAGCACAAATTACTTGAAGAGAGATCTTGTAGCCTAACAAGTAGTAGCTCTAAAAGGCATCTTCTGCCATGTCTCTCAGTGTCTTGGTAACAAATATGAAATATGTTAGCATGTTTTTTTTCACCCTGGGACAGGACAGAGGGCAAGTAAAGCCGAAATGCAGCTTCACGTTCAAGCATGAGCTGATCTATAGCACTATGCACCAACTTAGTATTTTATTGCAGACTCTGCAAAACCCTAACATTTACCCAATATGATTTCTGGGTTCTTCTTGCATATATGCCAGCACATGTACAATGAAACTTGTATGCCATGTTTTGACCATCAGCAAATTAATTACTCTGAGCTAAATTTCAGGTATAACTATAATTATACGTGTTTCATCATCAGTCCTTTAATAGCATTTAGAAAACCTAGATGCAGTCTGTTTCTTTCTGAGATCTCAGTGATCAGATCGGTCCAAGGCAATTTGGTTAACTACTGCTGTCTCTGTCTGTCACAATATTTCCAGCTTGAAATCGGTCATTGAAAGGTACAACAAAGCCAAAGAGGAACAACAACACCAACTGTCAAATTTAACTTCACAATTCCAGGTATGCATGCACTATCTAGTACTAATTATTGATTAATTCACTCCATGGTAACAACTGGAAGCTTATTGTGTTGTAGTAATTAAAACTTATCACACCCTAAATTGAGACTGTAATCTCTTTTTTTTTTTCTTACAACGTTACTAGCTACTGGTATAGTGGGTGGGTAGGGTTGGCTATTTGTTCCGAGCTATTTGGTTTTACTCGAAACCGGACCGGGACCGGACCGAAATCGGATAGCAAACAATCCAATCCAATCTAATCTTCGGGTTTAGATTTGAGGTAAAAACCGTGTGGGACCGGATCGAAAACTGGAGAAAACCGGATAAGAGAGCCCAATACCCAAAACTTAACGAACTCCTCACCCTTTGAGTCCTCAGGCAACTCAAACCCCCACAAGCTCAATCTAAAATCAAGACCGAATTAGTACCGGACCGGATCAAGGCCGGACTGTATCCAAAAATACCGGACTGAAACCGAATCAATTCGGATCAATTTAACCGGATCAGACCAGTATATATAGCCACCCCTAATAGTGGGGATAAGATGCAGTCTTTTCATGTTCACCCACGAGTTAATGCGTGACATCTTTTTGATTCATCAAATATGCATGGAGACGTATATACATACTGACTATATTATATTTTAAAATATTGAACAATATTTCCCAGTTTTGGCAAAAAGAGGTCGAAATTTTGAGACAACAACTGCACAACTTGCAGGAAAATCATCGGTATGATATTTTTGTTCCTTTTGAATGCTAAAAAAAGAGTGATATTATTTTCTATGACCCCATGCATATGCACATGTCTGTCTATTGGCAGCAAATTTATGGGCCAACATCTTTCTGGATTGAGTTTCAAAGACCTACAAAGTCTAGAGAAGCAGTTGGAGACCAGCCTGAGGTGTATTCGAACAAAAAAGGTCAGCAGCTTCCTACATTTTACGAATTCAAGCACGTACGTGAAAATTATTTGTATACGTGACAATTTCCAATGTGGCAGGAACAAGTTTTAACAGGAGAAATACAAGAGCTAAGGCGAAAGGTGCACCACCAAATTTAAGGCTTTTTTTCACACTCTCTTTTCATATTAGACACGATTGGTTATTATGTCAGCAGAAGTCTGCTCATTATCATGCATATATTAATTCTGCTATACCTGATTTGCAATTAAGCACAGGGAGACCTCATTCATCAAGATAATTTAGAGCTCTATAAGAAGGTCAACCTCATAGGCCAAGAAAACTTGGAATTGTACAAGCAGGTAGCTAGCTAGTCCTCCAAAAACTGTACTAATACATATCCTGGCCAGAAACCAAATTAAGGATATGATGCAGTACTGATCATCATCCTTAAACTTTGTTTTGGATGAATTATTGAATGTTAATTTTAATTAGGCCTTTTGTCTTTGTTATATTTCAGGCATATGGCACAAGAGATAATGGTGAAACTCAAACAACTCCCAACTCATCAGTTATCTCGTTTAGTTTAAGTATTGGAGAAAACTCGCGCATCCCCACTGGTCTGCAATTACGCCAACCAGATGAACAGATTTACAATACTAGTGCACACATGGCATCTGGCTAGTGGGAAATCTGGAAATTTGAGACTTTATGGTGTGAACCTGATCAGGTGGTATTTCGTGATGATCATGAATGATTGTATTTAGGGATGGCAATTACTCACCTATGGATAATTATACCCAAACCCAAGTAGATTTATTGATAATGGGTAGGGTATGGGTGAAGTATATATGGGTTACAGGCTTTTATATAATAATAAAAAGCAATGTTGTCAGAACCGAACCGGAGCATGACCCGGTAATGAGAACGGCTCGCACTTTAGCGGTCCAATCAGAATTAGACCGTTTAAAAATCGTTAGAGAACCGGTATCTAATAAACGTTATCAGTATAAATAGTGGACATTTCTTAATCAGAGCTCATCTCTTTCCTTCGAAATTGTGAAATGGAAATAAGGATTCAATTTGAGAGTCCGACGTTTTTGGTTTATTTCAATTTTCAATTTTCTACAATTTTTTTAATTAAATTTAGTGGCTGAATTTCAAAAACCGGACGAGCGGCTCGATCGGCTCGAACGGCTAAACGCCTCGGCCGCTCGCCAACCGCTACATAAAACCGGAGCGGCTTTAGACTGTTCTGAGCCGGTTTTGTGACCGGGTGGCGGTTTTACAGGTCGGGCCGAGCGGCTCGGCTCGGCTTTAATAACACTGATAAAAAGTATATATGGGTTTGGGGGGTTTGTAAATGGGTTTGGGTTATATATGGATATTCCTTCCATAATCTAAATGGGTATGGGTAGGGCATGAATATCCATTTATTTGATGGTGTTTTAACTGCACATACAAAAATTGGACCTATATGTAAAACTTAAAAAAGTTTAGGTATCAAAATATAAGGCCAAAAAAATTAGATACCAAAACCTAATTTTCCATCGATATTTTGAGAACTTAAATGTAAAATTGGTACTAAATTTGTAGATCAATTAAGTTTAGGTAACAAACTGTAATTTGCATTTGGGCATAGGTACAAACCCAAATCTATGTATTAAAAATCCAGCCCAACCCAAATATATGGGTGTGGATATATACCCATCAAACTCTAGGAAATTTTCCGGATATACCACACAAAAACTAAATATTCCAAAAATACCACCAATTTTCGAAAAAATCCAAAAATACTAACATTTTTTAAAAAAGTCGCGGCCCCCTATGGCTGTTGGAAGGTAATTGATCCGGACTATGCTGGCGCAATGGATCAGGTGCTTCGGTTCACATCTGGGAAGACACATGACTGCCGACGTGCCCGCCTTCTCGACATGTATTTCTGCCTAGTGTCTCTTTACCTGGGGCCCATGTATCTTCTTTGATTGATCATGGATCTCGCAATTGGAAGGTAACTCTCCTCACCTCTTTATTTGATGTGTATATGGTCCAAATTATCATATATATTCCTCTTTCCATCTTTCCCGTGTCTGACCATCTTGTGTGGCACTACAAGAAACCAGATGAGTACTCTGTTAGGTCAGGATATAGGGTGACCTTTGCTAATTATATTCATAATTCTTCCACCATTCCTCCGATTCTTTATTCTTCGGCTTGTAATTTGTTATGGTCCTTGAATGTTCCTCCTAAATTACGTTTTATTCTCTTGCGTGTCATTAAAGGGTATCTTCCCTTAAGAGATATACTTAGAGAGAGAATTAATTGATGATGAAGATTTTTCAGGCTGTAAAGTTCCCTGTTTGTGAGTAAGCTCATGAGACTTTATTGCATTCGTTTATGCACTGCATGGTGGCTGTGGATTTTTGGAACCATGTTGGTTTTAATCATTTACAGATACAGGTTTACAAAATGCATGTATCTATGGACTGGCGGTGGTTATTTTTTCATGCAGGTATTCCCATGGAAGTTCACAGTCGTCTAGTCTTTGCATACTAGCGCATTTGGAAGGCTCGGTGCTCTACAACTTAAGATCATGTCCAATATCTCTCAACCACCATGGTGTGACATTTCCAATCTCAAGTGGAGGAATGGTCCTCTACTCAAGCAGCTTTAACCTCAAATAATCGTCATGCTACTGTTCCTCCTGGGATTCACAGTCACACTCCACTTCCAATTACGTCGAGTTCCTTCTTTGTCCACTTTGATGGTGCTACGAAAACCACTGTCAGGGAGGAGTTGAGTTCGTTGGTTATACAGGACCAACCGATATTCACTTTTCGTTTGGGAAGTTTTACGACGGTTTGGATGACACATTCATCATTGAGCTCATGGCCCTCCGGGATGCCCTCCGGTGGTGTCTTTCTAAATCGATCTCTAATGTCTCATTCTGTGGTGACACACAAGTGATCATTCAAATGATTAATCATAAGGACTTAAGCCATGCTTTGGGTGGTAGCCTCCTTTTAGAGATTCAGGTACTCCATTTCTCCATGCAACTTGCATCGTTCCACTTCGCTCCGCGTAAGTACAGTAGAGTAGTCCATGTCGTGGAGAAACAAGCCCTCTCATCGTGGGATCGCTGGTTGGTCGACCATCGACTCTTCCTTATTTCTTCTTTGTAAAATCATATGAGTTCATATCAGCTCATACCAATATCATATTAGTTCATCCCAAGTTCATGTCATTCATATTAAGAGTTTTGAAGAGTTCCTTTTTCTTTACTCAAAACATAGCAAAATGGATATCAATGTGTAGATCGTAATTAATGCGTTCTTTCTATGCTAAATTTTTTAAATTCGGAGTTAAAACGAATTCTGTAGAATTGGATTAAGAAAAATAGAAGATTAGAAAAAAATGCATTCTCGCCTCTCTGGATATGTGTCAGGGTATCAGCAAAAAGAAACCCAGGAATGGTGCAGTTACCAATCAACCCTCCTTTTTGTTTGTTATGGATTAATGGAGACCATCAAATCTTCTATGGATCGAATGGATGAGGATTGAGTTTTGTAGAGTTTTGTATTTTATGGTTTTATATAGAAATCGCTCATGTTTTATAATATGTTTCGCTCCGCTTTTCTTACAACGGTTTAACAATTAATATTTATCAAAATATTTTAGTAGAAAAAGTGTCTAATTAGCCTAGGATGTTACCGATTAGAGAAAAAAATCTTTTTTAAAAAATGTATCGCCACATTAGGCTACTGCTGAGAAATTAGTACGAGGAGGAAAATAAGAAGAAAAGGGGGGAAAATGGGAGGTGGGAGCCAGGAGCCGAAAAAGGAGTGTGGCAATAGAAAGCGCGCGCAAAGAGTTGAGCGGTGGAGTGGTGGTGAGAGATGAGAGGTAAGTGGTAAGCGATAAGAAGCGCATCATCATCATCGACAAAGCCAAACAACACAACCCACCAAAAACCTGAAGCACAGGAAAATCGGAACCCAAATCCAACCGAATCCACAAGTTTCAAATCATCTTCTGCCACCCAAAACCCTTTGCCTCTATCTCCTTGCTTCCTCGCTCGGCGCTGCTGCCAAGTGAAAAACTAAAGAGCAATGGTGATGGCTATGGCTGCCAAGTTTCAAATCATCTTGAAGCGTCCTACTGTTCTTCGTTGATTCCGGATTATGTATCTTGCTCTCTTTTTTGTTTGCCTTCTTGTGTGTTCATTTCTCGGCGTTCTGTTTACTTTCTACTTTTCATTGGTCGCAATGCGTGATAATAACTTGTCTATGCATTTCTGTGAAGGGTCTGGAACTCATACCCTCAGAGAACTTCACTTCTGTGTCAGTGATGCAAGCAGTTGGATCGGTCATGACCAACAAGTATAGTGAAGGGTACCCTGGTGCTAGATACTATGGAGGAAATGAGTAATTCTTCACACTCTCTTGTTTTAATGTTGTGTTATCCTACCAGAAGTATTGTGGTTGGCTGCTAATGTCACTATCATTAGTAACTTTTCATGGTGTTATGCACAAACATACTCAACTTCAATACGTCTTCTAGTTTGTATTTTCTATGGGACTTAGCATGATGATACCTCTGATTGTCAGGTACATTGACATGGCAGAGTCCTTGTGTCAGAAGCGTGCACTCGAAGCATTCAGGTTGGATCCTGCAAAATGGGGAGGTATATGCAGCTGTTGACATAGGAGTTCTATGAGGGTTGAGACCATAAATGGACATGAGTAGTATCTTTAAGCCATGTGGAATGCTCAATCAACTGAGGTTTCTCAACAATTATGTTATCAGTGTTTGTGACGTCCATCTCCCCTTCCATCTTGTAGTCAATGTGCAGCCTCTATCTGGTTCTCCTGCCAACTTCCATGTCTACACTGCCTTGTTGAAACCTCACGACAGAATAATGGCTCTTGATCTTCCTCATGGTGGGCATCTTTCGCATGGTTACCAGGTATTAACATTTCCATCATACTTTAGTTGTCGTAATTCTATTTCAACCTTACATCTGTAATAGTTGAATTGGTTTGAGCATGTTGTCGCAGTATGTTATGCATATAAGGGAGAGCTGACTTATTCCCTTCTCTTCCATTGTGCAGACAGGCACCAAAAAGATATCTGCAGTATCAATATTTTTTGAGACAATGCCATACAGACTGAATGAGAGCACTGGTTACATTGACTATGAACAGGTATCTAATTTCTACTCCAAATTAATATCGTGCGATCTCCATATGCGTTGGTTCCTGGGTAGAATAATATTTGCAGACATTTACCAAACTTTATAAAATTATGATTGGAATCTCACATGAAAAGTTATTCACTGTAGATGGAGAAGAGTGCCGCTCTTTTTAGACCAAAATTGATAGTGGCGGGTGCTAGCGCATATTCTCGTCTTTATGATTATGCATTCATTCGGAAGGTAACCTCTTTCACTTGATTGCTGGTATATCCAATTTAGATTTGCAAGATCTTGTAGTTCTTACATGTCATTCTCAACGTGATCTTATATGTGTTTCCAATTGAATATTGACAGGTTTGTGACAAACAAAAGGCCGTCTTGTTGGCGGACATGGCTCACATTAGTGGGCTGGTTGTAGCTGGTGTGGTCCCATCACCATTTGATTATGCAGATGTGGTTACCACCACAACTCACAAGTCCCTTCGTGGCCCAGGTGGAGCCATGATTTTCTTCAGGAAGGGAGTTAAAGAGGTCAACAAACAAGGAAAGGAGGTGTGCATCTGAACATCATTTCTGCTAGATTATGTGACGAGTTGATGTGTTTTTATGTTTATTTTTATAATGAACTAAATGACATGTTTACTTTGTTTCCATCAAGGCGTTGTATGACTATGAAGACAAAATTAACCAAGCCGTCTTTCCTGGACTTCAAGGAGGTCCGCACAACCACACAATCACTAGTTTAGCAGTCGCACTGAAACAGGTGAGCACTCTAGAGGCATATCAAATGTCAAGACCCCAAAACATTCTCAGAATGTATTTCATATCTGCATTTCCTTATCTGGTTTTGCTAAATTTGAAGGGGAATGGACTCACAAAGGAGTGCAAAGACTGACCAATCACGTCACTAGCATTCTTATTTAATCTACTCATTCACACTTTATGCAGGCTACAACTCCAGAGTACAGAGCTTATCAGGAACAAGTGCTTAGAAACTGCTTCAAGTTTGCTGAGGTACAACCAAATGGAGTCGGGGAAAATAGTCACCGACAGATTATCATGAAAACATATGCTTCGTCTGCATACGACCTGAAAATTTGAAAATGACGTTTAATCATAGTGCATTAATGTTTTTGTTTCCTTCATGCCTTGTATTTCTTCTTTTCCAGGCTTTAGGGGAGATGAGATATGACCTAGTTTCTGGGGGAACTGAAAACCACTTAGTTTTGGTGAATTTGAAGAACAAGGTAATATAACTTTGCTTTTTCTTATTTCGATATTGCGAATACAGTTAGTTACGTTCAAGTAGACAATCTGGTCTATGACATTTCTGGTTTTGTTATAATCTCCAGACCCACTTAAATGGCAGTGTACTAACTGCATCTTTCGGTGTTTCTGTTTATACAGGGTATTGATGGCTCCAGGGTTGAAAAAGTGCTGGAGGCTGTTCATATTGCTTCAAACAAGAACACGGTTCCCGGGGATGTGTCTGCCATGGTTCCTGGTGGCATCAGGATGGGTAACAGCTTTCTCTTTTTTCTATTTTGTGATCTTTTCCTTTTCGGGTTTGAGATGGTTAAGGGTCTCAATTGTTAACAGGGATGCCTGTTTTTACTTCACATAGCGTAAGGTTCATATGAAACCATTCTCTTCACAGGAACCCCAGCTCTTACGCCTAGGGGATTTGTTGAGGAGGATTTCGTGAAGGTTGCTTACTTCTTCGATCTTGCTGTTAAGATTGCAGTGAATATTAAGACTGCAAGCATAGGTCTGTAAACTCCCCCCATCGATCTTACACTACATTGTTCAATGGCTTCAGTTCATTTGGGTAACATCCATGGTCTGGCTTGGCTGCGTAATATTCTTTCGAGCAATGTGCGCTATTTCATTCAAGATCTCGACTCTTCGCATTCATATTATTCCTGTGACTTCTGGAAAAACCAGGGACAAAGCTGAAGGACTTTGTAGCGACAATGCAGACCGCCAATTTCCAATCTGAGATTGCCAAGCTCCATCTTGATGTTGAAGAATACACGAAGCAGTTCCTAACAATCGGCTTTGAGAAAGAAACCATGAAATACAAAATCTAAACAAGGCGCAGGTTAGAAGGGTTTGCCATGAGGTTCTTATCTTCAATGGAAGTAAAACAAAGGGATCTTACATCGAAGTCATGAAGCATTATGTATGAAGATGTAAATGCTGGCCTTTCTTGTATTACAAATGCCTGTAAATCCCCGAAACCAACCTCTGTTTTATGTCTATACTACTAAATACATACAAATGAAAAGCTAATTGGTTGGTGCCCAATCGCAAGAAAGAATAAACGTGTGCAACCCTTACTTCACTCTGAGAAAGTTTTAGTTTACCGGAGGTGGCGGGTCAAAGTGTCGAGATAAGTACACTTGTGTTTCAATGTGCAAGATGCCATGATATGTGAGAATTGAAAGTTGAGATTACTTTTCTGATAAATATCCCTAAGCCTGTTTGGATAGAAAAAAAAAACTAAAGAATTCTTCCATTTCTATATACTATGTTTGGAATGATGAGAATGTTGAGAACTGAATTTCATTTGGTCTAAAATTTGGGAATGTAATTCCTATCGAAAGTGATAGGAATTGAGTCAATGGAGATGGAATTAGTGAGACCCATCAATATTTAATATTATTTTATTGATCCACTATAATTTTACTCTCTTTTTCTCTCATTCATATTTCATTTCCCAAGATAAAACAAACATATTACATTATCTATTATTGTTAAAAGTGCAATTCATTTCCATTGTTACAGGAATTATACCAAACACTAGAATCGAAAATGAAATTTTATAAAAATGAAAAATGAAATTCCATTTCCTTTTCCATTTCTTCCAGAATTGTATCCAAACAGGTTTTTTTTATGTGAAAACGATGTCAATCATTAATTGTGATATGATAGACAGGAAACCTCATGAATTTAAAAAAATCATTAAGTATTCAAAATGGCTATTATGAGGCGGGTGCATTCAAAGTGAGTACACCGAAGACACCATCATTTAAAGATATATATATATATATATATAGTGGCGTCTTCGGTGCACTCACTTTTTTGGGTGCATTCATTGCACTCACTTCATAACCATCATTTTAAACATGCGATTCATGTCAAAATGATGTCAATCATCACTTATGATGTCAATCATCACTTATGATGTGATGAACAATAACACACATGAATTTGCACAACAACCATTGAAGATTTACTTTAATTTGAAGGATTTAGAGTTTAGAGATTTAGGGTTAGGGTTTACAATTTAGGGTTTACATACCGTTTGATATAAATGAATTCCATAAGTTTTGAGGAATTCATTTTCAAATGAAATTTTTTTGTGTTTGGTATTTAAAAGAATTCATTTCCAATTCTAAATTTTGAATTCTATAGAATTGGTACTAGTTATAGCAATTCCGAGGAATTGACATTGAATTTCCAAATGAATTCCACAACTATTTACTAATTATAATAGAATGACATAATTATCCTTTTTATTAACTAAATTACTTACATATATGACATACCAAACATAGAACTTCATTTGACAATGAATTCTACGTGACAATTCATTTTATTTTTAAAGATTTGAATATGACATACCAAACAAAAGATTTCATTTGACAATGAATTCTACACGGTAATTCATTTTACAATGAAATTAATTCTTAATTCATTTGGTACCAAACGATCTGTTAGGGATAAAACTCAAAATCGAAAATATAGGACTCAGAGTAATTCACTAATTAGTTGTTATCATATGGTATATCATTGTATTACACTAATTCTACCAATTAAATTAAAATTCTACACTAATAACATATTTGAAACTCGGTCGAGATGCTCACCCAATCTACTTCCACCTGGCAAAAAGTCAAAAACTCTGTATTCGTTTAACGGTGCAGATGACCTGTCCTCGGCACGATGCAAAACCCATTTTTCTTCACGGAACACCCACAATTATCTCCCCGTCAAAAAAATCTAAAGCGGCCGAAGGGGGAAAAATGCGAGGAACACGAGCAGCAGTACAAAACGTTTTAAGAGTCCTCTTGCTGCTCAGCACTCTAATGGCGTCACGTTTCTCGCTCTCTCGCTCCGTTCACCCAATCCTCAAGCGCCCGACTCGCTTCCTCACTCACTCTCCCCATTTTGCCCCCAGTCCTCCTCTTAAATCCCGTCCCTGCCCCCTCTGGTCCGCTTCCTTCTCCTTCTGCCTCGCTTCCTCTTCTTCTTCCTCCTTCTCCCCGACTTCTCTCCCCGTCTTCTCTCCTTCCCAGTCCCCTCGCCGCTACGCTTCATTCTCTCCCCCTCCTTCCCCGCCGTCTGCCATGGCCGCCGCCGTCGCTGCTGCCGCGGATGTTGAGAATCCTCTTCTGAAGAACTTCGATTTCCCTCCGTTTGATTCCGTCGAGGCCGATCATGTCCGTCCAGGGGTTCGCGCTCTTCTCAAGCAGCTCGTAAGCCTCGTCTCACTCTTTTTTTTCTCCTGTTTTTCATTTTTGAGTGATTGTTCGATTAAATAATTTTTTGAGCTGCGCGAATGTGCGTTCAGGAGGATGATCTGGACGAACTGGAGAGGACCGTGGAGCCGACTTGGTCGAAGCTGGTGGAGCCGTTGGAGAAGATTGTCGATAAATTGAGTGTTGTTTGGGGCATGGTTAATCACCTTAAGGCGGTCAAGGATACCGCCGAGCTCCGGGCTGCTATCGAGGAAGTTCAGGTGAAGTGGGAATTGAAGATGTATCCAAATGAATGATGATCAATCCGAAACAAAATTCAAAAAATTTTAAATTTTATTCTGTTTGATAAATCGTTCTTACTGAATATTGTTTTGAATATTCGTCCGCAGCCCGAAAAGGTGAAGTTTCAGCTCAGGTTGGGTCAGAGTAAACCGATTTACAATGCTTTTAAGGCCATTCAGGAATCTCCCGAGTGGCAGCATCTCAGTGATGCTCGGAAGCGGATAGTTGAGGGTGGGTTTCTTTAGCTTGCGTCATCTGTAAAAGAATGCATCTTTCTACCCTTTTCAATGGTGTTGTTTACTACTTTCCATTGGATTTTGAGTGTTTCTGCTCTGCTTGTTTCTTATTTGATTTTTATTCTCTATTCTCTTACCCTAGAACTGGTTATTCCTTCTGTTCTTCATTCTTGGAGACAGGTGGATTGTGTACTTCTTACTAGTTTATTTGCTTAACCCTTGATGCCATTTGTTGTCTATGTGCAGGCCAAATAAAGGAGGCTGTCCTCGGTGGTGTTGCTCTAGACGACGAGAAAAGAGAAGAGTTCAATAAAGTTGAGCAGGTACAGTTCTTCTGTCGCATGTTTAAGTGTTTTCTCCCCCCTTTTTTGCCTCCCCAGTAGGGAAGAGTCTTGTTCAGTTGAAAACAGGAACAATTTTGCGTTAGGGTATTGCTAATGAGATATAAATTAGTTACATGTGAGGACTATAAGTTTTGTTGCTGATAACTTCCTATGAACTCTGGTTTATTTATAGGAACTGGAAAGATTGTCTCAAAAGTTTGGCGAGAATGTGCTGGATGCCACAAAGAAGTTTGAAAGGCTTGTCACGGATAAGAAAGAAATTGAAGGATTGCCTCCTACTGCACTTGGGTTGGCTGCACAGACGGCTGTATCCAAGGTATTATAAGCTGTTATTGTGAACTCTGCTTGTACGTTTGATGTCAGGCATTGGAATCTTGGGTGTCATGGCTCTGTTTTTCCTTCAAACTTACTTACCGAATACCATGATGATGTTTGACTGGTTTATATATGCTTTCTATCAGGGTCACCCTGGAGCAACTTCTGAGGATGGGCCATGGATAATTACCTTGGATGGCCCTAGTTTTATGTCTGTCATGCAACATTGTCGAAACCGTGGTTTGCGTGAAGAAGTTTATCGTGCCTACATTACTCGTGCTTCAAGTGGAGATCTTGATAATACACCAATTATTGATCAAATACTAAAGCTTAGGCTGGAAAAGGCTAGGCTCCTTAACTACAATAACTATGCTGAGGTATAATACTTTCATTTGTTGGTCCACAGCAATGATATATAAATGCTAGCTGTCCTTAATTGCCTGCTTATTACAGGTAAGCATGGCGACCAAAATGGCTACCGTTGAGAAAGCTCAAGAGCTTCTGGAAAAGCTGCGATCAGCTTCTTGGGATGCTGCAGTTAAAGGTAATGTGCCAGCATCCATAATATACCTGGTAGTGAGGCGATGTCAATTTAAGCATTATTCATCTGACCAAGTTTAGCTTTTACATTGTTAAACAATGAAGTTTAAACCTTCCTGAAAATCTTTTACTTTGCTTCTAGATTCTTTGCATGACCATTTTACAATTTTCATCTGGCTGGAAGTGAGCTTTAATGGCCTTGACCTGAGCGCTTTTTTCTTGTCATTGTAGACTTGGAAGAGCTTAAGTATTTTGCCAAAAGTCAAGGTGCTGCAGAAGCAGATGACTTGAGACACTGGGACATTAGCTTTTGGGCAGAGAGGCTACGCGAGGCAAAATATGATATCAACGAGGTGGCATACCTTTCAAGTCTTTCCTTATATGTTTAAGCTGTGGTTTGACGTTTGAATTTTCCCATTTGTGTTAATAAGTAATCCACAGGCTTTCTACCTGTGAAAGTTTCCTGCTGAGCAGGGCTTATCCCTTATGTTTAGTGTCAATTGTTCCCATTTGGCCTCTGTTCACCCTTTTTATCTGGATGCAAACAGCTGACTTCATACTTGAGTTGATGTTTGCAGGAGGAATTGAGGCCTTATTTCTCATTGCCAAAGGTTATGAATGGCCTTTTCAATCTTGCGAAAAAACTTTTTGACATCAATATTGAAGCAGCTGATGGCCTGGCTCCGGTAATCCTCTTCGCGTTGTTTTATGCTTTCCTTTATTCACTGTTTCTTTGTATGCAAGTAATAACCATCCTGACCTTTGGTGTCTTTTAGGTTTGGAATTCTGATGTTCGGTTCTATTGCATCAAGGATTCCTCAGGCTCACCAACTGCATACTTCTATTTTGATCCTTATTCCCGTCCATCTGAGAAAAGGGGAGGTGCATGGATGGATGAGGTCGTTGGACGAAGTCGTGTTCTGTCACGCAATGGTACTAGTCCAAGGTTACCGGTTGCTCATATGGTGTGCAATCAAACACCACCGGTTGGTGACAAACCAAGCCTTATGACATTCCGTGAGGTACTTTCTTCTGACATAGTTGCTCAAATCCACCTTCAAGCACTTATTTATTTTTATGTAATAATTTTTTTCTGGCTCTTGGGGATATGGTCTTCGTTTTTTAGAAGAACTACTGACAATGATAAGTTAAAAACTCATTGCCTTTTGCACTTAGCCTCGCTGGGTGTATGTCTTTGATAATCATGTCCCAATTGAGGGTTTTCGTCATGGAGTGTGTTAAGCAAGCTCAGCATGGCTTCTTATGGATCATAAGGTGCTTAGTACCAGCTTGTTTATAAGGAAAAGTGAAAAAACAGATATTCTTATTTGAGATCAGTTGTTTAGTATTTTGCCTGCTACTGCTGCTGCTTTGGGCAATTAGTACATCAAGATGAGAAATTGTGACAAGCTTTAGTTCAACGGTTGTGATGTGCTTTCATAGGTTGAGACTGTCTTCCATGAGTTTGGCCATGCTCTTCAGCACATGCTTACCAAGGTGGACGAGGGCCTTGTTGCTGGAATCAGGGGAATAGAATGGGATGCTGTGGAACTACCTTCTCAATTTATGGAAAATTGGTGCTATCACAGGTTCGATAGGCACTTATAATTTTTCATTATATGCTGACTTTATTTTATGTGGAACAACCTGTCATTTCTGTAAAAAAAAAAAAAAAAAAGGCAAGACGGTTTGTTGTGGTACTGATCTGTCCTGTAATAACATTTTGCGTGGATGAAGGTTTTCTTCTTATAAGTATGAAATCTTTTGAGAATGCTTGTTGAGCAATGCAGCGGTTGATAGTTAGGGTAATAGCAATTCAATGATTCAAAATTTGTAAAAATTGCAAGAATGATACAAGCTTATGACGAACCGCTATGTTTTATGGTTTTCTGCAGAGAAACCTTGATGGGCATTGCGAAACACTACGAAACTGGTGAGAACCTACCAGAAGAGGTGTTCTTGAAGCTTGTCGCTGCACGAACATATCGAGCGGGTACCCTTAGTCTACGGCAGGTAGTCATAATGTTGCTTGCTTGTCTTTTTATTTCTGACTTCTTATAAACATTAATGGTCAGGTGGCGGTGGTAAATTTATTATGGTTTGTGGTGAATGTAAATAATAATTTGTAGCAAGTTAGTGGATCTTTATTTCATTTACATTAATAAGATATCTATATTTCCGGTGGCTGGTGATTTAAGATGTATGATAGTTTCTATTTGTTGGGAGTATAATAATTTTTTTTTTGAAAATCTATATATGGCGACAATGTTTCGGCGGCTCACTTGTGCCTTCGTTATGTTTGCAGTTGAAATTTGCAACCACAGATTTGGAATTGCACTTAAATTATGTGCCAGGAGGTCCGGAATCTATCTATGATGTGGACCAGAGAGTCTCAAAGCGTACACAAATCATCCCACCTTTGCCAGAAGATAGATTCCTTTGTGGTTTCAGTCATATTTTTGCAGGTTAGTTTTCTTTTGTGTTTAGTGTTGAATTTTTCAATTCCATTCGTCGCTGAAATCTGTTTCCCGGTTTATTTATTAATGTGAAGCTTTTGTTGACTTCAGGTGGATATGCTGCGGGATACTACAGTTATAAGGTAAATTCTCCTCTACTTTTCGTCTTGATTCTTCTCCCTAATGAAAATGCCCTCTTTTCAATTTTGGTTTTGGCCACTGAACATGACTCATGAGTGCCATAAGGTTTTGAATACCCCGTGCAAATTATCCATCCCATATCCCTGGATTGAGCTTGTTATTCTATATTGCACTTCAACACAAGGAAATCAGACACAAACTATAACCATCCTCCTAAACTCCAAGCAGAGCTCGTCAATTTTGGGATGTCGTTTCTAACTGCCAAATCTTGATTGCAGTGGGCTGAGGTATTATCTGCAGATGCTTTCTCAGCTTTTGAAGATGCTGGATTGGATGACAACAAGGTATTAGTTTTCTATCCTTGGGTTAGAAGATACAAATAAACAATGAGACGAATGTGGTCATTGTAATTTTCCTACCACTAATGAGTCGCTAAAAAATCATTGGCAACCAGATTTAATGTGCCATCATTAGGAGATGGATGTTATTGTTACCCAGATTTTCCTACCACCACACGTCTACCATGAAAAGCACAATGATACTAACTTGTGACTGTCTCGTGGGCAACAGGCTGTTGAAGAGACGGGACACAAGTTCCGAGAAACTATTCTCGCGCTTGGTGGTGGCAAAGCGCCATTAGAGGTCAGATACTGAGAACTTATAACATTGTTGGCCGATCGCAGGGATGCAGTTATGTAAATGTCATTGTTGAATTGGTTTATACTTACTGTTGGGTTGTTTTGGTGACACAGGTGTTTGTGGAGTTCCGGGGGCGTGAACCTTCTCCGGAGGCACTACTGCGCCACAATGGCCTGTTGGCAGCAACTGCCTCTGCATGAGGTTTCATGTCGAACCAAGTTGGTAGTTGTATCTATGGAACCGGTGGGGAGTTGGACGAGAGGAAAACAGGCAATTTTTGGGTGCTTGATTCTGATTGATGGACCGGTGGACCTTCCCCCGCAGCAGGAGGCTCCCTCTTCCCTGGAAATGATTATGTTTTTGTTTTGTTATGTTATTTAGAACACGAGAACCCCGGGCATGGAATAAGACTAGTTTCACTTTCATATCGATATTAGTTGAAGATGTTTTCCAGATTTCACTCAATTTGAAAAGAAAAGAAAATGAATTAATGCAGGTACACACCACAGCTAGTATTGCTCTACTTGGGTTATTTAAACTCGAGCAATAGAGGCAGAAGCCACTATCGAAGATCGAAAGCGTCGGGGCAAATACAGTACTGGAGCAACGAGTGATCGGTGGAACTTGTATGACTAGTGGGATGGGTTGTGGTTATGCTGTGGTGATTATAACCAGGTCATGAGTGAATTTGGTGACTGCTTGACAGATTGTACTCCTAATGATTTGGGTTTTTTACTGGCTACCCATCCGTTTGTGCGGTGCAACGAGCGGGAGGGCTATGGCTCGCTTGCATGCCAATGAGTGGCAAAAAAATATATTCTTTTGATGATTCTACGTAGCCACTAGATGATAGGCCTTTGCAAGAGAAGGGGTTGGCTCCATTGAAAGTATTTACCTCTTGATTGTTGAAAAAAAAACTTCATTGATAGAAACCAAACCTATTTTTAGGGTTCTATCGATTGGGTTGGGAAATTGGAGATTGAAGGAGATTTTAGGGATTGAGAAGAGATTAGGAATAGAAATTGGGAATTTGGGGAAGAACAAGAATAGAATTGGCCTAGGCCTTAGAGGGATTAAGATCAAATATTGAGAGGATTGGGAGACCAGGGTTTAGGAGAGTTTTCTTAATATTCTTCTTATTGATTCCCTAGACGAATAACGACGTACATATATATAGGAAAAGAACCAGCAAACCCTAACAATTAACCTAATACGACTAAAAGACTAATTATCCTAATATAATAATAATTATAGAAACCGAACGAAAGTTGGTTTCTATCATGATGTTAGAAACAAGGTTTCTAACGTGTTCGGGATTGGGGAAATTAACTAGATCAATTAGGGATTGATCTAGCTAGGGATTGGAATTGGGAAATTTAAAACAAAGGGAAGGGGGAAGAAGGTTGCTGCTGCCGCAACTTTTGGGAGAGGAAAGGGAGAGAGGAAAGACGCAGGGAAGAAGGAGAGAGAGGGAGATTAGGTTTTAGATTTTTGTTATGTAATTGCTTAATGAAAATAAGACCACTACTATAGATTATATAATCCGCATAATCCCTATCTCCTACCCAACTAATAAAACGTAACAATTGACTCCCTGTTTATTTCCCGAATACCCCAAATAATCCCCCAATTATCAAAAACCGATAATAATACGAAATAACCAAAAACTGCAAATAATGTGTTTCTAACATCCCCACCTCCTTGGAAAACAACCTTGTCCTCAAGGTTGTTGTTCCTACTTCAACTCTGGCGGCCCTTCTTCGGTTGCTTCCTCCTTTGCTTCATCTTCCCAACGTCCCACCAGCATCATCAAATCTGGCTTGGTGCACTTGTGTCCCACGGTGAACCTCTTGTCACAGTTGAAACACTTTCCCTCCCTCCTCGTCTGCTCGATTTCCTGTGGTGAAAGCCTCACGAACCCTTTTGAGGGTGGCCTAGGGGCTTGCCGACTCGAGACGACTACGCCAGCTGGCGACAGCTCGGTGCCGATGGGCGCATTCGCCCCTCCACTGCCTGATCCGATGTCACCTCCTCCACTCCCGCTTGCCTTTGGGAATAGTGATGGCAATGGGGCGGGGCGGGTACCTCAATTCCTATGCCCCGCCCTACGCTACTACGGAGCGGGGCGGGTAAAATCCACGCGGGTACGGGGCGGGGCGGGTCGACCCACTCTTACATGTTATTCGGAAAAAATACAAATAAATTTTACTTTTTACGATAAAACGAAGGGAAAACACTTTAAGAGTGAAAAATAGTGATAATAGAATGGGTAATTGAGTCTAACAAGTTGAAAGAACGACTCTAACTAGTTGAAGAAAAGTCAAAATAGGAGAAATATGTATAGAAATTGAGATAAAATGAGTCTAGAATGGGGCGGAGCGGAGCGGGGCGGGTCGGAACTAGATACCCATGCCCCGCCCCACGCTACTGCGGGTCGGGTAATACCCGCCCCAACGCGGGTCAGGTCGGGTAATACCCGCGGGCCGGGTTGAAATTGCCATCACTATTTGGGAACCACCCAATCGTACTCCTCTAGCTGGCCAGCTCCTCCTCCTTATAACCTGCAAGACGAAAAGGAGACCGCAGCGAGTCGGGCTCGAAAACCTTAACCGCCGCGGCTATCTCTGGCTTTAGGCCAGCCATGCACAACCTAACCGGGGTTTCCTCCGACACTCCCTTGCATTGATTGCCCAGCTTGAAAAACTCCGCCTTGTACTCCGCTACTGTCCTAGTCTGGCGCAGCTTAGCCAGTTGCTCCGGTGCCCACCCTTCTGATTTGCCAAACTGATACCACAGCTCTTCCATGAACAAGGGCCAGGTGATCAAGGTTAGCGCAGCTGTGCATGATCACTCCAGCCACTCTCACCACTGTAACGCGTCTCCCTCTAGGTAGAAAGACGCCAGATGCGCCTTCCTTTCTTCCTTGGTGGGGTGATTCTTGAACCACCTGTCAGCTGCATACAACCATAGACCTGCATCCTCCTGACCAGTGAATTTTGGAAACTCAATGGTAGGGGGTTTGGCCCTAAACACCAGATCGCCATCAAAGCCGCGAGGATAGCTGTCATACCTGTCGTACCCCAGAACTCGGTCGTGATAGCCCCACGGTCCCGGCGACCCTCTGCTTCGGCCCCACTCCTCTTCTTCCTCGAACGGGTACTCCGCATACTCGTCCAGTCCAGCCTTCCGTGCCTGACTCGCATCCCACTGCCCTGCCGGTGAACGGGGACCATGAACTGGCGGGTAAGAGGGTCCTGAACCCCTGCCGAGATCCCTTCTGGTTACAGATTCCCGATCGCACGGCCCGCCCAGGAGCTGGTCCGACCTGTTCAGCCCGCTTGTTCGCCCCGGTTCGACCCCACCCGAGCCAACCCACTCTGGTCGATCCGGTCCGGTTCGACCCGACCCGTTCAGCCCTCCTCGGCATGGCCCACACCCGGGCGGTCGGTCCGACTCCCTGGTCTCGCCCCGCCCCATCGGCCCTCTTCCGGGTTCGGGCCAATTCCTGGCCTGCCGGCCCGGGCCCAACTCCTCTTCCTCGTCCAGGCTCAGCCACCCCAACCCATTGGGTTCCCTGCCTTGGCCCATGGATTCGTACGAGGCGAAACTCAGCTGGGGGCCCACATCGTCGTAACCTGACATCTTCGCTTTACCTCTCATGACCGCGATTTCTTGGGCCGACGGGGTCGGTAACAGTCCCGACCCACGACCAAGCCCACTCGCCACCGCAGCCGCGCGATCAACGCGGGACGGCTCCGCATCAGCCGCCCTTCCTCCCTCGGCCTCTGCGGCTGCTGCACCTGCCATCTCCGCCGTCACCTTTGCCGAGGACGAACCGCCGCCCTGCCGACCACGATCGCCGCCTCAGCACCGCTCGGGAATGATCCCGCGGTGGTGGTCCCTCCGCCAGGCGCGCCGCCCCCGTTGATCGCCAGCTCGGTCGGGTTCAGCGTACCCCCTGCTCCATCCCCTTTTGCCTGCAGCGAGGCAACCGCTCGCATCAGGTCCTCCAGCCTCTGGCGAAGGTCTTCTGCATCCGCCTTCGCGTCAGCCTGCACTCTTGCCAGGCTATCTTCGAGTCGAGCCAACGCTCCTGAGTGTTCGTGCACCACCACCTTCACCGCCTCGAGCTCAGTTTCGTCCTCCACCACCCCGTCGAGCCCTCTGTCGCCCACCTTGGTGGCTTTCTCGGCTGCTTGAGCCGCCTTCTCGGCTGCAGTTTGAGACTTAATCAACACCATTGTCGTTTTATGCCTGCCCTGGTTCAAGAGTTACGTGGAACTCACTCTCGAACCGTGCTCTGATACCAGATGTTAGAAACAAGGTTTCTAACGTGTTCGGGATTGGGAAAATTAACTAGATCAATTAGGGATTGATCTAGCTAGGGATTGGAATTGGGAAATTTAGAACAAAGGGAAGGGGGAAGAAGGCTGCTGCTGCCGCAGCTTTTGGGAGAGGAAAGGGAGAGAGGAAAGACGCAGGGAAGAGGGAGAGAGAGGGAGATTAGGTTTTAGGTTTTTGTTATGTAATTGCTTAATGAAAATAAGACCACTACTACAAATTATATAATCCGCATAATCCCTATCTCATAACCAACTAATAAAACGTAACAATCGACTCCCTGTTTATTTCCAAATACCCAAAATATCCCCCAATTATAAAAAACCGACAATAATACGAAATAACCAAAAACGGTTTCTAACATTCATCTAAGCACATTGAATGGAACCAACCCCTTCCCTTGGCAAAGGCCTATCATCTAGTGGCTACGTAGAATCATCAAAAGATTTTTTTTCCCCCCCACTCATTGGCTTGCAATCGAGCCATAGCCCTCCTGCTCGTTGCGCCACACAAACGGATGGATAGCCAGTAAAACCCAAATCATTAGGACAGTCTGTCAAGCAGTCACCAAATTCACTCGTGACCTAGTTATAATCACCACAGCATAACCACAACCCATTTCACTAGTCATACAAGTTCACCCATCACTAGTTGCTCCAGTACTGTATTTGCCCCGATGCTTTCGATAGCCCATGAAGTCGGCTTGGAACCTATTTTTTATGATCACAAGTCCACTTACACTTCTCAATAGCATTGTGGAGGCAAAAGACTCCAAAAGGAGAGTTTTCTCCTAAAACTCTCACCCCAGGGCTAAAAAATATGATCCCAAAACCTATTAATACCCCTCTAAGTATTCAAACACACACACTTAATCCACGATCAGAATATCAATTTACCTCTCAAAACACACACACTTAATCCACGATCAGGATATCACTTTACCTACCAAAACTCGTTTAGAAGCTACGTAGGAAGAATGGGATGGGTTTGACCCTCCCCAAAAATAGGTTCTCTTTCTCGTTTCTTATGCTTATGTTTAAATCTTCCATCATGAGTTTCAAAAACACCTTTGTTGTTTAGATTTGTGGAACCTATAGTAATTTCAGTACTCATTTCATGATTTGAATACATATCTATTGAGTTTTCTTCTTCTTCTATCTCTCATATTTCTTTCTTGATTATTAATTATTTATGCGAGTATGATTGGGGGAAAAAAAAAATACTTGTATGATCAATTTATTTGCATATGTATGATAGCAAACTACGACCAAGTGATTGTCAATGTTTGCATGAGTTTGATGGGAGATGACACTTATGTAAATATAAGATAACTGAGTAAGGAAATTGCGTGATTCAAATGCACATAGTTTCTATCTATGATATCTTGTGCTTTTTAATGAAAGAAGGGACATAGATTTGCAAAATTAGGGTTGAAGCTTGGATCTTCTTGAAAATTTGGAAGAGTGGTCTATTGAGCTGCTAACGTGAATTGAGAAGTGGGTTGATTCTTACATAGTTGATTCAATAAACCACGGTCTAATCCAGACCAAACTAAGAGATCAATACATCTTATAGTACAGTCATGGACTAGTCCAGACCATTCTTAAAGGTCTACGGTCCTGACCAAACTGTGTGATCCGATTCCATCTATGAATTTTCGAAGTTAAGTACAGATGTTTAAATGTTTATTTTATTTGTTGGATTTAAGTATAAATGTTTGAATCTTGGCATTAAATATTGTTAAATATTATATTTAAATATGAAGAATTTTTATTTTGTTTGGAATGATGTATTTTATTTATATATGGAGATTGTTTTTAAATATGTTATATATATGGAGTATAAGTATATAACTATCTTTACCATATTTATATATTTCTTAATTTATTGGGTGTGCTTATGGTGACATGCATGTCACGGCGACGTGCACTTTCCGGTTGACCTCAGTTAGGATCTGGTCGACCTCATTTAGGATTCGGTCGACCTCATATAGGATCAGGTCGACCTAATCTGTTGTTTCAGTGTAAAAACAGTTCATGGTACATACTTTGGATATTCATATCATACAATTGGCTAGATGAAAATTGAAGACTAATGACTTGTTTTGAAGCTGGAGTGTCCCTCTACATATTGAAGTGATTGAGAGCTCGATAGGAAGTCCAGAAGACCATTTTTGAACCTCATCAAAAAGCTATGCCAAAACTGGGAAACTGCCTGGAAATGGCCAAGTCTGGAAACGTGTTTGTGAAGCCAATTTTGGAGCTCAATTCGAGAAGAAATGCGAGTCGAGTCCAGGAGCCTCTACCACGTTAAATTAGGTATGTTTTTATACAAATTCAAAGCATTGGATATCTGTAAGGCTTCAAATAAAAGAGTCGAAGTTGCTACGAAGGCTGTTTTTCTAGCAGACTTCGAGCACTAGCAAGCTGCCAGAAAAACAGCATTCATAGCAACTTCGAGCTTTTTGTTTGAAGCCTTAAAGATATTCAATCTTTCATCCAATGCCTTGCCTTTGTATAAAAAAATACGTAATTTAACGTGGTAGAGGCCCCTGGACTTGACTCACATCAATGCTTCTCAAATTGAGCTCCAAAGTAGGCTTGACAAACACGTTGCCTGTCTCCGTGGCCTCGAAATCAAGGGTGCTCAGTGGGGCCGCGTTGCTGGAAGGTAGAATGGTGAGAGCTGGAGGGATCTCCAATGCAGTCAATGTAGGAATCGCTGTCCAAGCCGATTGGGAGAATCGCGAGTTTATTTCTCACATCTCCCTCAACATCCGTCGGCTCTTCGATTTCCTCCTCCAATTCGGTACCTTTTCTCCTCTTCTTCCCCTGCCCTCTTCGCTTCTCCTGCTTCACCTTTCTGGGCTGCGTTTAATTTTCCAGTTTCTGGATTCTCCAGAGGCTACGACTAAAACCAAACTGGCGTCGCTGAACGAGAAGCTCGATTCTCTGGAGCGTCGACTGGAGCTGCTGGAGGTCCAAGTCGGTACTGCAACTGCCAATCCTTCCCTTTTCAACACCTGAACTTTTTTTTCAGTCAGAATCTTCGCTACTTCGGCTACTACTTGTAAGCGTATCTCTCTGTTATCTTCTATGTCTGCTGTGGAAGCCTGAATTTGTACTGTTATGCTCCCGAGTTCCAATATACATACGTCTGCATTTAGCTTGTTCGTTTATGATCTATATGTGCCTTTTTTGCACTGTAAACTGAATGGAAATGGAGTGTTTGACGATGGAGAACAATTTGATTAGATTATAACTTAACTCAATTATTGCCGGTTCCTGATTTAGTAACCCCGATTGCCCTTTGTTCTTCAAGCAAAAATCCCACCAGAAGACGAGAACCGAGTGTTCTGTGACTGTCTTGCATCACGGAGTGCAGGTAGATAATTAGGTTTCTGTCCTGCATCTCATTGTTCTATGAAGATGTGAGCAGAGTTTTTGACTAAGTAACCAACTAATTATGCACCGTCCTTGGTGATTAATAATTTAATTGGCAAGTCCTTCCACTCTTACAACTACCATGCATCTGGTATGGTATCTGGTCTAGGATGAAAATCTTTCTTAGTATTGATTTTTCTCTTACCTTTAATATATTGCAGCCAGCCTATTGACGGTGATTGCTTGCAATCTAATATGCAAGTAATATTTGACGGTGATGTTAAATTAGCCACTTTATCGTGCTTGAGATCACTGTTTAATTGTGCTCTTCTTGTCACTTTATTTGGCTGCATGTTCATTCTCACATCTGAACTCTTCATCCATGTATTTTGAGAACCATTGCTGCACGAATTGATACTTTTGAACTGTGACGTCCTTCGCATCTTGAAACAAAAGACATTTGTCCGTTAAGTTTGCTGTTGACAAATCGTTGCTTTCCAGGTCAAGAAGGCTAACTTGCTAATATCAGCAAATTGTTATATTATCATACTATTTTGGATAGGGAAATCCGGATAGAATCTAATTTAAGGTTTCAGTCTTGTTTCAAAAAGTGGATCTCTCAACTTGAATGCTGAGGAGATGAAATTAACAAATAGGAATGGACTATCTGGTACATGATCTCCTATGAAAGAGCATTGGTCATAAAACCTCAATTACCTTTCATAATCTTTCTTATGGCTCAATGAAACTGATATTATACATGCTGAGCAATATAGCCGCATCCATTATCTTGGTGCTACCGAAGCTATTGATTGTGGGTTGATTGGTGAAGGTTCTGGTGGGGTAGGAGGTGGCGGTGGGAGAACAGGAGGCTTTATTGAGAAGCGATTTGACCCTCCCAAGCTGTATCCTCCTATGCTGTCTATGGACTTCATATATTCAGATGCATTGTTCTCTATGATCAAAGCATCTTCCAACTCCCTCACGATATCAGGCATGCATGGACGATAAGCAGAGAAGGTCTCAATGCATGCTAAAGCCACCTCTACCACTCTCCACATTGCTTCTGCATGGTACCCTCCCTTTATACCTGGATCAACAATTTCATCGATCCTCGATTCCCTTACATAAGGTTTAGCCTGCACAGAAATATATGTTCCCCCCTCTTTTCTGTTAGTTTAGACAATTGGCTTAACCAGTAATCACGATCTTGAGATGCGAGTTGTTGGACTTACCCATTCAACCAAGCTCCACTCGTTCCGAGGCCTTTGTATGTTGAGTGGCTCCCGACCACTTATAATCTCTAGTAATACTACTCCGAAGCTAAAGACATCACTTTTTGCTGATAGATGCTGGGTTGAGTAATACCTGATTGAGAGGTATACAAATAGTTTCTGAGCTTTATTTTTAACTCTTCATAGATATTGGAATAAGCTGATTAATTGAAATTGAGCTGATGAATTAATAACATCTTCTAGTGTTTGCTTACTCGGGGTCCAAGTATCCGGCTGTTCCTCTTACTTCAAGAGAAGCACCACTATCACCCTCTTGAGGAGCATACTTTGAGAATCCAAAGTCTGCTACCTTGGCGTTCATGCTATGGTCTAGAAGAATGTTGCTGGACTTTACATCTCGATGTATAATGCAGCGTTCAGCAAATGTGTGCAGAAATGTCAAGCCTGAGCAACATTGGACAATTAAATATGCACTGTCACCTCGTGATCAGGTGGTAAGTCAAAATTATACTCTATTTATTGCTTAATTACTTGCCTCGAGCAGCTCCAAGAGCAACAGAAAGTCTGGTTGGCCAGTCTAGAGTTTTCCTTTTTGCTGCTTCTCCTGTCACACAAGGTGGTTGTTAGAAAAACGTTAGTCAAATGTCCAACGCAATCTAGACCATTGATCCTTCTCCTCCCCTATCCCTTGTTCCCTTCTCTCCCTCTTCTCCTTTTCTTTATAAAGAGGCTTGGTGAAAGTTAAACTTACCATAAAGCCGATCTTGCAGAGAGCCATTTGACATAAATGGATAGACCAAGATTTGTTGGTCCCTTTCACTACAGTAACCAATCAGAGGGACTAAGTTCTCGTGCCGAATTGCGGAGAAAAGGTTTAGCTGTGTCATGCAATGGTGTTAGTTTATTTGTGCTGTTTATAACATTAATCACATATCTCCATCTGATGAACAGCTAGAGCAGATGATAGGAGTATGTTCCTGTACCTCGTTCTGGAATTCCTTTGTTCCTTGAGTTGAGGTAGAGGATCGTACCTTCACTGCTACATCCGTACCATCAAATAGTGTGCCACGATAAACAGACCCAAAACCTCCTTCACCTATGAGAGTCTTGTACTTTTGGGTTGCATTCTCAATCTGATTTAGAGTGAACATTTGAATATTTATGGTCCTCAAGGGGTCCTCATCGGTCGTGGCTATGGAGAATACTGCACCTGCAGGGCCACATGTAATACTTGGGATCTCATTTCTTCCAGTAATAACCATTGTTTGATTTGGTAATCAATATGTTTCCTGAAAATTAGCTCTTGCAGTATTTGGGAAACCATGATTGAAGGGTGGGTTACTCATAGGTTGCCGTGATGAATAAGTTCCAACATCTGAAGGCATATGGATGTTATCACGTAGATATGCACGTGTCTGTAGTTTTTTCCCCCTCTCTAATTACTGTAACATCTGAAAGAAAAGCTTTCAAGATGGTCGTGTGTGTTCTTTGTTTCAACTGCATAATACTAGGAGGAAGATGGTTGATATGCTTACCCTTTGACATTATGAGTTGTTTTCCATTAATACATCCCCAAGTTCTGAGTTTTTGTCTGCAGAGCAAGAGGCAAGCAGCTACAACCGCCACTGCCAATATGAAAGATCCACATGCAATAGCAATGACAATACGATTGTGTTTTTGTGCAGATCCTGGCCTGGCACATTCCCCTGAGCTGAAAATTTTAAATGAAACATGCGAGATTTTCTTTAATCAAATACCTGATGCTAAGTTAAAATAGAGTACTGACTAGAACAGACGAAGGATTTCATACTCTGTTCTGAGTCTTGAGTGATTAAAGGTGGAAGGATCTGCACTGACATGAACATTGCATCCAAAATATCTGGTAAGCATGGAATGGGTAATGGATGAGCTTCCAACAAGTCAACGATTTTTAGATATGCGCTCCTTTTAATGAAAGGAAATGGCTAACAGTTGATAACATGAACTTACAGGGTTGTCAAATGTGGCAGTGTAATTAAAGTATCTGGAAGACTCCCCGATAGGTCATTGTAGCTTAGATCCCTGGTGATCATGGATGAATCAGATGATATGGTTGCAAGAATTTAGCTTTTGTTTGACTACAGCTTCCATCTTGACAGCATTTTTTTGTAGTTGCAGTCTTCAATATGTTTATCTCTCTGAACAAATTTTGAAATTGGCTCTCTGTGGACTTACTTACTTAGTAACATAACTTGGAGTAGGAACTTACACTGCTGTCAACGTAGAGGACCTTGCGAACTCTGGAATCTTGCCTGTAAACCCATTGTTGCTAAGGTTCCTGAATACCATAGTAACAGAGGAATGGTTAGAGACACCGATAAACATGTGGTATTATCCAGAGTTGATATGAAAAATCTTACAATTCCTTCAGGTAGGTTAGTTGGGAAATCATGGTGGGAATTTGTCCTTGAAGTTGACTTGAGGAGATATCCCTGATGTAGCACATGGTACGTTTAGTACAAGCTGCTCAAAAGATCTAAATGACAGAAGCAACAACTGCGCAGGAGTTTGTGCAGTCTTTGCTTACTGTGGCAAGACATGGTCTCTGCAATGTAGCAAGTTGAAACTTACAGCTTAGTGATGATAGTAGAACCATTACTGTAGTGGCAGGCAAGACCATCCCAAGACGAAGGCTGACATGGATCTCCTGACCAGCCCTCCAATTTCTTGCTCCCTTTGTTTTGCTGCAGCAGCCCATCTTTCACTCTATCCATCACTCTCACTGCAAGGTGGAAAACGTAAATTACTATTGTGGGAAGGTAAACAATCAACAATAGTATACAATTGGCAGAATGAAATATGGTTCAGCTGGATTTCGTTTAGAGGCTGAGATTAGAACTTTAGTAGAAAGGGTCTACAATGCCATATCCGCATATCCAGTTTGCATTTGATAGCAACTTTGAATGTGGAACCACTAAGTCACCTTAAGATGTACGTATCTATAGAAAGAGCGAGTCAAATTTGAATTATAGTAGCTATTGAACATACATACCATCTCTATGGTGAGTTCCTTCGACCCATTGACGAACCTGCATGATCTCATATGCATTTAGGATAGGTCCAAACTTGGATTTGTTATCGACCCTGGCTAAGGTCAAGTTCAGAGACCCATTTGCTGTAACGTTCAGAGCAACTTCACTGTAGTTTGACCCATTTTCCCTTATGTCAAAGTTTGCTTGCTGCTTTTCGTTGTTGATGTAGATGTCAAACACTCTTTGGCCAGGTCTAACATTGTCATCTAGCTCAAAAAAGTGGAGAAAGATAGTATAGTTGCAATCCCTAGTTTCAAGATCAATGTACAAGAACTGGAAACTGTATTCATTTGTTATTGCAGTTTCGAGAACTTTGAGAGGCACTTTTGCGGCAGTCTTGGAGATGGTATTGTTGACTGTGGTTATTGCAGACAAACTGACTCTTTCTGTATCTTGACTCGTCCAAATTCTGTCATGTGGATCATCTGGGAACCTGTATCACATAACATGGCGAATGCTAGTTGAATAGTGTTGTATCTTTGTATATATGTATAGACTATAGAGCAGGAAAGGAAAGCTGCTAGCAATAGAGTGGAAAAGTTTCCTGTTCCCTTTGTGGAAGGGGGCCAAATGGTTTGAATGATTAGTATTGTTTGGTTGTATAGGTAAGCACTGAAACATGTACATGACTGGTAGTCTGCATAACAGAACTTGCTGAGTCGTCGTAGGTGATTTGTGATGCATGCTATGAAAATTTCAATTCGCCAGTTAGATCTCTCTAAATTTTCCTGGCTGTATTAGCATAGGCTTTCAAAAATATGGAGCAGTTTGCAGTCATTCGAGATTCATGAAAGCTTATGGTAAGGGAAGTAGAGATCTGATTCTGGAGTAACGTGAACACTTGCAGACATTGAGAAACGGCAAGGCTGCAATTGCCGTGCCAGAGCTAATGAAACGTTGGCCATGGATCTAGTTACCAGTGTTAGGTTGGAACATAATAATACATTTTGTACTTGTGGCAGATTGCAGGCATCCTAATTGGTGTCTGGATCCTATTTTAGCTCTTAAACCTCAATATTTTATGGAATAGTTTCAGAAAAGGATGTTTGTCAGTAGCTTTATCTCTTCAATCAAATGTGCTTAATTGTTCTGCGTGGGGGGGAAAAAGTGCTCAGAAAGTACCTGATTGGACTCCCACTGTTTCCCAAATCCACTCTGTCCACCAATTTCAGGACAGTAGAATCTTTTCCATCCAGGTAACTTGAATCATCAGACAGTGGCCTCAGTTCAAGCTGTGAAATGTAAGGATCTCCTGTTTCTTGTACCAAACAGAAATCTATGTATTGATCAGTAGCTCTGAAGATGCCTTCAACCTGTGATTCTCCTGAAGAGTCCACCAAACCTATTGGTGTTACACCAACCAAGACATCAAAGGTTGAAGACACCGACCCTACCACTGAGTTGCTGAAAGGGAATGTGCCCCTAATCAAGTAGTCACGGTCCGGAGTTGTTGGCAAGCTATAACATCTCTTCTCAGAGTTACCAAGGTAGAAATATCTAACTTTATCATGGCCTGTTGTGTAGTTATCGGATGATGCTCTGGCTATGTTCTGGCAACCTGTTTCATCTGGATACCATTGCTCATCTGATATCCAAGTTATCGAGGAGCTATCGGTCTGCCCTTCTCCACCACAGCATTTAATGCTTATGAAACCTGCAGGTCACAAGATTCTCATGTTTTAGTAAATTCTGCTTTCCTCCCCTGAAGCATTGTGGCAAGTGGCAACAAAGAGGGGAGCAACTACACAGAAGAATATGCATCAACTTTGAATTTGGTCAGTTGAGTCCGAAATCTCAATAGTACTGGAAAGGAAAATTCCTGTGTTTAGTTCCTTTATCCATTTCATGTCGATGGATATCTAGAGCATGGGTCTATGTGAATTCGGCTGGGGTTAATGAGTTTGGCACTTGCATTCACCAAGTTCTCAGAATCAATAAAAGGTAATAATTTCGATTCTGCAGTTACTTCCTGAAGTGGATGATTCTTTCAATGCCAAAGTGGCAGTCAAAGAGTTTTCAGGGTCTTAAATATCTGGATCAGATTAGATCAATACTCATGAAATGAACCTGATCCAGTATCTTGACACTTTGCAACAAGATCTCTTCAGGAGGATCTTGTCAATGTCAACTGTTTAATACAGTGGCTTGCTTATTCATCTCAATGCTAAAACAGACATGCCTTGATGTGTGTAATTGAGATGGTTACCTTCTTGATGTGCAGGAATTGATTGAACTAGTAAGATGAGCAGGCAAAGAATGAAAGAGTCAACACTTGTCAACCTCCAATTATGCCTTCCTCCCATCCCAATCATCTTCTCATCTTACAACGAGCTCGCCCCATCCGGTCATCAGATGATGAAGAAACCTGCTTCCCAGTTCATCAAACCCTTGCTCTGACTCCAAACAATCCTCAATGCTGCAAATATTTTTTCCCCTGAGATTGATGAAAGCTGAACCAAAATTGAGATACTCCCAAAGTAAAAACCAAGGGATACCCTAGCTGGTTAAGCAGCAGGACATGGAGGTTTAAGGGAAGGCCTAAAAAGGTCTGTTCAGAAGGAGCTAATCACAGAGGGCAACAGATGACAAAAAGGAATATCAAAGAAAATGGGGGAAGTTTCCCTTTTCTTGGCGAGGCAGGCGATGATCAAAACAACAGGGTTTGACTTGAAAGCTAGAGGTTGGAATGGTGAAGAAGGTTATTATTAGGGTGGGTCTGGGACTGAATCAGAATAAGTCCAAAGTTTAAAATAATGATTTCCAACTTAAAGTTTAATTGATTGTTGTTGTGGAGTGGCGTCATAAGAACATTGGTATTTTCTGTTTTGGTGTGGAATTAGGGTACATAATCAATTGAACAAAGGTTTTAATATATTTGAGGGATAACGTCCCTTCGATTATCGTCCCTCCTATTGTCTTCTAGCTGGGATGGAACATCATCATCCCAGCCCCAGTTTCGGTTTCAGGGGATCAACACATCGCTGACAAACTGCAACTCTGGAGTTCCGACTGCAATTTTCCAAGTCGTGAAAGTTGAAAGTTGAGAGGATTTAGTAAAGAGAACTGGCGAGTTCATTACCTTGTCACCCACGCAATGACTTTCAGGTACCTCAACTCCCGGATTCTGCTCGAACCTTAGTTTGGTTCCATGTGAAGCATATGCATTTTGCTTGTAATCTATAGTTTGCACTAACTATGGATGTGAATGAGCATTCGCCATCGCTTTCTAATAAAAGCAATGTTGTCACATCGGTTTATACCGTTGCGTCAGTTTAGCAAGCGGTAGGGGTGTACATGGGTCGGGTGGTTCGGGTTTAGTCATTTTAATCACCCGACCCAAAAAAATAAAATCCTACGGTTTGTTTCTAATTGGATTGGATTTGCGATATTTTTAAATAAAAATCCAACCCAACACAAAATATGTAATTATTCTACACCAAAAAAATATTTTATAACTAATTAAAATTTCAAACGAATAAACCGAGGTGAAAGGTATCAAAATGCACAAATGGTGTTTGAATTTTAATAAAATGTTGTTTACTTCAACTAATGTCTAGTTTTTTTCATGATATTTGTCAAAAATAGGCTAAAGAGTAAAAAGGTCATAAACGAATGCATCTATAATATGTTATTCTATTAAAATTGTACACAAGAAAAAGGATTACGTGAATCATAGCTATATTAAATCTAGGTCTAATCTTTAAACTGAAGAATGCATTAGATTAGGGAGACTATAACAAAAAAACATGGCAAAATATCTTAATTTTATCATAAGTTACATACGATATAAATATTCTTTGGATACGAATCATACCAATAGTTGGAATTCGGGTTGGGTCGCTTTTACGGGTTTTGTAATCCAAAATCCAAACCCAACACAAAAGAGACGGGTTGTATTATAGAAAACCCTCACCCAATCCTAAACCTTAATTTTAGCAATAAATACAGGTGAGTTGGATCGGGTTGGAGGATGGGTCGGTTTGCGGGTATCTTTGTTCACCCCTAGCAAGCGGCATGGTTTGACCAGTGTTACAACCGGTTTGTGCTAGTTTATGTAGGTTTATTAAAATAAGAAAAATCATTAATATCCAATGAATTTAAGCATACATATATATATATATAACATATTTGTAGACAATTTACTTACAATCTATATTCATAATTTAAATACAATACAGACCAAAGATTGCACATTGCAGTCTAAGCGTGCTTGCTTTATGCACCGACAGTTTGACACAGTAGAGTTCGAATCCGCTGGCTCAGATGAGAGACTCTTGGCTCACTTCTTGAGCTTGAGAGAGAAGGTTCAAACAAAATAGCATGGTAAAGGAAACCGTACCGGACATCATACCGGATTCCTTTCTGGTATGGTATTTTGTGGTACGACCGTGGTTCAACCGTTTTGTACCGGTAAATACCGTTTTTCACTATTGATAGAGAAATGAAATGCGATAGTATAAAAAATATAATCCATCAAAAAAAGAACCAAATAGAGCATTATACAACCATGGTGACCCATTTTCAACATAGAAAAATAGCAAAATAATATTCTTTTTAAATTATTTTCCACATATTGGACGAGAATACGGAGAAATGAAGCTGAATCATAGACCAGGAAACCGGATCATACCGGCCGGTTCAACCGGTCAAACCGGAAAAACCGGCCGGCACGGTAAAATCAGCACAATCAGCCCACCGTGCCGCTTTTGATCCAATTTCCGGTTGAACCGGCCGGTACGATCCGGTTTCCTGGTCTATGCGAAATAGCAAATACTCATATTTAAATATAACATTTAATGTCAAAAACACAAACTTTAATATTTGAATCCAACAAATAACATCAACAGTTAACTTTTAAATTGATGAAATAAATCAATTTTTTATTAATTAAATTAGCTAAAATGACATAATTTCGTTTATAGGCTGAAAATCAATTATGTCTGTCATACCGGTGATATTCACGCCGGTTAACCATCTATTATTGGTTTGGTTACTGGTTAGTTTGGCGGTTAACCAAAAATCACTAACATACATTCCAACAAGTATGAATATACCTAATCAAACCAATAATATTTATTTTATTTCAGTAAATATAATAAAGTGAAGTGATAACCACTTGTAATACACAACCATCATCCAATTAAGTTAACAAGTGTCATTTAATCCTAACATATTGTTAAGAAGTACCAAAATCTTTCCAAGTAGGATAATTGCATGTACAAAAGTCTTTGGCGGACGTAGGGGCAAGCATCAATGTCATACCATAAAAGGTTTATCTGAAGCTAGGCCTAAGTGAATTAAGAAGTATCAAAATCAATGTGCATCTTGTTGATAGATCGGTAGTTCTACCTAGGGGGAGAGTTGAGGACCTTCTAGTATAAGTAGCGAAGTTTTACTTCCCTACGAAATTCAGGATCCTAGATATTAGCAAAGATATCGAAGTCCCACTTATACTATGACGCCCTTTCCTATCCACGCCCAAGGCTTTGATCGATGTAGATGAGGGTACACAAAAATTAAGAGTGCGTGATGAGCGTATCACCTTCTATATTGCTCATATGTTGATAATGTACCCTTGAATGGAAAATTTGACAAGTGAATTGTGAAGGAAAAACCTAAGCCCTCGAAGGGCAAGTCCACTTCGGTCAATTCTGTGACCCATGAGGTGGACAAATCTTGTTTTTTTTGCTTCATGTGATGTGATGTAGGTTGAGCCTCCTTCCATACTGGCAATAGGTAAGACCATACGGGAGTGGAAATTGAAGACGTTGAGCTCCAAAATGGCCCATGGTAGGGAGAGAGGAAAGGAGAAGGAAGACTGGCCCAAAGACGGCCAGTTGAAAGGTAGCAAAGTGAGGACATGCCCAAGGAGTGTGGTGGATCCACGCTTAGAGGCATGTTTCTCAAAATCAAAATGAGACCCACTAGTTGTGTCTAATTAAAGACATAAAAAGTAGTTCTTGTTGGGAGGCAACACAAGTACACAACGTATGTTTGACGACACTATATTTACCGTGTTTATCCCTCTCATATCTGATACATTTTCCCATTCTATTTATGCATTGTATTTTTTATATAAATCATAACTATTTGATCAATGAGCATTTAATAGACATAGGATTTTTTTGGTGCTCTTTGATGCCTTCTTGGTGTGTGTTTTATGGTTTTCAAGGTACAATACGACCTAGGAGAATTTGGATAAAGTATTGGACAACTCTAGAGAACCAAAAGAGCTATGAAGAAAGTTGTAGATTTTTTTTATAAACACGAGGTCCAATGACGAAGAAGCCTACTAGTAGCCACAAGTAGATCCCAAGAGAAGCCCAATGGAGGAAGACTCAGCCCAATCAGAAGCAAATACCAACGGTGACCTAGCAGCTGATGTGGAATATGTATCCCCCTTCAATCTTCAACATATTACCATTGCATCTATATGAATAGACGAGACTAGCTGACATACAGTACATCAACGTAGATATCACGCTAGCCAACAATAGTTCTTGCAGAGCTCTTGGAGTTGTTTGAGGCCTAAGCACCCAAGTTGGCCCGTTCATATTCTTCCCGACTACCTCGTGATGGACATGAAGACAAGAAAAGAGTATTCATTCATCTTTAGAAGTGATGAATTTGAGGAGTATTAAGAAGGGATTCGAGAATGAGATCAAATATTAATTTGGATCTATATTTAAGAATTCGACAAAGGATCTTTCAAGCTCTAGTCTAGCCTCCTATTCATACGAGTTACAAAAGGGGGTTTTCAGTCCCCTTTCTCTTAAAGGCAGCCAATACCTTCCTTGTACGACTTGAACTTGGATTCCTTCGACTTTGGGAAGAAGCAACTTCTTTAGGAAGTCTTCTGGAGAATCAGGGTTTGAGCGGCGGTCCTTTGGCGGTTGCACTAGCCGTTGATATTTCACTCGGGCTTTATAACATCCCGGATCAAGCAAAATAAAATAGAATAAGTTTAAAAGAGAAAAATAGATTTTTTATGAATAAGTTGTGTATTCATCAAGAAAGAATGGTAAAAATACCATTCTAACTGGCACCAAACAACAGAGAATCCGACCACAAAGTACAGACCGTTTGCAGAAACTACACACAATCACTCAGTCTAGGAAACTTCCTGAAAACAAAAACAGAAAAACTAAGCTATACTATACTATGAATATCAGCTTCAGTAATAGTCAAGCCTATATGAGGGAATACATTCCGCAGCAAGATCAGCATCTGCTGCAACTTCTTTAATAGCTTCACTTCAGTCAAAAGTCCATTTCCATATAGACGCCTACATCGTTCCCTCCACAACTCGCTCAACATTGTGGTCCAAAGCAATCTACCTCAATCAGAAGCTGGAGAAGCCACCTTGAATTGATTAATGACTAACCCCAGTGAATCTTCCCAACACCCTTCAGATTGGATCTGTGAGTGAAAAACAGACTGGAGGATCTTCTGTGAATAAGAACACTCGAAGAATAGATGGTCCCTTGATTCTGCAGTAGAGGCACAAAGGGGGCATGTGTTAACTACAGATGAATTACATACCTGCACTTTATCTAGTGTGGTTATCCCATTAAGGATGATAAGCCATACCAACACCTTGTCTCTGGGGGTACAGAGAGATTTCCAAACGAGATTATACCAAATAACCTTTTCATATCTGGGCCTAATTGTGTCCAAAACTTTCTTGACAGAAAACTTGCTCATTAGCCCACCATCCCAGTAAACCTCCAAAGACCTAACAGTTAGGTGATGCGCTGCAAAACTTCTGGTGTTTAAGACTTTTCTCCATGCCCAGGAACAACTAATGGAAGAAGGAATATCCCAAATAGAAGTGTAAGTAAGTTGGTACTGTCGAACCCAGTTTGCCCACAGAGATGAAGAATTTGATGCCAAAGCCCACAAATGACTGATTAGACAGGCAGTATTCCAACTCATCAAGTCCTTGAACCCTAACCCTCCTTCCTTCTTTGGTCGAGCCACATACTTTCACTGAATTTTAGCATTCTTACCCTCTTCCTCAGCACTCCACAAGAAATCAGAGCAGAGTTTTTCAACTTGCTTTATCACTTTAACAAGCAGATTGATAATCCCCAAAAATAGATTTTCTTCTACAAATTTACAACTAAGATTATATGTCGTGGAATTTGCGTCGTTGACGAAAGAAGATGTAATGAGAACAATAATAATCATCATAGAAATTGATGATTATAATTGATTCTTATATGCATTTATATGTTTAGAAATTAAAAAGAAAAGAAACTTTAAAATAATAAAAGGGGCTAGACGAAATTGAACCAACTAGAGTGCAAACATTTTGTGCACAATTACTTCTTCATCTCTTTAAACTATTGACGCGCTAGGTGTATGCGATCAATCAACCCATGTTTCAAGTCATCTTTTTTGTTTAAGAAGAGTTGAGTTGCAGCCTGTAGATATGTAGGATCAAGCGGTGCGAAGATGAAAATTGGATCCTCTCTTACTCGTGAATGAACCTGCAGAATAGAAAACGACTCTTAGTGGCTTTATGGCTGCTCTGCATATGGGTTTTTATGGAAGGGCGAGGGACTCTCTGGGATGGATAGAATAGAACAGAAGAATCATTCTTCTTCCTCCTCGGTTCGGCCGAGCATTGAGAAGATGAGAGAGGTAAAGGAGGAGAAGGAAGGAAAAACGTTTTTTGAGTTGGGTCTGAGTAATAGGACCCCTACAAATCGATATATGGAGTCAGAAATCAGCTTCGAAGCTTGTAAAAGGCTTGTCGGAGGGTCATCATCAATCTCGACGTCTGTGTCGGCATCAAAAACTACGACGATAATTCAAGAACTTGCTATCGATGCGTAGAGATCATCTCCAGGAGCATCACGGAGTCGACGGAATCGAATTATGAGCTCAAACGAGGGAGAAATAAGGTTTGGAAATTTGTACGTATAATTTTACAGTTTACAAGTTTTGGAAACTGTTTCTGACAGTTAAAAAACCTAGGGTATTATTCTGTAATTTTCATACTATTGGCTCGTAATTTCTCCGTTTGATGTCCAAATGACGAGACATTTGCGCCTACAGGACCGTGTCACAAGTATGATTTTTAGGAGTCAATTACTGGAATTTCAAAACTTAATTCCCAAATTTGAATCTGCTTAATTAAGGTGTGCAGGCATTAAGTGGACCTTAATTATTGCATTGATTATTTATACTTGATTTGCATATTTAGATGGATGGATTATTGTGGGTGATGACTTTTTTTGCTGATATGATGATTTGGTAATTGTTCTTGATTGTTATAGATTTTTTGTATAAATATCAGTATCTAACAAGTTTCACCATAAAAATGGATAGATGGGTTTATTGAGTGAAAAAACTATCAGAGATATTTTGTATATCTAAAGTGATGGTGGGGAATATTTAAGTGAAGCTTTCACTTGAAAATGAATTTTGGTTTAAAAACAGTGAATTTTACGAAAAGATCGACAAAAACGTGTTTTGTTTATCATTATGATTTCAATGACTTTAAAATGATATGTTTGGCTTGTTAATTTCTTTTTGTGCTAAAATGATGGATTAGACATTTGGTGGAGTTTTTATCTTTAAAATTGTAAAAACGAGCTTAGTACGAGATTTGCGGTAAAGACCGAATGTAATATTATTTTCATGGTTTTGAGCTGTTGAAAAATATAAAAACTGTACTGAGATGTTTAGGATGATAAATGGATGTTCTGGTGTTTTTGTGAGATTTTGGAGTTACCATTTTATTGGAGTTTAAGTTACCGTAAATATTATGGTTAATACGAGATTTTTGAGATATTGTTGTCTAAGAAGCTTTTTATGACAAGAAACGAATTATGGTTAATACGAGATTTTTGATATTTTTACAAAGATTTTGTGATGATTTTAATGAAGGGAACTAAATTTAGAGTTAAAAGTATTTGTAACATCAAACCGGGTTTATTTATCGTGATTTGATCGAGGTTATTTCGTGAAATTATGTGATTAATTGTGGATGAGGAATTATGATATGGAACTAATGAGTATTGTTAGTAGATGATGAGATGATTTACGTGATTTGAGATCGAATGATGAGATGACTGATTATGAGAAACGTCGAGTTGATAACCGACATGAAATGTATATGGATCGGGAATCATTGGGACGACATTGATTCTTGGATTAATTGAGATGATGATGATATGAGTAACATGAGATTTAATTAAACTGGGAACTCAATGGGAAAGCATTGATTCCTTGTTTGATTTGATGAAATGTTTGATGTGAGATAGGCATGACTAGTCAATCAGTGGGACTACACTGGTTTTGGGTCGATTGTTGCATGGACCAGTTAATCAATGGAACTGCATTGATTCCGGATCGCTTGTGGTGGATGAGAGAAATGAAAATTATTTGATTTGCGGTCATATTCATGATAAGAATTTGAAAATCGAGAAGACAAACACCGAATTTTACGTGGTATCCCTGATAATTAGGACTAGTCCACGGGAGAGGTAGAACTCTCCAGAGTCAATATTATTCAGCTCAATTAACCGTACAAGCTAGCTACAAGTTATATATATATGCGGTGAGGTTACAGAGAACCCTAATCAATCTAGTTTAGGTAATTTATGTAAACAATGGATATTTACAGTAAGCTACCCAAACCTTTCTATAGTCGTCATTTTCAACAACCTCCCTCAAATTGATTATGTTTACGCAACATCAATTTGTGTGACAAGAACCAGTGACGACTAGTACCAACCGCCTTTGTCAACAGATCTGCAGTCTGATCCTCTGTTGACAAGTAACTAAGCTGAATGGTGCCTTTTGTGACCAGTTGACGAATGTAGTGCACATGAGTCTCAATGTGATTTGTCCGATCATGCAGGACAGGATTAGTAGCTATTCGAATAGCACTAATATTGTCCCCAAAGAGCTTCATAGGCATCTCGTTGTAGCCAGACTAGCTCAGAACTGACCTCTGACATAGACTTGTATTCTGCTTCAGTGGATGACTTTGATACCCGATCCCGTTTCTTGCATTGCTAGGAAATAAATGAAAAACCAAAGCGAACACACCAACCAGACATTGACCTTCTAGTATCGACACATCTAGTAAAGTCAGCATCGACATAGGCTTCCAGAACAGGAGCACCACTACTAGGAAAGAACAGTCCTACATCCTGTGACCCCTGTAGATATCTCAAAATCCGATGTACAGCATCAAGATGCAAGGTCTTAGCCATACCCATAAACTGACTCACAACCTGTACAACATAAGAAATATCAGGCCGTGTAGAACTCAGATACCGCAGGCTCCCAACAATGGTTCTATAAAGAGTTTGATCGTCCAGAAGATCACCACTAGTCCTGCTTAGTTTCAAGTTTTGTTCCATCAGTGTTGCACATGGTTTGCAGTTGTCAAACTTGTATTCAACGAGTAGATCACGAACATACTTCTACTGACTAACAAAAATACTATGGTCACTACGCTCAATTTCCAAGCCGAGGAAATAGGAGACATCGCCAAGCTCCTTGAGCTTGAATTCTTGATGAAGGGCAGAAGTAAGAGATCGGATACCAACCTGATCACTACCAGAGAGAAGTAAAATAGTAATACCTTGAGAAGTAGTCCTTAAGAACAGTGAAGGGTCGTTCTGGCTCTGCACAAATCCAGCCTGAATGACAGTGCCATGAAACTTCTCAAACCAAGCTCTGGGAGCTTGTTTAAGACCATACAACGAACGTTTCAGGCGACAAACCTTATCTGGACCTCCTTTCGAGTATCCTGGAGGACAAGCCATATAAATTGTTTCCTTGAGATCCCCATGGAGGAAGGCATTCTTAACATCCAAATGAACAAGAGGCCAGTCTCTCATGGCAGCCACAGCCAGAACACAACGGACAGTTTTCATTTTAGCAACAAGTGCAAACGTCTCATCATAGTCGATCCCATACTCCTGACTGAATCCTTGCGCCACCACTCGAGCCTTGAAACACTCCAAACTCCCATCAGGATTCATCTTAATGTTGTACACCCATTTGCTACCAACAACAGACATGTCAGGAGTGCGGTCCACAACATCCCAGGTCTGATTGGCCTCGAGAGCCGTGACCTCATCTGTCATTGTTGCATCCCATTTCGGTATACCACAAGCTTGACGATAATTAGACGGAATAGGAATGGAATTAGTGGCATACCCAACAAAATCATCATAGCTCACTGGCGGCTGGCCTTTAGTACTGCGAGTAGAGCGTCGTAGCTCAAGAGCACCAGCCGGTGCCTCAGGTTCATCATCATCATCATCGGACGACGAACTCGAGGTGGAGGAGGAACTAGCGGTGGAAGACAAGCTCGCGGTGGAACTTGCGGTGGAGGAAGGGGATGAAGTGGACCCAAAAGTGTGGGAAGATGACTCTTCTATTGAGGACGTGTCTTCAGAAAGATGGGGACCAGGGGAATGGTCACCAACAACGTCCCCTCCCTGTCGTGATTCCGCAGGAAGAAAAGCTTCAAGAAAGGACAAGCTTCTCTTAAAATTGTCCCGTGACTCAGCGCTGGAGTGGGAAAAATACATCACTTGCTCCATGAAAACAACATGGTAAGCAATACGTAGCCGCGGATTTTCGGGATCGTAGCAAAGATAACCTTTGTGTCGATCACTGTAGCCTAAGAAGACACACCGAGCCGCTTTAGGTGCTAACTTGTGTCGCTCCCGCTTAGGCATAAGCACAAAGCACAACACCCGAATACCTAATGAGCACCATAATCTGGAGGACGCGAATACAGTTTATGAAAGGGTGACAAGTTGTCTAAGACTGGCGTAATTTGTCGATTGATGAGATGGACCACTATATTCGCCGCTTCAACCCAAAAACGAGCAGGAACACTCGAGCGAAAGAGAAGAGCTCGAGTCAATTCCACAACATGTGTGTTCTTCCGCTCAACCACACCATTATGCTGAGAAACCCCTGGACATGACTGTTGGCTTAGATTACCCTGTGATCGCTAGAAGGCAAGAAGCTCATTAGTACTGAATTCACCACCAGGATCCGAGCGTATGATCTTAATGGTTTCAGGAATTGTGTCTGGACCATGCGGATGAAATCCTGTGCATGGTTAATAATATTTGATTTATGGCGTAGGAAATAAATCCATGTAAATTGAGTATAGTGATCGATGAATAATGCAAAATACAGAAAACCATTGCGGGAAGGAATAGGTGATGGTCCCCAAAGGTCAGTGTGGACAAGATCAAAAGGAGCTTGATAAACAGTTGTGCTCAAAGAGAATGGACGTTGAGCAGCTTTGGCTTCAACACAGCTGATGCAGGACGGGGGAGAAAAGGAGCTAGTACGAAATTTCCCAGGCAATAAATTATGTTTAAACATCTGTAATAACTGAGTTGAATTTGGGTGCCCCAAATGGCAGTGCCACAAATCCCAAACAGAATGCCGACAATCAATATTCCAAGAATCTCTATCATGAGTGACAAGAAATGAAAACAAATAATGAACATCATCATCATGGACAGGATCTCGAGCACCCATAACTGCACCAACAGCGCGAGTCTTCCCATCACATCCGCGTGACAACACATCAGCAGAAGCACCCGTAGAATGCTTGTGGCCCCTTTGATCCATGGAACAAAGGCTATACATGACATACACCCATCCTGACTTATGAACCCGGCCTATCTCCCTCCCCGTTGTCAAGTCCTGCACCAGACATCCACGATCATTAAACCGAATTTCACAGCCCTCCTCTGCCAATTGTCCCACAGATATCAGATTAGGCACTAGACAAGGAACATGAAGAGCATTATTAAGATGAAGTTGTGGCTCATCCACAGGACCAATGCCCGCAACTGGAAGGATATCACCATTAGCAACTTGCAGCCGTTGAGAGACACGTTTGACCGAACGAAAGGAACCTGCATTATTAGTCATATGATTGAAAGCAGCAGAATCAAGAAGCCAACGACGAAAGTTACCAGAAGAAGAGCCAGCTGATAAAGCAGAAGTCATCACATCCTGAAGAGCAGCTTGGATAAGCATGGTAAGCTCAGCCTTAGAAACCCCTGCGGCAGCTCCTAAAGTGGCCAAGCCTCCAGGGCAGTAGCAGCATAAGAGGCAGGTGGTGGAGTCGGCCCAGAAGGACGAGGACGAGCACGACGAGGTCGCCGCTGGGGAAAGGGGTTTGTGGATTATTCGTATTATTATATTATGTCTTGTCTAGGAAGTTATTGTTTACTAGTCGGTTTGGGATTGGGTTTCCTTGTCTTAAGGGGAAAGGGGTTTGTGGAACTTGTCCTATAAATATGTACCTTTGCTCTTTGTTTTTATTCAGTCGATCAATAAAGTATTAGTTGTTAGTAGAGAAAAGTCTCTCTTTTATCGTGTTTTCTAGTTCTTTCACTAAATCGCTCGAGATCACCGGTGCGTGAAATCCCGTTCCGCATCAATTGGTATCAGAGCCTGGTTCCGAGTGAACCAAGCCAGGAGACCATGCCACCGCGCAAGCAGCCAACGGCACCATCATCACCAACCGCCGCCAGCGACGAGGAGCTAGCACTTCAATTTCAAGCTCTTGTCGGTCATCAATAGGCGATCATGGCTAGGATGGAAGCTCAGGATGCTATCAACCGCGATCACGAAGCAGCCCTGGAGCATCTCCGCATCGACGTCGGGCAATTGCAGCGTGGTCAGGAGAAACTTCAGGATGGACAGGATCGGTTGTCAGAGGAGATCCTCACAATCCTCTGTGATCCGCCTTGGGAGAACGACGTCAGCGCGATCCTCGCAATCCTCCGCGATCCGCCTTGGGAGAAGAAGGTGACCGAGCCGTCGAAGGAGCTCGACCTTGTCGCTGAGAAAAGAGGTCGCACCATCGACCAGATCCTGGCGGCGGAGAAGCTGAAGGCAGTCGCCGTGGGCGAGGAGTCTCACTCTCCACGAGCAGGAGCTTGACACCGACGCCGGGAACGAAGCCTGGAGTGACGGACGAAGCGCCGACTAGGAGTGTGGGGCGCAGCGGAGGGATCGGTCGCGGAATTCCCGTCGGAGCTGGCTGGGGATATCTCGCCATCGATGGCGAAGAGGAGTAGGTCGTTGCCCAAGGGGGGAGGCCACCGATGGGGCCGACTTCGGAGCACACCAACCGCGGAGCGGCACTTCGTGGGCTAGGGCCCAACATGGGTGGCCTGATTGGGGCCCTGCTCTACGGGGTTGGCCTAGGAGAAATCGAGGGAGACCGAGCTGGAGACAGGCCGTCTGGGCTAGGCGGGCCGGATCGAGCGGAGCAGTGGGCCAGGGAAACAAACGGGCCCTATGGACCGGCGGGGTCGAGCGCATGCGGGCCGGGTCTTCCGAGGAGTGGGTCGAGCCATGAGTGGCCGCCGATTGGACCAGGAGCGCAGGGAGCTGGGCCAAGCGGGCCATGGGCTGCAAGGGCAAACTAGGCCGAGCCCAGACCACCGTTCGGGCCGGGTCAGCAGAGCTTGTGCGGACCCGTTGTTGGTCGACCCCAAACCCGCGGACCAGGCGTGCCTTACTCGGGGGGGGGGGGGGGGGGGGGGCGACTGGGTTAACTCAACCCATGGGTCAGCTGGGTCACTTCGAACGTCTTCGTTATGATTGGCGACTTCAAGGACGAGGATGGCGGAGAAGAGGAGAAGGAAGGCAACCTCGGGGACGAGGTTGCTTAAAGAGGGGGGTTTGGTGCATTATAATTTTCGCTAGCCACCTAGGATATTATTATTATTATTATTATTTTTCTTTCTAATTATTATTAGTTTGGATATTCAGTTATTATTTGGTTATTCGTATTATTATATTATGTCTTGTCTAGGAAGTTATTTTTTACTAGTCGGTTTGGGATTGGGTTTCCTTGTCTTACGGGGAAAGGGATTTGTGGGACTTATCCTATAAATATGTACATTTGCTCTTTGTTTTTATTCAGTCGATCAATAAAGTATTAGTAGTTAGTAGAGAAAAGTAGCTCTTTTATCGTGTTTTCTAGTTCTTTCACTAAATTGCTCGAGATCACCGGTGCGTGAAATCCCGTTTCGCATCATTACGATAGTAGTGACAGATACGAGGAGCCTATGAGGAAGAAAAGTGAAAAAGTGGAACTCCCACAGCGGGAAATTCTTCCCATCAAAGCGCCCCATCAGCGCCTCAGATTTGGCAGTATCCATGATAGCAGCCGAGAGAAAGCAAACAATGCCCTAGCAGTCGAAGTAACCAAAGAGCCAAAGCAAGCAGCCGAAACAAGCACAAGACAGCGAACAACAAGGTAGGGAATAGCCAAAGAAATTGAGGAACCAAAAGTAAGCAGCCGTCGGCACAAGAGCATCCCAAAAGAGCCTGAAGCAGCCGAACAGAAGAGACAAAACAAATAGCCAAATACCCAGAAAAGACAGCAGCCGAAAATAACCTGAAGCAGCCAAACAAAAGAGAAGACCCAGCAGCCGAATACCGAGAAAAGAAAGCAGCCGAAAATACACAGAGATCAAAGCAGTCGGAACTTCACAAGAGAGGCTCTGATACCATGATAAGAAGTTGAAAATCGAGAAGACAAACACCGGATTTTACGTGGTATCCCTGATAATCGGGACTAGTCCACGGGAGAGGTAGAACTCTCCAGAGTCAATATTATTCAGCTCAATTAATCGTACAAGCTAGCTACAAGGTATATATATAGGCGGTGAGGTTACAGAGAACCCTAATCAATCTAATTTAGGTAATTTATGTAAACAATGGATATTTATAGTAAGCTACCCAAACCTTTCTATAGTCGTCATTTTCAACAATTCATCCACATAGATGTAGAAAGGGCATGCACTTCTACCCTCAGATGATTATGAGTTTTTCTTTGGTATATGTATATGATGAGTAATTTGAGAAATGATTGTTGTGGATGTTGTATTAAAAATGATGTTGTTATCAGTGGTAAAAGAGTTGAGTTTAGCGTAATCCCCGGTAGAGATTCCACTGTGCGGGTGAACTGTTGGTTCAACCCATGAGTTTTAGAGTGCGGTGTTACTACTTGGTTGCTTGTGCTCCACATGTCTGACTTGTAGAACTCCGATTGGACATCGGTCAATAGTTGGGCTTGCTTCACTATATGATCTACTTGTATTGGTCATTAAGTGAGCTTCTGATGTACAAATTCAACCTTTTTGAGTCCATGAGCTTTTATTCTCGTCCTACTTCTGATCCATTAGGCCCCTTGGTAATCCATAATTGTCTAAAGTGGTTGATAGTCTTTGAAAATCACAAAACAACATAAAAAAGGCATCAAACAGTACCGAAACACACTCAAGGTCTATCATAAACTCATTATCCAAATAATTATGAATTCTATATGAAATATAATTAAAACCACTAAAGATGCATTGATATAAGGGAAATTGTATCAAAATATGGGAGTGATAAACACTATAAATGAAGTGTCATCAATTATTCCCCTATTCATCTATTCTAACTTAGGTTTCTTTCTATTGATCAGGAAAATGAATTGCGTACTAGGATGGCTTAAAAAGCACAAAAAGAAGGGAGATGATTATGCTTCTTCTTCACGAGCACTATGATATCCCAGTCCATCACGAGCGGAGTAAGAGTATGCAGCACCTCGAATGTCTAAACGAATGTCTACACGAATGCTCCTCCTCTTTTTTCTCCATCACTGGATCCCTAAAGTTGAGTCACAACTATTGGATGTGTTATGAGAGCTACGGATGACAATCACTATGAAACAGAAGGCTGAGTTTGCTATTGGCTACTCACCACCAGCCCACATTTGGTCGCCATTCCTTAGGTTTGTGCACTACTTTGGCCGAACTAACTTTCACGTGAGGTATAGAGGAGATTTTGGAAAGGTGAACACAAATGACATGATCCTGTTTCATATTGCTGAACAACTGGTGGCTTCATCCAACATGGTTGGTGGTTGAGAACCTGTTGAGGTACACATCCATTACTTCACAAGAACTACTACGAAGGAGCTATATTCTAACTATAGCCCAACACATAGACGAGCATAGAGAGGAGTATGAATTCTATTTGTGGGATACCCTAGCAAGGAATGACCGATGCATAGGTAGCCAACATACACCTTTGGAGTAGAGAAGGTTACACACAAAGGAGTAGACCTCGCCAGTAATGTTTGCCCACTCTACTATGCATGGACGGAGGCAGGGAGATCGATCATGCACCTACAAAGGATACAAGAGCATGGATATGGAGTTGGCAAAGCACCATCACCATCTCATCTTGGACACTATGGAGTCTAGCTAACATAGTTGGAAGCAGCCATGGAGAGGTAGGAGGAGTACTTGACTACCTACCAGACCTTGAACGAGCAATACTGCGATGCTTTGGAGCGTGAGAGAATGATGGAGTTTGAGGAGACTCGAGCTTGGCACCAGAGATAGAAGGCAGAGCAACAATGGAGCCGTTCAAATCCATAACTTCCTTCATTTCCTTGCCTCACTTTTTCCTTTAAATGCCACTCTTCAAAAATTGCATTTGGCCCTACAGTGGATGGTTGTTCGACCAACTACCTTTGATTAATTGTTTTTCAGAGAAGCCTAGCATTCGATGGTCTTATCTATGATGTGATCCGACCATTCCCATCTTCTCAAACTCTCCGGGTCTGCTTCCTCTGAAGCGGTAGCAACAAAAGTGCTTGGCGATCGATATGGAGATTGTTGGTGAATAATTGATCAGCAAAATCAAATGACCATATAGTCCTCAAATTGAAGCCATGTTCCCTCTCATCTCTCCTTCTTGCCCTTTAAGTGTAAATCCTTCAACCTACATGTGGATGAATTGATTGCAATGTTGGAATGATCTCTCTTTCTATTATTATCTCGAATTTAATTAGAAGGGTAAACGAATGGAATAAAAGCTTACTCCGTCACCAATCGATTGTCTAGACTGGGTGCTAGCCTAGGAGAGGAAAAGAATGTGATTCGCTTCCAAATATCAATCTCCAATTGATGACCGATACGGAGGAAAGGCTTGACACTTCGATTTTCCAACACACTTCACATGAATATCGATCCAACTTCGTTGGCAACCAGGAAAACAACGCAGCTCTGAACTGAGCTCCATCTCCTGCTATCCATCTCCAATACCATCTAGGCCAATCGTAAGGGAATCGACAAAGAGCACAAATGGGTGGTCAGTTCATACTCCGCTTTGGTTCGAACAATATTGGTCTACATAAACATTTGACAACTCTGTTACTCTACAGACGCATCCCTAAAACTTGGCAAACAACGTTTATTCTCGCCTTATTAAGGCAAATACAACAACATCACTATTTGTTATTTTCTTGAAAGTTCCTTACCCCTGCAGCGACTACTGATTAATGATTACAAACAATTCCCCATGTCAACAATTCTGTTCAACTCCAAGCAACTATATGAACACAATTAAAATAGGAAAATCAAAATTCTCATAGAACGGAAAACATAAGAGAATACAGTCATATACCACCATCCTTCATGGCTCTTAGTTACGACCTCTGATTCTTGGAGAAGAATCGCAGAACAACATAGAACAGCACCCTGTAAAGAGCGGCCCAACCCAACATAGCCGCAATCCTCTTCCACTTCTCTGATTCTTCCCCGCTGATATTCAGAGAATGCAGGATCCCGAACCCGGTAATCGGCCCTTCTTTCGTGCTCCCGAACACCTCATCCGTCTGATACTGATTCATCAGCAGCCCTTCGTACGGATACGTAATCGTGGAGATCGTGTTCATCCACTTCCAGTACGGCGGAACATCGGCGCTGCTCAAGAAATACCCACAGAACAGGAAGAAGAGAGCCGTGAACGCAATCACCGAAGCGTAACCCAGGATGTAATTCGGCACCACGGAGCTCACGAACACGACAAAGGAATTGGTAGAGAGCAGAGAGACGTAGAGGACCAGCAAGAAGTAGTAAAACGGTCCGCGGAGCTTGAGGGCGTTCCAGACAATGGCCGCGTAGACGGCCGATTGTAGCAGCAGGAAAGGGAGGTAAGTGATTACGCCAGCGATCGTGTAGGATGACGCTCTGTAGGCGTTGTGTGAAGTCTCCCTGACGAAGATGAACCGCTCCTGAATGAAGGCCGGAACGGCGTCGTTCGACGAGAAGAAGAAGAGGCAGACGGTGAAGATGAAGAAGCTGAGGCGGTTGGTTATCCCTTGGAGGTCGGCTTTGGGATTCATGAACATGGTCGCCATCATGAATCCCATCACGGTGAGGACCATCAGCCTGGAGAGGAAGAGCTCGGGAGTGCGGCGGATGTTCTTGAAGTTGCGTCTGATTAGAATCCATGTCTCCTCGAAGAAGGAATTTGCGAATTTCGGGCCGTGAGGTGACAGGTAGGAAGCAGCGCCGGGAGTTAAGTAATCGTTCTCGTTTACGGTGTAATCGCTGCTGTGAGGGGTCGGGGTGCTGGCCAGAATCTCGCTCGAGTACGCATAGTATCCCGGGGAAGAGATGCTGAGGCAAAATAACAGAGAGGAATTTCATCAAACAGTTGGTGGGCAAGAATCAGTACGACCCTCTGAAATGTTCTGATCTTCGTCTTACCTCATTGTGTTGTGTGCTTTTGTTTCTTTCCTCTGACGGGAAGGAGTGAACCTGAGAGTCTGCATGATTCCAGTAGGTGTACCGCTCCATGAAGGGCTCCTGATACTGCGATCAAAATCATCATCGCCGCCACCTTGCTCGATCCCCGCCGCCTTCAAATGAAGCCGCTGCTTCCCAGAGGCAGCGCTCTGTTTTGCAGCCGCCTTGTTGGCGAGGCGGGATGGAAGAGGGGTTCGCGCCACCGTCGATAACAGATCGCCTCCTCCAGCCAGCGGCGGTGGTTTCATCCCAGTTCTAGTGAACTCAGCCAGAACCTGAACTCCTAAATCAGATTGGTCATACTCCTGAATCACATCGATCAAGTACTCGATCGAGCTCTCCCCTTTGGGCACTTTCCTCCCCATTCTCCCCAAATGGCGAGGCACATCGGTGGGCGATCCCTGATACATGAGCTGTCCTCGAGCAAGGATGATGAGATGATCCAGCAGTTGGATGATCCTCGATGAAGGCTGGTGGATTGTCAGGATCACTGTGCTGCCCGATTCCGCTATGCCGCGGACCTTCTCGATCACATTGTTGGCGCTCGTTGAATCCAGCCCTGAAGTGGGTTCGTCGAGGAATAACAGAGACGGGCCATGGATGATGTCAACACCAATGGAGACCCTCCGCCGCTCTCCTCCAGAGACTCCTCTGGTTCCTTCATCTCCAATGTAAGTGTTCCTGGTAGACTGCAACCAAATACAAATACAATGGTTGAAGCCGGAAGAGAAAGAGCTAGAAATAGAATTGAGCTGTTGGGGGTACTACTTACGGACAAGCCAAGCTGGTCGATCAGCTTCTCGACCCGATCTTTCTTCTCGAAGATGGGGATTGCGCCCAGCCGGAAATCGGCAGCGAAGAGCAGTGTCTCGTAGACAGTGAGCATGGGGAAGAGACGATCATCTTGCATAACGTAAGCAGAAGTTCTCTTGATCAATCCAGGGCTCGTCTCTCTACCGTCCAACGAGACTTTGCCTTTCAAGCTCCCACTGGCAATCCTACCCGCCAACCCGTCAAGCAGAGTGGATTTCCCAGCTCCACTAGGCCCCATAACGGCAGTAATGCAGCCCTTTGGTGCATACCCTGTGATTCTGTTGAGGAGATCGATTTCTTTGCTGACCCATTTCCCTTCCACTTTCTTCTTCGAGGTCACGGAGTATGTGAGGTCGGTGAACTCAAGCCCGCCAGTGAAACCCGCTGGCTTGCCTATGCTGATCACAGTCTCGTGAGCATTGTGTGCCATCCTGATGGAACAACCCCCCCAAGAAGCTCTAGCGATAAGAGCCGGAATATGAGTGCAGGTAGAGAAGTTGGAGAAGTGACAGACTTAATACCGATGAACAGCTAAGGTGAGAAAATGATGGGAGGAAAGCCCGAAGTCGAAAAGGTTGCTGTCGTTGCATTGAGCAATCCGTTAGGTTTGGATCGGGAGGAAGAAGGCAGAAGTTGCTCTCTCGTACTCGTCGCCAAGTGGTTTTTGCCGCCTGGCATCAGAATCTTCGGTCAACCCAAGAGTCTTGGTTCTTGGACAGATACGAACAGCAATCTATGCTGAGGATTTGGCTTTTTGCTAAGCTACGGTTTGAAGAAACTTATGCTCGTTTTATTTGCAGGCTGGTTGTCAATTGAGCAACTACTAGCTTATGCCTTGCAGTCATTCTTGGATGGCCCAAGAGTATCGGTTTCGGTCCGGCTAATCAATGAATATTCATCTTTTTCCTTATTTTGTTCTTGTTTAATGAGTGGTCAAAACCTCATATAAACCTCCAGCTAGTTAAGGCCAAACAAGGATCAAGGATTATATCACCCTATGGTTATCTGCAAATAACCACCATTGCTAGTTCCAAAACTCATTGTCTTTAGGCTTATATGCAAGTAACTAATCGAGTCTATCTACAATAGATGGCTAGTTGTTTTTTCTTCTTCCTTTTACCATGTGTCACTCACTAATTTTAGGGATGGCAATGGGTTAGGTCGGGTCGGAGGCGGATAGTGCATATCTATTAGTCCACTCAAAGTAGTTTGGGTTTTACATATACCCATACCCACATGTGAAACGGGTAGAAAATTAAAATCATACTCATACCCGTTCGGGTTTCGGGTATCTATGGTTATCCATGGGTAGTAATTTCTCTTCATAACTCCAACCAATATGTTAAAATTCGCACGTATTCTCACATTACGTAAGAGGGAAAGTACGACAATAATTCACTAGAATGAAGAAAATTAATTATAACAACACACTTTCATGAAAATATTATATTTATATGCTAAATATAAAATATGTTAGAGAAAAATAATTATTATTTCTAGACAAAATACATATGCATGTGTAAAATCGGGCGGTTTGGGTTGGATAGTGAGAAACTCATGCCCACCCATTACCCGCAATATTCTTATTCGGGTTTTACCCGTACCCACTAAATGTCTTTCGGGTTTAGGTATTACCCTACCCGATTAGGCTGGATTCGGGCGGATATCCACAGCTACGGATATTTTTGTCATTCCTACTCACTATTAGTGCACTTGTCAATCATGTAGCGTCTTCTTCATGAATGTGTTCGTACAAGTACAATGTGATATGTGGCACCAATTGTTTTACACCACTAAACTACTTCAACGATTTCCAACAGCGAGCGTCACTTATTTCTAGCTATTTTTATCACTATCGTCGACTTGAGTTACAGGGAGTATCGTTGAGTTGGGTTAGTCCAATCTTCAAGTAGTGTGAGCTATATTTTATTTAATTTGATGTAGTTATGTTATGTTCGAGCAATTGTGAGATACAATTTAGCTATCTTGAGCTTAACTAAACTGCAAAAATCGAGTCTAACTAATCAAAGTTCCTCTAGTCCTTCCTAGATTTAACTACTATAAGCTCTCTAGAACTTACTATGTATTATCAAATAACTAAGAAAACAAAAGTGACTTTGAGATTGCACTCAAACAATGTATTCAACTCATAAAAGATGTGATCAATTTGTGTACATGAAAGACCCTATTTATAGAGTTATGAAAAGAATAAATATAACCTTCCAGAACTATGAAAACAAGTCTCAAATTAAGAAGGAAACATAATATTAATTAAATAATGAATTAACCTCATCTTTAATGTTAAAAGAAGCTCCTTAGTAGCTAAGTAATCTCTTTCCTTCTCATTTCCACACTTGGACAATTTGGGCAAGAAGGATAGACGACTTGGGTTCCAAAAAAGGTTGTTGGCTTAATTTGGATTCCCTAAGCTTGAAATAATTGGGTTGGAGGACTTGTGACTTCTTCGATCTCTTCTTGAACATAGACCAAATTGACTATTTTTGAACTAATTGGCCTTCAAAGAAGGAAAATATGTGGCCAAATATGTTTGCATTGGAGGTTTAAACTTCTTGGCTTCGTGACCCAATGTTAGAGTTTACTGAGTTGACTTGATCATTTTATTGATGTCCACATCATCCCCTCTTTAAGAGGATTTCCCCTTAAATCCAAGTGAAAAACATTGAATGTAAAACTCACCCGAATCTCAAATGCAGGTTATTTTACAATATAAATCATATACTTAATTATTTAATTATCACAATGTTTACATTTGATGGTTTAAAATTTTAGCATGTAGTGACTAAGCATTATTTATGCATTGAGAGAAATGTTCAAAATTAAATTAGAGTTTCATCTTGCAAATAATCTATCATGTGTGATGTATTGAAAACTTGAAGTTCTAGTCAGCTAAAGGATTGTTGTTGCAAATTATGTATGAATGTATTGAAGTTGTAACTGACACCACTTCATTCCAACACTTGAATGTTTTTTTTTTTTACAAAAGATAATCATATATTGATAAGGAAAAATAGACAATTACAGCCTGTGCCTCAACCAGGCCACAAAATCAAACGAACGCTCGTCGTCGGGTACAAAGAAAGAGCTTTGCGAGCCACCAAATGGGCTACCCTATTACTACGCCGACCTACAAACCGGACACTAAACTCTTCCTGCTCCGCCAGACACCGCTGGACCTCTTGAAATATAGCACCTGCACGACTATCCTGCACCGGGGATTTCGCGAGCCGATTGATCACCACCTGAGCATCACTCTCAAATCGTACTTGCCCGAGTCCCCGCTGGGTACACCATAACATGGCCTCCCCGACACTTGAATGTTTGTGGAGTTAGTTATTTAACCTTTTTTTGTTTTAAATCGAACATGAGTTTTTATTTATTTATTTTATTGTGTACTATTTAATTTGTGGTTGTAATAGGACTATTGGATGAAAATTTTGATCTCATCATTATTAGAATATAAATAGCGCCTGTTTGCATTAGGGGTCCAGTAGGATACGGTCCTATCCACCGTAAGCTACTGTGTGCCCTTCCTTGATCGACAACCCTTCATTCTTTCCGGTTCTTTTCTCCCTTCTCTCGTGTTCTCCAATTTCCCTACGTCGTCCCACTGGCGATTACCCAAGTCTAGGTCTCTCTCATCTATAGATTATTCGCTGTCTTGGCGGGTGAATTCTAGCCGGAGGCTAGGTAAGTTTAGGAAGCTCATCGGCGACTCCCCTGCCCCTAAACCGTTGCGATTTCTCATGTCCCAGCACCAATCAAGTCGAGATGTGTCAGAGAAGAAGAATGTTACTGAAGATCATGACCAGCAGAAGGCTTGAAGAAGGAGTTCTGGTTCGTGTTGAAGAGAAATGCAGAGTTGCAGAACAAAGGAAGAAGACAGAGCAATACGGCAGCGTTTCCTTATTAGCCGTTTTTATTTGTTTCAGCTTATAACGCAGTGCCACGTGTAGGCATACGTTTACTCTATTTAAATTACCGTTGTATGACGTTGTTTTACTGTGCTACTTTACTCAGTACAAAAGGCAGCAGGTGGATCACTTTCCCCTCTGCGATTCCAGCTCCATTTCATCGCCGTCTCTAAATCTCTCTCTCGACTGCTAACCCTAGCAGCTCTACAAACGTTTTATGGTATCAGAGCGGTTCTAGTCCGTTTCTTCCGCGTCAATCATGGCTCAAACGCCTTCACCTCAACCTCGCTTTGGTTCTTTCGATACAGAAGGCTCCGGCGGTTCTGGAGCAATAGGGGGACCAACCAGCAACCAACAACAGCAGCAACAACCTGGTAATAACAATCCTGGTCCGATGTTTGGAAGTCCATACTATATTAATCCAAGTGAGAATCTGGGTCAGTCGATTGTTTCAGAAGTTCTTGATGGAACCAATTATCAGGTCTGGCAGCGTGCTGTGTGTATGGCTCTCAAAACCAAACATAAGTTAGGTTTTATTGATGGATCTCTACCCATGCCATCTAGAGACCATGCTGATTTCATTCTATGGGATGCATCTAATACTGTTGTTCTGTGCTGGCTGCTGAATTCTGTTCATAAAGACATTAATAGATCTGTCTTACAACATGATATTGCTAAGAATGTCTGGGATGAACTAAAACGAAGATTTGGAAAATCTAATGCACCCAAGCTAGCCAATCTTCAAGAAGACATGAATAGGTGCAAGCAGGGTACCCTCAATGTTACACAGTATTATATTGCCTTGAAAGGTCTTTGGGAAGAATATCAGCAGTATTCTCCTATTGTGGATTGTGACTGTGTAGTCCAGAGGATAAGGCCTTGTGCAGCTGTGGAGTCCTTCAAGGAACGGCTCAACTCTGAATTCCTGATTAAGTTCCTTCGTGGCTTAAGACCTGAATATGAGATGGTTCATACCCAATTGTTGATGATGAAACCTCTGCCAACTATTGATGCTGCTCTTGATGATGTTCTCCAACATGAGCAGAAATTGAAAGGTGATAAAGGTGGTAGTGCCAGAGGGGTTCAATCAGTAGCCCTTGCAGTTCCAGGGGACAAGGGAAAGGTGTCTGGTGCTGGTAATCAGTCCAAAGACAGCAATTCTGAATATGATGGTGAAAGGAAATTTTGCAGATACTGCAAGAAGGAGGGTCATGTCAAAGAAGAATGCTATCGGCTGAAGAACAAGAAAGCCAGAATGAGTGAAGGAAGCAATGCATTTGCTGGTTCAGTTTCACAGTCACCCTCACAGAGTAGTGATTCTGGTTCTTCAGCTGGTGGGCATTCAATGGAGAAATCTCAATCCTCCAGCTCACTTAGCCTTACTGATGATGAGCTTCTCAAGCTCAAATTTCTTCTGCAGCAGTCTGACAGCATGAGTCCCTCTCCACCTCTCTCACCATCAATTAAACATGCTGCATTCTCAGTCTCTCAGCACTTACCATCTCTGCCTAATTTCTCTGGTAAATATGTTCTCACTTCTCATCTAGAACAAGGTCTTCTAGCTTTAGCACAGAACTGGATATTGGATACTGGTGCTTCTGATCATATAGCATGCACCTTGTCTTTCTTCCTTAATGCCAGTCCTGTTTTGAATCAATTTGTCTATCTGCCAACTGGTTCAAAGGTCCCAGTCAGCCACATTGGTTCAGTAAAACTCTTTTCAGGACTTGTTTTGCACAATGTCCTGCTTGTTCCTTCTTTCACTTTCAACCTAGTCTCTGTCAGTAAACTTACCAATGACCTTCCCATTTCTTTACACTTTGAATCTGACTCTTGTCATATTCAGGACCTCTTAACAAAGAACCAGATTGGTTTGGCAAGACAGACTAGAGGACTCTACCAACTCCTTCCTACACCAAGTTTTCCTTCTCTTCCTCAAGTAGCAGCCACCTACAATTTCCAGCCCCATTCCTTTGAGCTTTGGCATTGGAGGCTAGGCCATCCCAGTCAAGCTCGAGAACAACAAATTCTTGGTTGTAATAGGAGTCATGTCATTCATTGTTCTACTTGTCACTTATCAAAACAGAAAAAGCTTCCTTTTCCTATTAGTGACAGTAGAGCAAACTCAGTTTTTGATTTAATTCACGTTGATATTTGGGGACCTCTTGCTGTAAAGTCTCATGATGGATTTTCTTATTTCCTTACATTGGTTGATGACCATACTCGAAGTGTTTGGGCTTATTTGATGAAACATAAATCAGAAACTAGTGACCTTTTACAGCATTTCTGTGTGATGGTGCATAAGCAGTTTGGCAAACCAGTTAAGGCCATTAGGAGTGACCAGGGCAGTGAGTTTCACATGCTTGACTTCTATTCACAGCATGGCATTGAACACCAAACTTCTTGTGTAGAAACCCCTGAACAGAATGCACGCGTAGAAAGGAAGCATCAGCATATACTCAATGTAGCTAGAGCACTTCGTTTCCAATCCAATTTACCTCTTTCCTTTTGGAGTGACTGCATCTCACACGCAGTTTACTTAATCAATCGAATTCCATCCCCAGTCACCAGCAATGTTTCCCCTTTTGAACTTCTCTATCAAAAACCTCCTTCCCTTAGTCATCTCAAAGTATTTGGCTGTCTTTGTTATGCCTCAACTTTACTTCGAGATAGAACTAAGTTTGATTCACGTGCTAGGCAATGCATTTTTCTTGGCTATCCACCTAGCACCAAAGGGTACAAGCTCTTTGATTTGAACACTCATCAACACTTTGTTTCACGCAATGTGGTCTTCTATGAACACATTTTACCCTACAAACCTTCCTCCTCTCCAACTGATCCAGCTGATCCAGCTGCAGTTCCTGATCCCATTTTTCCTACCACCACACCACTACCTTCTGATTCCTCTATCCCTTCTGATTCCTCTATCCCTTCTTTTCCTGCTTCTTCTTCTTTTCCTCAGAATGCCCCCTTTTCTCCTGAACCTTGCTCTAGCACTGAGATGCTTGATATGGCTAGTGTGCATTCTGATGGGGGAGATGAGTCTGAATTATATGGTCAAGAAGAGATTGAGGAAGACCAAACCGCAAATGAGTTGAGGAAATCTGATAGGGCCAGACAGATTCCATTTTGGCACAAGGATTATGTGTTTTCTGGTGCTGTCAGTAAACACTCTATGCAGCATGTTTTGTCCTTTGATCAACTTCCTCAAGCTCATAAGACATATGTGTTAAATGTGATGAGTGCTGTTGAACCAAGATCTTATGAGGAAGCATGTAAAGAGCTGTGTTGGAGAAATGCTATGACTGCTGAATCAGAAGCACTTGATGCCAATCAGACATGGGATTTGGTAATCCCTCCACCAGGTGTGAAACCAATTGGATCAAAATGGGTGTACAAAATTAAGCATAGATCAGATGGGACAATTGAGAGGCACAAGGCAAGAGTTGTGGCTAAAGGGTTCACTCAAATTTATGGTATAGATTTTTTGGATACCTTTTCACCTGTTGCCAAGATAAACTCAGTGAAAGCATTACTTGCAGTAGTTGCTTCTAAGGATTGGCACATACATCAAATGGATGTGTCCAATGCCTTTTTACATGGTGATTTAAATGAAGATGTTTATATGAAGGTGCCTCCTGGAATTCCAGTACCTGATAAGAGGATGGTTTGCAAATTAAAGAAATCCTTGTATGGATTAAAGCAAGCTAGCAGGCAATGGTTTGCCAAGCTAACTGCTTCACTACTGAAGAATGGTTTCTCACAAGCTGCTGCTGATTATTCCATGTTTGTTAGAAGGGTCCAGGGAAGAATGCTTGTTGTGTTAGTGTATGTTGATGATATTTTGATTGCAGGAAGTCACCTGGGAGATGTTGAACAGGTTAAACTTCACCTAGGAAGGGAATTTATGGTTAAAGACCTTGGTCAATTGAAATTCTTCCTAGGCTTGGAAATACACAGAGATCACAGAGGCATTTTTGTCAATCAGAGGAAGTACTGTGTGGACCTCTTGGAAGATGTGGGATACTTGGAAGCCAAAGATTGCCTTTCTCCAGTTGATTACAAAGTTAAGCTATCTGCCAAACAAGGTGAGCCTTTGCCAAATCCTGAGGTATATAAAAGACTCATTGGCAGACTCCATTGTCTGACCATTACAAGGCCAGATTTGACCTATGCTGTGCAACAGCTTTGCCAGTTCCAGAAAGACCCTTACACTGAGCATCTTCAAGCTGCTTTCAGAGTGTTGAGATATTTGAAACATGCCCCAGGTCAGGGTTTGTTGTTTAAAGCAGGAACCAAGTTGGAGTTACAAGGGTTTTCAGATTCTGATTGGGCAAGTTGTGTTGACACAAGAAGGTCAGTAACTGGTTATTGCACTATGCTTGGTGAATGTTTGTTGTCCTGGAAGTCAAAGAAGCAAACGACAGTCTCAAGATCTTCCTCAGAGGCTGAGTACAGAGCATTAGCTCAATTGGTGTGTGAACTTCAATGGATCAGAAGTCTTCTAGCAGAAATGGGAGTCAGTTTACCTTTACCAATTGAAGTTTTCTGTGACAACAAATCAGCCATTCATATTGCTGAAAATCCAGTCTTCCACGAGAGGACTAAGCATATTGAAATTGATTGTCATATCACCAGGGAAAGGTTGAAGTCTGGCATGATCAAGTTAAGCCATGTGAGAACTGATGATCAATTGGCTGATCTGTTTACCAAGGGAGTTACACGTTACAGGCTTACTTATTTGCTCAGCAAGTTGGGAGTTACAGACATCTACTCGCCAACTTGTGGGGGAGTGTCAGAGAAGAAGAATGTTACTGAAGATCATGACCAGCAGAAGGCTTGAAGAAGGAGTTCTGGTTCGTGTTGAAGAGAAATGCAGAGTTGCAGAACAAAGGAAGAAGACAGAGCAATACGGCAGCGTTTCCTTATTAGCCGTTTTTATTTGTTTCAGCTTATAACGCAGTGCCACATGTAGGCATACGTTTACTCTATTTAAATTACCGTTGTATGACGTTGTTTTACTGTGCTACTTTACTCAGTACAAAAGGCAGCAGGTGGATCACTTTCCCCTCTGCAATTCCAGCTCCATTTCATCGCCGTCTCTAAATCTCTCTCTCGACTGCTAACCCTAGCAGCTCTACAAACGTTTTAAGATGACAATCACAAAAAGGGAGACGCTAGCAATCGGAGATCCCACCGGAGAAGCATCCTGAGAACAACCATGCAACTAGATGGAAGAAGCAAGGAGAGTTAGGAGAGGAGAAATAAAGAAGGAGCGGCCGCCGCCGCGAGCTTCCATTCCAGTTTCCGTTAAGCTTCATCAGACCAGGAAAGGCATGAAAGAGTTCATTTTTTGCCGCCCACTTCGACTTGATTGTTCTTCTCAAAGAGGAGAGAGACCTTTGTGTGGCTTAATTTGATTTCGCTGGGAATATTATTTTAGGGTTTTAAGCGGGAGATAGTGTTGATAAAAGAAGAGCTCGCATCGTGTTGCTGGGTTGCATTAGTAGCTGGAGAGTATTGTCATAGAAATTATAGGAAGGATCGTATAGAGTTGATTGAGTTTGATTTGCAGGCTGGTGGAAAGGAACCCAACGCAATCACCCGGCGTCCATTTCTTTTCTTCTTCTTAGAACGATTACAAAAGGGAAGGGGAAAGAGTTTGCCTAGCCGAATCAGGCTTCACTTTAGTGAAAAAGAGCTTGACAATTAAGCCCGATTGAGCTATTTTATTTGTTTTCCTCCAAGCTCCAGCTTCAATATGCAGTTGTTATCTTACCCATTTGCATGACTTACATTTGCAATGAAGGGATACCACCTCCATACTAACTTATCTTTCCCTTTGCTAAATATTTGTTCAGATCATTTGTACATAAAAATGTTCTCTTTCTGCTTTATTAATTCTTTTCCATTTTAATTTTAGATTTCATGGGTTGACTTAATTGTGCACTAATCAATTGCATGGATAAATTTTCCTTCATTAATCTGAGAAAAGCTAATAAGTTTTGCCCAAAAAAACCTTCATGGGTCTCCCTTTGGGCTTGACTCTAATGCTGTTGATAGATTTTTGGTAATCTAAAAGGATTCATAAAACATATATGATTTGTATTTACACATGAGATTGTAAGAATTCATACTATTGATGATTTATTTATTTATTTTTATATAGGTAAGGAAACTATTGAAAGAAATAGAATTGGTGTTTAGTTAAAATGAGTTGTATAACTTTCTATGATATGAAATGTTTTTGTTGGTTGAATATGTAATTTTTCGTTGTAGAGTATCCATTGTTTGTTCAATCAAGACTATACTTGGTCCTTTGTGAATTTATCTTTATTTAGTGAAATTTTAGTACTTTGTCTCCCATTTCATTTTATTATTTGACAATAATATATAGTTTATTATTTCCATTGCACAGGTATACTGTGGTTTGTGGTGTTTCGTGCAGTATTTTCTAGCATACTTAGCATTAACAAATCTAAATACTTCTCATGTCCTTGTCCTTTATCAGTTTCTTTTTACCAAGTGGCTTTTATCAGATTGCCTCACACAAGATCTAACTATATTGGTGCCTTGGCAGCTATATATAGCTATTAAAATTAGAAAATGCTAAGTTCACACACAATTTCCAACAGTATTGCATTCTTTTTCTATGGATTTTAATGTTTAATAAATAAGCTGACGATTTGGTCATGGGACACCTAGGGCTTGGATCGCGAATTGATGGAGTTGTTCAGAGTTTATTTAGTTGTTTTCTAGATTGGCGACTCAAACACTGATGAGTCGCATTCAAAGATATATTTGTGGATCATTCAAATCATATACTATTCAAAGATATATTTGTTGATTTCATTGTGCAAATCAAATCGTTGTGCACAGTTACCAGCCGCAGAGCGCGGGCCACTTATCTAGTAACTATTAATTGTTGTACTTTACCGATTACGATTAATTACACGAAAAGTTTGCAAATTATACGATTGCAATAACTCAATCATCTTAAAGAATGCTAATTGTAACGAGTAAAGAACGAGTAACACAATGTGTTGATTCGAACAACTCGCAATTCGATCCACTTGTAACCAGTCCGACCCGTAACCCGATGAACATACAGCCCGACTAACTCGTAATCCGACTTGCGTGTAACACAATAAACTCAAAATCCGACTAACTCATAACTCGATTGAACACATCTCAGCCAAACGCGCCAAATTGACACCTCTCGTTAAACACAATAACCCAATGGGGAAAGGATGAGAGAAAACGAAGAAACAGAAAGATGAAGGGAAAAAACAGAAAAGGGGACAAAGGAAAGAAAGAAAGAAAGTGGATGAGGTCTAGTATTAGAAAGAGTTTTGTCGGGATTGTGATTGGTGGGTGTGTTGCTCAACAGCTTCATGCTTTTGGTACGCCATTGACGTACAAGCAAATAATTCATAACTGAAAGTACGTACTACCAAAGCTTTCGTGTTTTCAGAAGCGAAAACCCTGTGTGTAGCGTAGTTAGTAGATTAGTACTACTCTTTTTCTTTTCTACACATTAAATAACACTCCAATTATTCTCAAAGAACGCCATAGCTGGAGTCAAGACTCTCCAAAAGTCAGAAAGGGTCATCCTCTTGCGTGGACTTCCTCACCGGAGAGAAATTTTTCCCGGCGACCTCTGGGCTCCTCTCTTGGATGATCTGATAGAGATTGGCCCAAACCGCTGCTTAATATCCGGTATGTAATGAACCGTAATTCTATTTCAACGGTTTATCTGCAGTAACATACTTAGGAGTTTGAGCGATCATTTTGCTCTGTTTGATTTTGCACACTGAATTGCAAGGGGGAACAGTAGAGGCTGGAAATCTTGTGCATTTCTCATATTTCTGGTACACCATATGCTAATTATGAATGATCTGATCTGAGTTTGTATCAACGTTCCTTCCCTCAATTCAGTTTCAGTTGGGTTTCTATTTGAAGTCCTTTTGATGGGTTTTCTGCCATCGGATCTTCGTTGTTAGGCGAGTATCAAGAATGGAGGTGAAACAAGAGGCGGAATGGGTTGAAGCACAGAAGATTTTCACCAGCGTTGACCTGTTGGCTGCAGCCAAACAGCAGCTTCGTTTCCTTGATGCTGTTGATAAGAATCGCTGGCTCTATGAAGAACCAGCTCTCGGGAAGGCCATCTACAGGTAACAATGGGTTTTCTCATATTGTCCCCAAAATTTACGACTTTAAGATGTTCGACGTGTTGTCTCTGAGAACGGCCCGTATCTGTGTGTCGCTTTGACTGGGAAGTTCGGTTTAGTTAGTCCTGCCATGGCTTAAATGGGTGTTCAATTTTGTTTGCTTAATCTTAAAATTTTTGAGTTTCAGGTATAATGCTTGCTGGCTTCCTTTGCTAGCCAAACATTCTGAATCACCTCTTTTTGAGGGGCCACTTGCTGTCCCGCTTGATTGTGAGTGGATTTGGCATTGCCACAGGCTCAATCCCGTATGTTTCGAACTTCCAGCTCAATGATATCCTCCTTGTGTACATATGATTCACTACCATGAAACTAAGTTTCTTGTGTGGAGACGGTATACCATGTGTTTAACTTAGACTTCTTGATCAGGTGCGGTATAATTCGGACTGTCTGGATCTATATGGATCAAATTTGGACAACTCCCATGTTGTGTCTTCCATTGAAGGTACCTGCACAAGACAAACTGAGGAAGTTTGGAGCAGGATGTACCCAGATGAGCCTTTTCACTTCGATATCAGCAGAGCTTTGTCACCACTTGGTAACAGTGACCAATCTGTCACAGTTGTTGAGAAATGCACCAAATATGATTTGGTAGCCGCAGTTAAACGCCAGATTCCTTTCACCTATCAGGTAAGGAGTGGGAAGGAAGTGAATGAGTGAATAAAGCCTGAATAAATTAGTCAAAAGAATCAACTGATTAGCTGTTGTTAGACTTAATCTGGTTAATGAAACTTAGTTTAATCAGGAGATAAGAAACCATGCTGAGATTCCGAGCTACTGTCTACTTTTATATGTAGGTGTCCAGGCCTCATATGAGCCATCATGTTTTCCTTGAAGAAGCCGTGGCCAGATACAAAGGGTTTCTTCATCTGATCAAGAGAAACAGGGAAAGGTCCATAAAAGCATTTTGCGTTCCAACTTATGACATTGATCTTATCTGGCACGCACACCAGTTGCATCCTGTTTCTTACTGTAAAGATTTGGGTGCATTGCTTGGCAAAATACTGGAGCATGATGACACGGATTCTGACAGAACCAAAGGAAATAAATTAGATGTTGGATTTTCCGGAACTACCAAACATTGGGAAAATACATTTGGCACAAGGTATTGGAAGGCAGGTGGAATGTACAGAGGTGTTGCCCCGTCTCCTGTTACTTCCAGTCATTTCACATCAAATCTTTCGAGTAAAGGAACAGCGCAGCTTAAGGATTATCTGGGGACAATTCATCTCCCACCGAAGAAGACTGTAGAGGTGCTTTAAGTCTAACAACTGGAATCTTCAGCTTCCATTTCTGTTAGTAGATATAGTTCTTATTTTTACTGCTCATTACATTATTTAAGACTCAGAACTTTTTGCTGATTTAACAAAATGATTTGGTTTCCTATTTTCGTAACTAATGCTGCTTGGGTAATTACAAGAACTTCTCTGATAACTTTTATGCTCGTTCACATTCTTCAGGTTATGTTGGAGATTGTGGGGTCTAAAAACTTGCCAGAAGGGCTGAACGGAAAGCTCCATGTCCTGTTTAGCAAAAAACAGCCAGATCAATTCTTCAATGTCAAGCGAAAACTGACAATTCTCTCTGAAACCGGGGTGAAACAGGTTGCTTCTTTCGAATGTGAAGCTGAGGGAGATCTGTTACTTGAACTTGTTTCACATTCATCCTCCCAACTGCCATTATCCAAAGAATTCAAGACAGTGGGTTCTGCTTTGCTTTCTCTGCAAAATCTTTTGAATCCAATAACCAAACTTGCAGAAGAGAAATGGGTGGAATTGCTGCCTGTTTCTGGAAAATCGAGCTCATGCCCCCTCTGCCTGCGAATTGCTATATCTTACACTGTCCCAACTCAAGCACCTTTTGTATTAGACATGACTCATCCTAGGCTACTGCTAAAAGGATTGTGTTTCTTCCCTCTACCTGGAAGGGTTCAACATTCTAAAAGCTGGACGGATATCACCAGTGAAACTAGTGGTGAAAGGATGAGCTTGCAGATGAGGTCAATACTGTTTGTGATTCTTTGATTTCAATGCATAAAGTAGAATCGTGCAGTTTCTACTTCCTACTGTGAAACTTCTCTTTTATTTACACGAGACATTCTAATTACTGACCGTATTACATTTGTTGGATATGAGAATTTTGTGTCTCATACATCTTCTATTGGCATGTTTAGCTGCCTTTGATATCCTGTGGCCATTGATTGTGAAGTATTGGTCCATATTACAGGGACTCTAAGAAGTCGAAGGAAAATGACAAAGGGGCTCCAATGAAGAAGGTCATTGGGCTCATGGAATCAGGTGAAAGCCGCACACTTGCAGAATTTTCAGATTCCCACTGGTCTTTGATGGATTCTCAGTGGCGCCTTGGTCTTCAAAGGAAGTCCAATGATGATGGTCATCTCGCAGATCTTATTGGCTGCAGGACGGTAATTATCAAAGCTTCTAACTTGGATTTATGAAGTCTACAGATTTTTCAAAATGAATCTTGCCTTCAGTTTGTCCTCACGCTTTCACAAAAGGTGAAGAGTCTTAACTGCTGTGTTCCTGGCACAGGTGAGGATTTTCCAAGGAAGAAAGCTAGATTATGAGCCCAAAATCTGTGAGAAATGGAACAGTGAACAGGACTTCATGACTCTGGTTGAATTTTCTGCTCAACATCCATATGGCAAAGCTGTGGGATTGATGGATTTGAAGTCAGGGATCATCAAGGTAGATATATAGGCATTCTTATTGCTGCATTTCACCTAGGGCCTGCATCTCTTGCTACTTTTAACTTACAACGAATTGGCAGGTACATGAAGAATGGCTGGTGCTGCCTGCAGTTGTATCAGGCTTCATACTCTTTAAGATTCTTGAGAAGAAGCAATATGATAGTTTTACTCTGAACTCGGAAAGCTCGGCGAAGATGAACGGGGTACTGAAAGCAACCCCATTGTTGCATAAAGATAGTGAAGTGAAGGGTGGCGGGGGTTGTGGCAGTGGCTGCGGCAGTGGATGCGGAAACATGGTGAAGAGTGGTGGCGGTTGTGGGTCTGGGTGCGGCAGTGGATGTGGGAACATGGTGAAGAGTGGTGGTGGTTGTGGCAGTGGGTGCGGCAGTGGATGTGGAAACATGGTGAAGGGTGGTGGTGGCTGTGGGAGTGGATGCGGCAGTGGATGTGGAAGTGGATGCGGGAACATGGCGAAGAGCGGTTGCGGTGGCTGTGGCAGCGGATGTGGAGGCGGGTGCGGGGGTAGTGGATGTGGAAGCATGTTTAAGAGCAGCAGCGGGTGTGGAGCTGGCTGCGGTGGTTGCGGTACGATGACTAGAGACTCCATTGTTAACTCCGGTGAAGATGGCGCTAGAGAGTTGACCGTGTATACAAGTTAAGGGATCGGGGGTTTTGTGCTTTTGATGTATAGAATGTGCGTGGGCGTGAAGAATAAGCTTTGTTTAGCAAATAATGCATATGAACTTTCATCTCCAGATCAGATGAGGCCTGGGGGTGGTTCGATTGGCTGGGATTCTGGTGCTTCGAGTCACTTGTGTATAAGTTGCGCTTCTTTCCCTTCCAAGTGTACGAGTTTCTGTTGTTTGTGAGTGTGGTTGCAGCTAAATACGGGTTCACCGAAGCTTACACATATGCATCACATGTAGCTGCACTTTTGTTTTCAGTTCTTATCCGTCCATGTCCTGCAACTAGCTTCAGCGTTCCATATGGGGAAACACGAACACCGAACATCAACTTCAGAATTGTACAATCCAATTACGGATACATTAATAGGGTTAGAAAATAAGTGTTTTACTGCGAGGAAAATCTGGTGTTTGAACTCAATAAATGCAACTTTGACTTTTTGAACAACGACAATAACACGGTTCACACCTCTCCGAACAATGTTCAAACGAGGGTGTTTGATTATTTTGATGGCTGATAAAACTAAGTTACGTTACTCCTACTCTATGGAGGTTCAGTGAGAGCTCTAGAAACTAAAGGCTACGATTATGGCTACATTGCAGAGAAAAAGATAGAGTTTGACATGTGTTGTCAAATGTTTGGTTGTGGAACCCTTGCTTCGTTTTCGTTTCTCCTATTTATAGACATCCCTTGTAACCGCTTTGTAACTGCCTCTTGTAACTGTTGCCTCCCATGCTTGGTGCTTGATGTAACTTGTTTGATGTCTTAACCGCCTTGCTTGCCTGCTGACCACTTGGTATCCTGATAGCTTGACGACTTCACTTGGCAAGTAGCTACCTTGTGTCATGGAGGTATCTTGCTTGGTGAGTGAGGGCTTCAAGCTTGGTGGTAATCGTGCTAACCACCCTCGACTAGGGTGATTGGGGGTCTGATGGATGCACACTGACCCCCTTGAGGGTAACATCATACTTGTAGGGTCTTGACAAGGTTGTCTACCATGTGATGATATACATGGCTGACCACTTAGAAACTTGATGACCTTGCACGAGACCTTGCACGCCTGCTCTGCTTGGGTACTTGAGAGATGAGTGTCAAAGCAATACCGACACCAACTCTCCTTGCACGGCATCATAATGCTTGACCCCTCTTGTGCTATGGGTCTCAGCACTTAGCCAAATTTCACCTTCTTTTGTCGCATCACGTTTAGGGGTACTCGTGATAGCTCTCCTTGCACGACATCATGCTTGACACCCTAGCGCAAGGTAGGTAGATGGCATAGTGCTTGACCCCCCTGGGATGATGTCATGCTTGACCCCCCTTGTGCTATGGGTCTCAACACTTAGCCAAATTTTGCCTTTCTTTGTCACCACGGTCTAGGGACTTGTGTTGCTCTTCTTCCCTTGCCACATGTTTGATACCCGGTAGGCTGCTAGACCCCTTGCGTCCCATCATACTAGACTCACCTGGGAATATGTCATGCTTGACCCCCTTGGATGGTATCATGTTTGACCCCCCTTGTACACTATGACATGGTAGGTGGTTGGCCGACAAGGGTCTTGATACTACCACGTCTAGGGGTACTCGTGATAGCTCTCCTTGCACGGCCTGTGCTTGACCCCCTTGGACGATGTCATGCTTGACCCCCCTTGTGGTTAGGTCTCCATACTTAGCCAAATTCATGTTTTTCATGTCTTGGTACCAAGTTGTGCCCCCTGGCCAAGGAATTCCATACTTAGCCAACTTTCATGTCTTTTGGTATCAAGCCTGCCTTGTCAGCCCTTGCCGGCTTGATACCCCGTCGTTGACCTCCTTACTTGGTACCTGGTGATTTGGCACCCAGTTATGCCACCTTGTTTTCAGACTTAGTTTTTGGGAGCCAAATTTCATACCAAGGGGTGGAGGCATCATCCGGCTATGGGGGACACGGAGACGGGTCGGCCATCGTATGTATAGAGAAGAAGGGGTTTGGTCACTTAGGCCCAAAAACCCAACCCAATAAAGCCTAAGTAGCTCTTTTAGTTATTAATGTTGAGTTGACCTTGTAAATCCATTAATCCTCTTGTAATCAATCGATGTGGTATAAACTGATTTTTGTATGGGTAAACAATAAGAGAAGATGGTTAGAAACTTAGAATGAGAAGTCTCTATTTCTACTTATTTAAAGATTAACTAATATCAACAAATCATACATACAGATGGAAGCATCCGGAGGAGGGTTCCCTTGTGAGTGAGCTCCCGTGCTCCTCTTTTGGGATAGGCCATTCGGCTCACTCTCATGATAGACCCAAGGTCTACCCACTTTGCTTAAGAACCAACATCCATTTGTCATTCCTAAGAGAATGAGTTGAAGTTTTTGTCTGTCATCTTATGAGAAGGACTAAAGAGATTCTTCAATTGAAATTGCAGGTTAAACACCATTCCCTGCAAATCAAAAGGATACCATCATTCAAGATGTTAAAACAACATAATATAACATGTTTTGACAATATTTCGTATACTCTCTTCTTAATCAACTTCTTTTTTTTTATGACACTCTATCGATTTCTTAAAGACTAAAACTTGTCACTTGAGGTAACAAATAGATTGGTGGATTCATGAATTTGATCAAATAGATTTTTGGATTAATTATGGATCCAAGTGATATATAAACATTTGACCATAACATAATTTTTCAACGATATTGTATGCTAGAAAATTAAATTTTAGGTATCAAAATATAAAATAGAAAAAAGCATACGTAGTAAACTATAATTTTCAAATAATTATGAATCCAATCCATGAATCTACCATTCAAATTAGATTTGGATTAACTGGATTGAATTAATTGAATACAAGATTGCCACATCAACCTAACCGTGATATTGATTCGGCTTTCTCGTTTTCAAGCCCTACTATTAGTAGTCTTGACATTCGTATTGATTTGGCTTTTTCCTTATGAAGCTTGCTACCTTAGCCTCCTCTTCTTGGAGAATTTCCTCATTGCTTGATTGGACGGCAAAAAAACACCAATCAATAAGTTAGAGTCAGGTATTGGGAACGATATTATTTTACAATAGCATGACAATTAAGATGACCATTTGGTTTGTTCTTGTTTCCAGTGAGAAATTTTTTGTTGGCTTGAATTAAATGTACTTTGACTTTTTTGGACATCGATTTCTAAAACAAACGAGAGCTGCTTGATGAGAAAGGAATCTAAGTTCAACTACTATATTCCTATGAAGATTCCTTAAGAGCTCCACATGCTACAACTATGACTACTCCTATGACCAACCTTTCATGGAAAGAGAGCTCTTCAACGATGGTTAAAAAAAATTAAGAAGGCAATAGGTTATCTGGTTTGAATTTGACTAACCTGTCTTCTGACGTCTTCGTCTTCTATTGTAGCAACTAGCAATACGAAGTACTTGCCTTCAAAAAATTGCTCCACTCCTTTCTAGGACGTGACTGACCATGAGTGATGGTTGCCCTCTTTACTGGTGATCTTGATAGGGGGCGTACCTATGGATGTTTAATGTATAAACAAATCACACCTCGAGACACAAAATCCATTTATCATTCCTAACATAATGACTTTAAATCTTTGTTTTTCATCTTACGCGAAGGACAAAGGAAATTATTCAATTGACATAGTAGGTTAAACACCATTCACTTTATGTCAAAAGGAAAAGACCAATAAAGATTTTTTATAAATGGTAATAACACATATGTTTTGGGTACTTAATTCTATTATTTCATTGTGTATTTGATACTTGTATGGTTAAAAACGGAGACCTACTAAACTCTGAAATTATTTTAGTATCAATACCATTTTGTGTTGAACAATTTGATGCATTTTGGTAGAAAAGAGGGAAAACTAAGGGATAAACATATTTCATATGCAAAGCCAAAAACACATTGGTTCATAGGAAAATAAACTAGTGAGCTAGACCAAAGACTAGTGCATAACCAACTCGGTTTGGGCCAGTTATCTTCAGCCTAACAAAACTCATATAGCAGTAGCATAAAAGGTCATCTCAAGCCGTACAAAAACATAAATTTTCGGCCCTTTAAGGACAATAAAAGAGATCGCGAGATTTTGTAGACTCAACTTCTTGATACTTGGTAAATTGAGGATTCTAAAGGGAATTAATTTTCTTGTTGATGAACGAATTGTACTTAGGGGATTCAATTGGACAGAATTCACCTGTGGATTTTTTTTTTCTCTCTCCCTGTGAGAGTCTTGTTTCTTTCCCTGCTTTTAGACTGTTTGTTCGTCTTCCCTCTAGAAGTTTTATCATTTGCTCCTCCTTTGATCTATTTTTTCATCTCATTTCCTCCCTTTGATACCGTTTCTCTGAAAGCGAGCTTTCAAATTGTGGAAGATGGAAATAACAAATGATGTCCTTGATTAAATGTTGGTTCTCATTGTACCAGACTCAGAAAAAGATTGCAAAAGCATTATTGACTTTTGCAGTCCTCCTCATGCTCCAGGTCCAGATATCTTAATCTATCTAGTACTATTTGAACAAATATAGCAACGCTTCGAGCTTGGTTCATGTATGTTGTTAATGCATTTGATAGTACACTGGAGAATCTGGAGACATTAGAATATGCTCAGGCCGAATTCGATGACATAATAAATTCACCATCCATTTATGCTAATTTGAAAAGATCAAAAGCCTAGCCAACGCGATGGAACTTTACTCGTCATTGGTCTTATTAATAAACAACACATGGGCAGAAGCAAAAGAGTCCATTAATATGAAAAATGAGGTATGTTTGTGCCCTCGAGTGGGAAATACTATTGCATTGCATGGGTTTATATTTTTTTGTCTTTCCCCCCTCTATTGTATGGTTAGAGTGGATAGAAACTAAGTCTATATACATGGATCTCGACCTTAGAGCACCTACTTGTTTTCCGTATTGTAATTTATGTTATATTCAATTTTGCCTGCATTTATGTCTTAGTAGAACAACCCATGATTGATCCGTTGAAAATCATTGTTAGTTCATAAGATTTCTTTATGTTATCATGATTTCATTACAGATAAAATTTCTAATAATTTTCACCACTCAATAATTTCTTAGTATGCTATGTGGTTGCGGGTAAGTTCGCCCAATCTTCCACAATAAAAATATTTCCTTTAGCTTGCAAATTGGCAAAGCCTCCTGCCTTTTCACTAACACAATCCGAACTTGCCACAAGCAGCCTTCTTTAGATTTCTCATAATGGAAATAAATGTATTTTTGGCCAGAGACAATGGCGCGATACTGAAGCTTTTTTTTTATCATTTATTCATTTAAAACATCTGTTCGCTCAACCATGAACCTGGTTGTCGGATTCCAAAGAGGGAAAGGGGGAAGTTTGTGTTTTCGTTGTGAGCATATACGAGATGTTGTGTGTTCATTGTGTAGTGTGGTGTGGTAGGATAATATAATATCCCCATCTTCATCATTCAATGCTTCATCTGACTCTTTCATTGCTCACTAATGCTAGATCTTATACATTTTCCACGTCATTGTCATACAGAGGAAGCAAACTCTCGACATAGGGATCATCATGACCATCATCACCTCTCACTGCTTCCACATTCTCACTAGACTCCATGGGGTGTTCCAGACTGTGTAGCACGGGAAGATGCTCGAATGTTAGCTCATTCCTCACCAATACTGACCTGCTTGCTAAATTATTGAAAACTACAATGATCCAACCCAAACTTATGTATATTGGGACTTGTTAAAAGTTTTGTATTGTGGAATTTAAAAAAAAATGAATGTATTTTAGTGAAAATCCCATCAGTGGGGAGGCAAAATTTAGGAAGAAAATTGTGATTGTATTCCTTGTTTAGTGGGTAGCCTATTACTTCTTAGAGGATAGTTGAACACAAACACAAGTCATACTTTTTATAGTTAAGAAGGTTATTTTTTATTTGAGTTATCTTTTACTCGGTATTGATCTGAACATTAATTGTCTATATGTTACTCCCTATACAGATGTGTTTGGTGGGAAGTTAATGGGTGGCTATACAGGTGCAGGCTCTTTTTGGCTTGAATAGCCAAAAAGAGTTGGCATTGGGGCTGGACGTGCTTATGTGAGGTCTTTGCGGCCTAGATTATCGTGTGATAAATGAGCAAGAGATAGACACCTCTAGTGTAATTACATAGTTGTGTTGAGTGATCCTATTGGGAATGTTAAGTTAGGTGTTCTGGTGTTGGGTGCCTCTCCTAGTTGGGTGTTCACGAATAACACACTTTTCTGTGTAACATGTTAGGAGATCTCAATGGGTGTTCTAGGTTGCATATGTCGTGGTCAGGTGTTGTGAGTGGAGTACTCAATGTGAGGGTGTTCTTCAATACCGTAACACAAAACAATACTCGAAACTGATCCCTAAGTGTGTCACATATGTTGGTTGAGGTATGTCTCCAGCCTCTAGGGGTGTTATATTTGTGTTTGTTTATACTTTCTCCCAATCTTTACTATGTGCAATGGTTGAGAGATGACTAAACATAACATTCAACTAAGTGCGATGTGTGAGAATTAAACCCCTCACTTAGCCTTTAGAAATTAAATGTTTTTTGTAGATTAACATTGACAATAGGAATAAAACAGTTTAATAGTAGTTAAACTTGTTAAAGTAGACTATAATATCCAAAATCGTTAACTTTCCGTTAGAGTTTCGCAGAATACCATCATAGACATATTTAAGATTTACTTTTTGGGACATACTACAATCAACATAGAGGCAAGCATGGAAGCCTATTGCTTTAGGGAGTTTGTCTCGTCATTGTGCCTTTCTCAATGTCGAGCCATTCAACAGTCTTATTCACTTCGACGAGGCAAAGATTAAGGGGAGTAGATCGAATGAGTTGCTGAGTGCTTTTGTGGTTCCTCAATTGTTGGCAATCAACTATAGTGTTTAGTTTTTACCCTTTCCTACACCTGTAATATGAACTATAATGTGTTGCACACAATTTTCGGTTACACTTGGACGAGTTATACGATTTGGTTTATGATTTAACTGGAAAACCGTGATCGAATTCTCACCTCTATTGTTTTATGTAGAGCTATCAACAAGTATGAATTCAGGCAACTTCTAAAACTTTAACCTAAAAAGTCAAACAAATATTGTTAGTGATCTCAAATTCAGTCAACCAAACAATCGCCAACAATGGGTAAAAAGTTTTAACCATCGTTAGTGACATGTTCAATATCTGATCAAACAGTGACTGGTGATAGTGAGTGCTCAGTGAGTGATCGGAGGCCACAATGTTGGGTACCGGAGGGTGTGTTTGGGAGATAGAGCTTGAAAACGGGATAAGTGTTTTGCCAGTGGTTGAAATAGGTATATCCATATATAAATGAAGATTTTTTTTAAGTGTTAGAAATAAAATGACGAGTAAGTCATATTTAGAGTATGCCTCTAAAATATTAGTTTATGATGATTAGGGATGACAAATTGGATCCTTCTCGTTGGGTTTACTCGACCGATCTAATGATGGAATAGATTTTACCCAACCAGTTCCTTAATAGGGCAGATCATGCCTCGACTTATAAGAAAAATAAGGTGGATAATGATACTATTGATAGACGAAACGCTATTTAGATAGATAAAATACAACACGAATTTGGTGATACCCGTCTTATTTCAGACGTTGCAATCAGTAGTGATGATTGACAAACCTTGTCAGCAGATCCGGTCCGTATTATATAGCATTTGACCCAGGAAGAATATCTCAACGAGTGAAATAGTTTGCCCCCTGTAACCGTTAATCAGATTCCAAAGCATAGCTTTTTATGATGGGTTATAACACGAAATAGAATAACAACACTTGATCAATTGCAGAGCTGGGGGGAAGGTAGCGAGTGCAAATTGTTTGTTTTGCTCGTCTCATACAGAGGACAGGGACCATTTATTCTTTCACTGTCAATACACTTCCCAGGAGCTGAAGGGTTGTTTGCTAATGCTTAATCTAAGTTGCCCTCAGTTAAATGGCTATGATGATTACTTGCAGTGGGCGGTTAGAACTTTCAAGGGGAAGAAAGCATTAGCCATGGTTGGTCGATTGGTTTGGAACTTAGCTGTGAGTCTGATTTGGCGGGAACGCTGTGGTAGATTGTATGGAAGTTCTGCTATGCAAGTTGGGGAGTTGATCAGGACAGTACGCAGGACAATTGAGCTGGCTAGACATGGCAATGCCGCTCTGGACACTGATTGTCGCGCAATCTTTAGTCAGTAAATATAGAGATTAGGGTAGATTTTGGTTTTACTGTTTGCTGTGTATATATAGAGTATGTGTATATATAGAGTATAGTAGCAGTAGATTCTTTTAGCTTGCTACTGTTTGTAAAGATCCAGATGTGCATCCCCTGTTTTAAGGGAGACACATAGAGCTTAATAAAAAAAATTGATATTGCCCATAAAAAAAAATCAGAATCGGACCAACGGTAGACAAAAGAAACTCTCAGCTCAATAAAATCTGGCCCGACAAATGTGACCAGGCCCAGAAAGGCTCGACCGAGAAGTTTGAGGCCCACAGTCCCACATTAGCCATTAGGTTACGAGGGCCATATAAAAAAGAATGCTAGGGTTTCGTCACTGACCTCTGCTAAACCTCGACGGCGAGAACAGGAGGGAAGCGTTTTCTCTCTCGATCGGCAGGACGCAGGCGGCGCGAGGCAAACTTCCTGAAGCAACATGGTCAGTACTCGTTTTAGATCTTTGATCTGTTGTATGATCTGCTGCGCTGTTCGTTTCTCTCTTTTGTTTCTGATAGTAGACTATATTTCTGGCGTTTTTTTCGGATGTTATCAGGCGAGAGGACTGAAGAAGCACCTGAAAAGGCTCAATGCGCCGAAGCATTGGATGTTGGACAAGCTCGGCGGGGCATTCGTGAGTCGCTCGACTTATATCTGATTGATCTAGATGCACCCTTCTCGGGTCTGAAGAGTTAGCCGCTTCCTTTTGGATTGATGTATCTCGTCTGTTTGATATCCGCAGGCACCCAAGCCATCCTCTGGCCCGCACAAGTCCAGGGAATGCCTTCCTTTGGTGCTTATTCTGAGGAACAGGCTGAAGTATGCTCTGACTTATCGTGAAGTCATAGCCATCTTGATGCAGCGACATGTTATGGTGGACAACAAGGTCAGGACTGATAAGACCTTCCCTGCTGGTTTTATGGGTAAGCCGAAACTTCTCCTTACCTTGTTTCATAATCTCTGTTTCCGTTCGAATTCAGTGGGTTAGTGGCATCAGTGCTAGATTTGTATCCATAGTTGCAATTTCTTGTACAAGAACAAAGAAATGGTATCTGAGAATGTTAATTGTTGGACTTGGAGATATCTATTAAATTGCAGATAATTAAAGTCTTGGTCTTTTCATGATGTTTAATTAGCTTGTATGTATGCCACACCTTCGTGCCATTGATGTCCCTCTTTTATGGCCTTGTCGCTCACGGTAGCCATCTACGGAATTGCCCTCATGGTTTTTCAAAACTGTCATTTACTGTGCTTTACCAGTTGGGATCTCTTTGTTTGCATGTTTGGCCTCTTCAGTTGGACTTGCACTTATATTATGGTATTTTGATTTTACATTGGTTACTCTCTGTTCTGTTGATATAGATGTTGTCTCCATCCCCAAAACCAATGAGAACTTCCGCCTGCTGTATGATACCAAGGGGAGGTTCAGACTGCACTCTCTCCGTGATGAGGAGGCAAAGGTATGTGTTATATACTTATATATACATTTATATTGTCTAGTTTATACAAGACTTGAGGGTTTCTTGGGGTAAGGTTTAATGCTTGCCTGTGGATTCCGTTGTGGGGTGTCTTGTTGCAGTTCAAGCTTTGCAAGGTCCGGACAATTCAATTTGGCCAGAAAGGTATCCCGTACCTGAATACTTATGATGGCCGGACAATCCGCTATCCAGACCCACTGATTAAGCCGAATGATACAATTAAGCTGGACTTGGAGACCAGCAAAATTGTTGATTTCATCAAGTTTGATGTGGGAAACGTGGTCATGGTTACCGGAGGCAGGAACAGGGGCCGAGTTGGAGTTATCAAGAACAGGGAGAAGCATAAGGGAAGTTTTGAGACCGTGCACATTCAAGATTCGCAGGGCCATGAATTTGCCACTCGTCTGGGCAATGTGTTCACTATTGGGAAGGGTACTAAGCCATGGGTGTCTCTGCCCAAGGGCAAGGGTATTAAGCTCACTATCATCGAGGAGGCAAAGAGGAGGATTGCTGCTGCTCAGGCAGCTGCTTAAGGAATTTGGAATTAAAACGGATGTGTCTGCTGTTTTACATTATCGTAGGATGAATGTTTGTCCTTCATAGCCCTTTTCAAGACTTGACATAATTTTGGTTTATTTATCAATTTTGAGTTGGTCTCTGAAGAATTTTGTCAGATTTGGTATTTGCTTGAACATATTTAAGCTGGGTTGTGGTTCTTAGAATTTCACTTGGCGGTGTAGGTCCTTCAGCCTTTATTCTATGCCATCTTGTTTAGTTTATTGCGTCTGTTAAAAAGTTATGTTTTCATGTCAAAGGTTTCCAATGGGGGTGCAAATGTGCTTAATTGGAGAATTTGCTTTGAAGCAAACATAAACCAAACCCTTCAGTAATTTTGAAATCTGAAATTATAATGTGTGCTAGAATTTCTTCTCCGTTGCATGTAGCAAGTGTAAATTCTACTTGCATATCGTAACAGGCTAAAAATGTTTAGTGAAGACTTCTTCCAACGCCATCTTACAGTCTTGGGAAGGAATGGAAGACCGGAAGAGTAGAATGAGATGTACGAGTTTTACACTATGTTCATTTGGAAAGGAAAAGGAGGGGAGGGTAGGAATTGGGTGGAAAACAATATTCCCAAGGAGCTTTCCCCGTTTTTTAGATTGAGAACAGTAAGGGAGAGAGGAAAATCAGAACCAAAAAAAAAAACTGTGCTACTAATCTCTCCAAAATGGAGAGAAAAGGAAGGAAAGGTGTTTTGGTTGCTTATGACTTTTATTTTATATTTTTTTTTCATATTGACTTGTAAGTTGTTGTAGCAGATTTGCTTTTTTTTTTCTTCATGTAATTAGGTGTGGCTATAACGTGCGAATAATGTTTTAGGGAAGATAATTGTCCTTAATTTTAGAAAAAGATAGTTATGATTATTAAAAAAATATATCTATATATTTAATGTTTCTTATAAAACTATGGTACCACTATTAAATTACGGTTTTGAGCAAAAATATTAATCTTTGGCTTATTCGGTATATGCAACGGTTCGGTATGGACTACACTAAACTCATGAGAATAGTGGATCATTAGTGAAAGTCGTATTAGAATAGTTGAATAAATTTAATCAATTTAGAATGCTTGATCAATTATTATAAATTCTCTATTTTTAAATAAATGATGTGGTTAAATCACAGTTTTAGAATAAAATACCCAACCACTAATTTTTTCCGGTACAATCTCTGGTGCGATTTAGAAATAAAGTACAAATTAAATTCACAATTCATAAGTTAATAGAATATTAACATACAATCAAATTATTTTACTATTACATATCCAATTAAATAACATATTTATCACAATTCCCAATACACACTTTTTCCCCAGTTTTCTCCATAAAACAACATTTTCCTTTCAATTTCCTACACTTTCAAATCTCCCCTCCCCTCCCCTCCTAATTTTCCTTCACTTCCCCTCCTTTTCCTCCCTTCCTTCGGAAACATAGTGTTAAAGGAGATGAGGATTTCCTTAAATTAGCCGACTGGAATTCTGTAAGAGTGGTTGCAAGTTAGCCGGTTATAAACCCCAATTCCTCCTATTGGCTTTTGATGTTATTCGTGGCAATCTGAATTTTAGTTGCTTGCCACTTGTCAGTCAATTACACTAGTTTGGAATTGTTAAATAGTTGTTGTGGCACATCAGCACATGTACAATATTATGCATTATGTTTTTGTGTTGATTCATTGTTAAATACAATGTTTGATATTTTTTTTTATTTCTTTGAATTATCTTTGTGGGTTTTTTGTGTGTTTTGGATGTCGGAGATCGCTTCTCCCATGCCCGCCCCTTTCACCAATCGTCCATCGTTCATTCCTGATCCGATAATTTTGTTTTGCTCTCCTTATCTTTACCCTCATTGAGTACAATGTCATACTTCAGTGTGCGGGGTGTTGGTGTTCCATTGTAAATGGGTGTGATGAATGATGCTTTTGTGCTTATCTTAGAGCCTAGTCCATTGTCCAAAAATTTCAAATTTGAGGGATCCAAGTACATTGTTCCTTGCAATTATTATCTCATTGTGAATGCTAGATCCACGGTAGTATGCAATTTAGGGAGACTAGTGTAACTCTATAGAGGATGTTGATGTATTAGATATTTCTCGTCTACTTCATACTATGTTGGTTGATGTGTAGAATAGGCGTGTTAGGACTTGTGATTTGTGTAGTGAATTGTTTAAATATTATGGATCCTCTCCAACTTGTCAAATTATTAAATTGGGTTTTATTGCCTTTAGCCTATTGTAAATTGGGTTTTAGTAGGTTGTAAGGTTTTTCTATCGTTGGGCCCTTGTTCCCTTGAGTATGCCAATTAAGTAATTAACATCTGAGTCATTATTCCAAAGAGGTCAAGACAGGCTAAAAGTTAAAATAATTTTTTTATGAACTTATGTTATCTCTTTTTATACAAATGAATAAAAAGTTACGTGATCCAAGTGGCTTAGCGAGGCTTTAAATGGATTGAGGTCTTTAAAAAAATTATAACACTAAATCCTATGCATCTAATGGGATTTGAGTTGATTGGGGTTCTAAGTTACAACAAGTATCAGCAAAAGTATGGGGTCATGTATTTACATATTCGTATCGAAGTATATTTATCTAATAAATTTTTCTCCCAAAATTTTGCCAAGTGGGGTCCTTGGACTTCTCTCCTCTTGCCTTCCCTCCGCAACTGCGTGATCCCATAACCGGTGAAAGTACATGTATAGAAGCAATCATCAAAACCAATTTACTATATACATATGGTGTCTTCTACGGTACCCCGGGTGAAATTCGGGGTACCGCATACCTTGAGTATGCAAACGCTATCTAGAATTCGAATTAGCAGAATTTTTGGGCATAATACCCTAACATTAATGAGACAACCTTGTGACTGGCTGAGCTAAAAGCTAGAAGCCCTTGTTTCAATCCAGCTCACTGCATTTATGCCCTTTGGTTTTCAAAGTTAGCTCTCTGCTTTATAGGGAACGGCCAGATCAGCACACAGCTCACAGGGGTCGGTTAGCATGCTAACCCCTCTTAGGGGTTGGAAAAATGACACCCCTAGTATATTTAATACAACTATAGAATTTAATACACACATTAAATACACATTAGGAATTAAATGTACCATATTAATTAGGAATTCTCTCACTATTAAATACACATTAAGAATTAAATACACACATTAAATACACATTAGGAATTCTCTCACTATATTTGATTTTTCCTTTTTCAGCAGTCTCCGACCACCAGACTTCCTCCGACCGCCACACTTCTCCGGTGAAAATCTCATCGGCAGACTCCCTCCGACCACCTCCAAAAAATATACCACTGCACTGATACGTTGTACCACTGTACTAGTAGATATACCACTGCACTGATACGTTGTACCACTGTACTGGTAGATATACCACTGCACTGGTTGCGATATCAGTGCACTGGTAGCAATGTCATATCTGAGTATCAGTGCAGTGGTACAAATAGTCAAATACCAGTAAAGTGGTAATTAATGTGGTGTATTTAATGTTTACTTTATATTTAATAACAGAACATTTATTATGTTTACTTTCATTAATACTTGTCAATAATTAATGAAAAATTGACCAATTAAAAGGGGTGTCAAAAAACCAACCCCTTAAGGGATTAGCATGCTAACCAGTCCCCAGCTCACAGCCCATACCAAGTTAAAATCTTAATCAGGGACATGCACAATTAAATAATGCAACAGAAATAGGCCCCGGGGCAAGTAGGAAACGGACACATAATGCACAATTTTTTAGGTTAAAACTTTTAAGCGCTTGTTCCCCCTGTTTTTCTTTACTGCACTTCTTTCTTTCATTCATCTCTATGAATATGATAGCTGCACTCTGAAAAAACATGTGCCTACAACTCTGCTTTCCTTCTTTTCCAATCTTTTTTTTACCCATCAGAAAAATTTGAAGCAAAGCAACAAAGTTCCAACTAGAGACTAACTACATTTTTACTGCCTGCCTGCTCTAGCTCTAGCAATTAGCAGCTGCACAAAAGACCCTAACTCGGCTCCCTCCTTGTTAGCTACTTAAAACCCTAACCAACTCTTTTTCAGCTTTACTTGGCAAAACTGCCCTCTCCCTCACTAACTACAAAACCCAGCTACTGCTACGTACTACTTCCCAATTTCAGTAAGTCAACACACCCTCTTTACAATTTCAGAACCCTCGCCCACGGCCAAGTCGCCTACTTTCTCACAACCAAAACCCTACTCCTGCCAATACCAGAAATTGCAGCAGCAGGCAGCCTTAATAAAGTCCTGCTGCTCTCTGCTCACCTCCAGCATCGTTTGCTTTGGCATAAGGTGACTGCACGCTGTCTTCATCAGACTCGCTCCCAGATGAGCTCTCAGATCCTGATCCTGACTCTGCACCCAAATACATCAATATCTCATTTTCCTGAACATCTCATTATTCATTGCACAGTAATGGTCACCATCAACGACAAATACACATTCTGAGTTTTAAAAACAGCAAACAGTGCCAAAGGAACAAACCACTTGAAGAGGAAGAACCGCTGCGGCTGCTACTCCTTGAATCACCAGAGCTGCTTGACTTGTCACTCCCACATCCAATCAAATCCTTCTCTATCTCCACCGGCGGATAATTCCCAACTGGACTCTCCTCTCCAATGTCCACTTCTTCCTCCACAATCATGTTCCTCCCCGTTTCAGGACTCATTTCCGGACCCTACACAAAAACCCACATTCATAATATGAAACCCATCTAACCACAGATATAGCGAAGGAAACACAATTGCAGAACCGGAAATGAGTAAATGCACAGGATGACAATAGGGGTAGTTTTTTGTTTGATACCTGGGTGATGAATTTGTTTTCTTCAAGTTGGTTCTGCAGCTGCAACTGCTCCTGCCTCTTCATCTTGTTAAGGAGTTTCCTGTAGTTGGTCACCAGTCTATCCAGTTCCCACAGCGTCTCCACATCCATGTTCTCGAAATCAATCACAATTTCATCGTTCTCTTGTTCCAATCCCCCATTCCGCTTCCTCAGAATCTGTACTGCCTGGTCCATCTTATCAGGCGGCAGCCCTTCTAAATCCTTCCCTAACTTGTCCCTTTCTTCTACAGTCATTCGTCTCTTGATTGGATCCCTGGCCTTTGGCTTCGGCGGCTTCCCAACTCTCAAATGCTGCTGCTCCACAGTGGCAGCCTTGCCGACCTCCAACTGCTGCTGCTCCCCTGTAACGGCCGCCGCAACCTCTTCAACATCTGTTTCCATGGCATCGATAACTGACTGATGAGACACCGCCGCTCTCTCCAAAAATGCAGGCTGAAATTTACCCACATCCTGACTCTGCCGTGAAACCTTACGCTGCTCAGCATCGAACTTCTTATTTGCAGGCTCAAACATATCGTCGAAAAACTTGAGCAGCTGCTTCGCGAATCCATGCACTTCGTGCCCGATAGGGTTGTAAGTCATCGCGTTTGCAAAAGTAAGCCTCACATCGCCTGCGAAATCAAGGGGAGACTTGTAAAATCCATCGTCGAGATTGGATTTCACGGTACCCAGATCCATTGGCCTCTTGATTACCTGGTTATAATCGTACAACCGCATTCCCACCACATCGACCGGCTCGTTGAACCACACAGCAGATCTGTGCTTCATCACCTTACCCAGTATTTGCCGGCACCTTCTCATCATGCTCATCAGTACCTTGTCCCGTAACGGACTAGTCCCGGGCTGCCGTTTGGGTTCCAACTCATTGGGCGACGGGGAGCTAGGTTTCGAGCCCTGACCCGGAACAAGAATTGGAAAATTCTTCTTGGATTTTTGCCCCTTCGACTCGCGATTCTGTTGGCCGGCCTTCGTCCCGCTTGCATCCCGGTTGGTAAATTGGGGCGCGGGCAATGGCGGTGGATGTGCATTGGAGAGCTGGAAACTAGGGTAAACTGGTCGAGGGTCAGAGTTCAGTCGGTCTAACCTCGTTCTCACGGCGCGGACCTGTTCGAGCTCCAATTGAAGGCGCCTCTTCAATTCTTTCAATTCTTGCCCTGAGTGCGCATCGAGATTGAACGTCACGTAACCGCCGTGGTAGGACTCCTTCACTTCGCCGTCGCCGGGAGCCACCCTCCACTTCGGCGAGCCAGCATCCGGCTTCGGCAGAGGAGGCGGTAACATTCTGCCGACGCGGTGATCGCCAGACGGATTACGGATCTGGGTTGAACTTTGTAAGAACCTTGGAGGTGGAACGGGACTCGGGGCACGCCCGGGGAAGAAATCGTCATGGCTGTGACTGACGCCGTTGCGGCTCTTATTTGCGTTGGTGGCGGCGGTAACGGAGGTGTATGTCCTCATGTACGTCTCACTGTCTCCCCAATGCGGGCCATTTTTGCTGGCTAGAACTGCCGATGCCATAAACGGAAAGTTAACCTAGACTCGGTACCGGCTAATCGCCGGCGAGGAAGGAGGAATGGAAATGGCGGGCGATCATGATTGAGCGAGCGGGAAAATCAGAGAGTAAAATTACTGGCTTCTAGAAAGAAAATGAAAAAAAAAAAAACGATTAGACAGAGGGGAGAGAGAAGTCGGGGCGAGGGTTTTTTTTATCCCTCTACGCAACCATGGATGAGAGCACGGAAAGGGAAAGGGAAAGGCAACTTCCCTTCCTTCTTAAAGACGATCACGATCTACCCGTAATAATCGCGGGCAGCTGTATCAGCCGTCGATATCTGATCAGACGGTTTATATATGTTTTGTTCTTTTTATTTTTGACTGCCCCAGCTCAATTTCCCGTGTCCATCTGGCACGAACGGTTATGATCGTAGTAACATACACGTGGGAATTTTTTAGCCTTTGGTTTATCTCTCAAACAATTTTTTGCGGTTTTTTCTTTCTTTTTCATAATTACTGTTTTTCCCCCAGAATTACAACTCAATTAACTACAGTAAAGAAAGTTAATCATGAGTAAGAAGTTTGGAAAAGTAAGAGGAAACAAGGGATTGTGGCAACGACAATGGTAGTGGTGGTTACCGAGTTGGGAGCAGCCATTGGTCTCCTTCCAAGGTCAAAAGAATTCAGGCCTGAAGTTTCGTAAGGCAACTTTAGTGGCAGCTTGGAAGTTGAAGAAAGAGTTTGATATTCAGTATGATAAAGGTGGCAGGCACGCCTTTCAATTCTTCACTGAAGACGACATGAAGAAGGTCATGTATAGAGGGCCTTGTAATTTCGATAATGATCTACTCATACAGATTATATGTCAACTGTCTCTTATGCATTGCTGGTGAGTGGTGAATGCCCTCTAATCAGAGTTCTTCCATCCTAGTAGGGGTTTGCGGCAATGCGACCTTCTTTCTCCTTACTTGTCTTTCTTGTGCTCCGAGGGCCCTCTCGGCTTTGATGGATTAGTATGAGAAGGGAATACGAGTTCATGGAATAAAAGTTTGGATCGGGAGAAGATGTCACAATATGGAGGGGATAAATAGATGGCCCTCTCGGGAATCTTCACATCAAATCTAAATCTCTTGTAGCAAGACTCATCACAACAAAATATCATATCAGATGCTCTATTTTGGAGGATAAGATTGGATGGAGACCAAATTACATTTGAAGACGTCTCTAGAGCGTGTATGACTTACTAAATTTTGGATGCAGATGAAAGATTGGATCGGGAGAAGATGTCACAATATGGAGGGGATAAATAGATGGCAGGTTTTCATAATTACTAGGTTGTTTCTTTTTGCCCATTCATGGAGTGGGATGCAAAGGTTTCATGCCTTATTGATGAAGAGTCCAGGACATGGAGGAAAGACCTTTTAGAGTTTATTTTTACCCGTGAGGACAATACGCTATTCTTGTCATTCAACTTTAGTTCTAGATTGAGGAAGGTTCTAAGTGTTGGATAGCATGGCTGGTGAATTGATTCCAGAGGCCCTGTTTTGAAAAAAAAATTGAGGCGAGAGTTTTTGTCTTTTTGCTCTCTCCTCTCTCCTGGCCTGGTGCGTCGTTTTCTTTCCTGTTGATGACCGTTGGGAGTGTGCCTCCCTCGGTGGGGGCTGATTTTAGCCTGAAACCGTCGGACGGATCGCCGGCAACCACTCCCAGTCAACCCAGCAAGCGAGCGAGAGCTAGCAGTGGCGAGGGTTTCTTTGGCGAAGGCGAGATGGACTTTGCAATTGTTACAGCAAGAGCGATGTATAGTGACTTTGAAGAAGAGGGAAACTCGAAAGAGGTACTGCCGGGAGCCAAAGGTATGGAGACAGAACAGGGAGGGGCCAAGGTCTCCTATAAAGACTTTCTCCTTGGAAATGGTCCATCCGAAGAGATACCCGAAGGAGATGAGTTGATGTCCGATGAATCTGATGGAGAGGATGTTGAAGATGATCCTGATTGCCTCACAATTTGGATTAAGAAGAGTATTGATGCCCGTGTGCGCAATCGATGGAAGCGTGCTATTACCTTCTGTGTCCTTGGAAGGAGCTTTCCCTTTGCTTTCATCCACAGACGAACTCAGAAGATGTGGGCAAGAATAGGAGGAGTTAAGATTGGGGGACATTGGAAACAATTTCTTTCAAGCGATCTTTGACTCGCAACTCGATCATAATCGTGTACTCTACGGGGGGCCGTGGACTATCGAGGACCACTATATCGCCTCGGAACCATGGCGGTTGGATTTCGACCCCGATTTTGACTCGATTCACAGAGCTTCGATCTGGTTAAGAATTTCTCTTGCTTACTTTGATGAAGAGATTCTTACTGACATCGGGGATAAGCTGGGGAGAGTGGAAAAGATTGACTTTAATACGACAAATGGGTCAAGAGGAAACTATGTTCGTATTTGTATCGAAATTGACCTTAGAAGAAGCTTGTATCAAAGTAAAAGATCAAAAGGAGGGTTAGAAGAGTGGAATATGAAGGTCTTCATACTGTGTGCTTTGGGTGTGGCGTTTATGGTCATCTCGAGGACTCATGCCCTCAGGGCCCCCTTAAGGCTTCATCGACATCTGATGAAAGAATGAAGAGTATGAACAAACCCAAAGAACTAGTGATCAGGCCAGAAGTTGTGGAGGACTTCGAACCTTGGATGCTTGCTACAAGGAATCGAAGGAAACCAAGACAACAGCCTCAAGAGAAAACTGGGAAGAAGGAAAAGGGGGAAAGTGAGCAGAAAATGCAGGACCCTTCAGGGTCAAGGTTCACTGTACTTGAAGAAGACACAGAAGAGGGAACTGAGGACAAGAATGAGCCGGAGAAGGTTGGAGGTGGGTCTACAGGAAAGGATATGGAGACAAATAATGAAAAGGGAAAGGATGAGGAGAATGGGAAGGAAAATTCAAGCAATGAGAAAGGCAAAGAGAAGCAAGCTGCAAGCCAAAATAAAGAAGGGAGAAAGAACAATGATAATACGGGGAATGAGCAAAATAGAAACCCCACCAGAAATCAACTCCGGAGAGCAGTCAAACAAAAACAAAGATGAAGACGGCTCAGGGTAAACAGGATTGCTTTGGATCAAAGAAAGCTACTGATATAAGTAGTAAGGTAAGTGGTCCCATATCCTCTGCTCTCAACCTAGTGGCATCCACCAGCCTTACCACACCTCCCAAACCAAATATGGGGGCAGGCAAGGAGAAATCAAAGGATGCCAAACAAGGCCATCAGCCAAAGATGAAGGAGGTACAGACCAAACTGATCAAAAGTCCAGACAAAAGCACCCTCTACCACCAAAAAATGTGGCGTACCTCACCCGCAAAATCAGTTTTGATGCAAAGCAGGCTGAGGAAAAGATGAAACCTGAAAATGTTAACCAGGATCTGTCGACAACTGCAAATTGTAGCGGAGAACTGGAAGAGACGGCAATGGCCGTCAACCTATCCTGATCCCAACTGTGTGTTGCCGAAAGGGAAGTCACTCTGAATCCCTCCCATGATTAAAGTCTTCTCTTGGAATTGCAGAGGTGCTCCACACCTCAGATATTGTCCCACCTTTGATTACTATAAGTCTACTCATAAACCAAGTATTGTTTGTATTATTGAACCCAGGGTTAGTGGGAAGGATGCCATTGACATCATCCAAAAGCTGGGGTTTGACTCTTGGGAAATCTCCGACGCTACGGGGTTCAGAGGAGGTATCTGGCTGCTGTGGAACAAAAGGGAGATCCAAATGCATAATCCCTTGATCCACAAGCAGTTCATTCACCTGGAGTGTACTAAAAGCAACGGAGAGACTGCTGCCCTGACTGCTATCTATGCGAGCCCGAACGAGCATGCTAGAGGAGATTTGTGGGAGGCCCTTCGTGGCATCAGTAGTAGAACCTGCTTCCCCTGGATGTTGTTTGGCGACTTCAATTCTATCACCAGGCCAACTGAAAAGCAAGGAGGAGCTAACTTCAACTTTGCTAAAGTTAAAGCATTTGTGAGCTTTATTGAAGATTGTGGCCTGATGGATCTTGGCTTCTCTGGTCCGAAGTTCACCTGGTTCAAAGGGGGATCAGGAGTTAAAGAGAGACTTGACAGAGGGCTATGCAATTTGGCATGGAACCACAAGTTTCCCCAGACTACTGTCTTCCACCTGATCAAGATGAAATCGGATCATAGACCGATCCTACTGTGCAATAAGAGCAACCCGGGGAACTCTAAACTGGTGAGACGATTCCAGTTTCTTGCTCCCTGGCTTGCGCATGATGAGTTCCTTCATTTTGTTTCATCCTCTTGAATAACTGACCAGCTTTTTCCCTGTGCTTTGCAGGACCTTTCACTGAAGCTTCAAGGCTGGAACAAAGACATTTTTGGCAATATCTTCAGAAGAAAGAGGAGGCTTGCTCAGGAACTGGGATCCCTTGAAAGCCTGAGTGCAAGACTTCCTACCTCAACTTCTCTGGAGAAGGAAATTAGCACCAAGAAGGAACTGGAGGATGTTCTCTGGCAAGAGGAAATCCTCTGGTACCAAAAATCTAGAGCGAATTGGACTATCCATGGAGACCTTAATACAAGGTTCTTCCATACCAGCACGTTGACTAGAAGGAAGAGAAAGAAAATTGTTTGTCTTAAGAATGAGGAAGGGCAATGGATCACTGACCCGGATAAGCTTCAGGATTTGGCACGTGATCATTTTGTTCAGCTTTTCACCAAAGTTTCCAAGGATTCCCAGTTTTCCATTGCAGCCTTGTTCCCTGCTCTTGAAGGGCACAAGTGGGAAGCCCTCAAGAATCACCCAACTTTTGAGGAGATCCACTACATTGTTAGAGATATGAATGGATTGAAGGCTCTTGGCAAGGATGGGTTCCATCCCCTTTTCTTTCAAAGATGCTGGAAGTCTGTTGGCCAGGATTTCTTCAGGTTCATCCAGAGATGCTTCAGGGACCCTGACAGCATACGCTTGCAGAATGAGACCCTGCTTGCACTCATTACAAAAGTGGATTCTCCAAGCACAATGAGTCACTTCAGACCCATCAGTCTGTGCAACGTGGGGGATAAAGTGGTGGCTAAATGCATAGCAAACAAGCTAAATCATATTATGCCTCATTTGGTCAAACCTACTCAGTCTAGCTTTGTCCCAAATCGGCACATTAGTGATAATATCCTCATTTTGCAGGAGACTGTGCATTCGATGGCAAGAAAGAAGGGGCAGAAAGGCATGATGCTACTCAAGCTCGATCTTGCAAAAGCATACAATAGGTTGGATTGGGAGTTCCTTGAGGAAACACTCACTCTGGCAGGAGTCCCTCTTAACATGATCAAGATCATCATGAAGTGCGTCACTACTGTGGAAATGCAAGTCCTGTGAGAAGGTGGAGAGACTCAGAGCTTTAAACCAAGAAGAGGGCTCAGACAGGAATGTCCCCCTTTCCCCTTATCTTTTTTTATTATGCGTATAGAGATTAGGTCATTGCATCTTAGAAGAAGTTAGAGAGCTTAAGTGGAAACCACTGAGATTATCCCCTGAAGGGCCTCCCCTTTCCCACCTTTTCTTCGTTGATGACCTGGTTCTCTTTGCTGAAGCCTCCTTGAAACAAGCAGATGTCATTAACAAATGTGTTGAGAGATTCTGCTTGGCTTCAGGAGAGCTTGTAAGCAAGGAGAAATCCAGGATTTTCTTCTCTAAGAATACCAAGGATAGGGACAAGAAGAATATTTGTGATAGGCTTGGAATTCAGTCAACCTTAGACTTAGAAAGGTACCTTGGTGTACCTGTCATTCATGGGAGGATTACTAGGAACACGTATAGGTATATAATTGACAAAATTGACCAGAAACTCACCTCGTGGAAAGCTATAACCTTGTCGTTAGCTGGAGAGTGACCCTTGCACTCTCAGTTCTTAATGCCATCCCTTCTTACGCTATGAAAACCACTCTGCTTCCTGCCTCAGTTTGTGATTTGATTGATAAAAAGGTTAGATGGTTCGTTTGGGGATCCAATGAGGAGAAAAAGAAAGTGCATTTGGTTTCCTGGGATAAAGTGTGTCAACCTAAGAACCAAGGGGAACTTGGCTTAAGAACTGCTAGAAGTTTGAACATGGCTTTCATGATTAAGCTTGCCTGGTAAATTCTTAATAATGGTTCTGACCTTTGGGTGCAGGTGATGCAAGGAAAATACTTCAAACATGTTGAAGGGCAGATCGTGGCTATGAAAAGAAGTAATCACTCCGCTTTGTGGAAAGCGATTGTGAAGGCAATGACCCTTATGAGGAGTGCCACCTGCTGGAGTATTAGGAATGGAAGGACAACAAGCTTATGGAATCACCCATGGCTGGACCATGAAATCACTCTCAGAGACCATATTCTGCTGACTGCTGACTTGCAGCAGGAAGATAGTTTAGTTGCGGAGTGGACTGATGACAATGAAGAATGGAACTGGCAGAAGCTCCATGAATGCCTCCCCTAGAACATTACCGCACTGATTGCTGGTATGGAACCTCCTAAAAGCAACCTGGGTGAGGACAAGAGCATCTGGGGTTTGGAAAGGGATGGAAGGTTTCGGCTGAAGTTAGCATATAGCCTTGCAGCTGACCAAACCAATTCTAAAGGTGAGTCAATGTGGAAGAAACTCTGAAAATGGAAAGGGCCAAGCCGCACCAAAAATTTCCTCTAGCTAGTGATGCATGACAGGCTACTTACCAACAAAGAAAGAGACAAGAGGAAGATGACTACTGATGGAAACTGTAGCCACTGCAAAGATGTGGAAGAGACTACAGAGCACATTCTGAGGAAATGCAGCAAAACAACAGCCATCTGGGAAAAATTCAGGTGCAAAGTCACTAACAAAGAAAGCAATATGCCCTTTAAGGAGTGGATGTCTGCCAATTTAAGTGATGGTACCCATGGTGTCGATTTTGGACTTATTGTGTGGCACCTTTGGAAACAAAGGAATGAAGAGTGTATGGATGGGAAGGCTTATGTGGAAAAGTCCCTCATCTGCAGAATTGAGGCCAGGTTCAACATTTACAAAATGGCACTGCAAAATGTAGAGCGAAGCTTCAAACCACCTGTTGAAAGAAGAGAAGAGGAAATCAGTTGGAGGCTCCACCTGAGGGATGGATTCAGGTTCAGACTGATGGCTCTGTCCTCTCTCCCTCAGGGTCCGGAGCAGCTGGAGGTCTCCTTCGTGATTGCCTTGGTAGATGCAGCTCTGCCTTTGCCTGCAATCTGGGAAAGTGCTCGATTAATGCTGCTGAGCTGAAAGGGGCAATTGTTGGTTTGCAGTTGGCTTAGGAGAGGGGCTTTCTAAAAGTGCAGCTTAAGTTGGACTCAACTGCTGTCATTGCTATCATTGGGACGGCTCTGTTTCACACGTGTATAGGGAAGGAAATCGTACTGCAGATTTTCTGGCTAACTTAGGCCATAGTCTCACTTTTGGAACACATCATGTTGATGTGTGTTGTTCGGATCTATGTAGATGGCTTGACTATAATGTAATGGGAATTTCCCAAACTCGGATTATTAATACATGATTCAAGGCGCTTTTGCGCCTGTCTTCTTACCCAAAAAAAAAATTGAGGCTCAACGACAAAGGGTAATGGGAAAACAATTGAGGCCCTGTTCATGAGCTAATTATACTAACAAGGTGGGTTGGTGGGGATTATTTTGTGCCGTTAGCTTGCAATGACAAAGGGGTAATGGGAAGGGCCTAGTTAATTAGGCCTATATTTTACTCTTTCTTTTTACATTTTATGTGTTTGACGGTTGCTCTGCTCATTTTAATGGGTGGCTATTAATTATTTCATAAGGCTCGGGCATTTCATAAGGTCCTAGCATTTCATAAGCCTTAGTTAATTCTGCAGGCTCATTTTAATGGGTGTTTGACCATTTCAGCTCATTTATGTATCTGATGGAGGCCCTAAAAATCATGAGGCCCTGTGCTGTTGGGCCTGCAACATAGGCCCATAGCAGGGCCTGTTGGATAGGTAATGAAAGTGGAAATTTTTTGGTCAAATATGGATATGCAATGGAACAAGGAAGATTATAAGCATAAAATGAAAGAGGTTTTGGTGGTCATAGTGGGGAAGAATTTTATTGGAAGAAGCTTAAGATGCTCAATATTCCATGTAAGTTGAAGGTTTTCCTTTGAAAAATGGCTCGTAACATCCTGTCGGTTGGTGTGAAAATCAATAGGAGAGTAAAAACAATGGATGATGAGCCCCAACTATGATACAAAAGAAATATTGAAGTGATTACTCGATTGTTAGGGGGCGGGAAGGATCTGGAGTAAACCTCATATTTTTGAAATGTCTAATAAAGTAGAGAGCCTGAGTTGCAAAGAATGGAAAAAAATTTCTCCTTGCTCTGGTTCTTTCGGAAGGAGAGGAACAATTTCACTGAATAAAATCTTCATTTGGAATCTACAACAAACAAGCATGTTAAGATCCCTTGGCCACCTGAAATTGCCGAAGGAATGGCCATCCATTATGGCATGCAGAAGGTTTTGGAGAATGCGTACAACCCTGTCATGGTGGAATCTAATTGTATGCAAGTAGTCATAATGCTAGAAGGGGAGCTTGATAGTCAATCGAAAATTTCAAGTGTTTTTAGGGATATTATGGAGTAGGCAGCTGCCGCAAATGTTGTTGAGTGGAAGTTCATTTTTAGAGAGGCAAACAATTTTTCACATTTAATGGCTCATGTTGTGAAACGAGCTGATGTTGAGAAGTTTGTTTGAGATTTTAGTTTCCCTTCTTAGATTGTTTATGTTGGGCCCTTGAGACAACATATTGATTTCTATGAAATCCCATCAAATAATTCTTAAAAAAAAAAAACTACAATAACTTATTCCCAAATCAATTGTAACCTTAGGGATGGACAATGAACGGGTTAACCACCTGAATCCACTCAATACTGTTTTGGATCTATATGGTGGGCGATCTTTTTTGTGACCCATATAATTCCAGTGGCTGGCGGACAAGTAATTGGCCCGTAAAACCATTTGATATATTGTATCGCTAATTTCATTATATAACGAATCAAATAATTTTTTCCAAATATTAATCATGATTAATTTAATTAAATGATATATAAGTTTTTCTTAAGTTACCATATAACTTATACATTATATTTTTTTAAGAATATGATAAATATCCATTAAGTTTTTTCACAAATGAGATCATTGATGTCATATTATGCAATAAAATATATTTAGTAGTTATCGATTCTCCTAAATTTTGTAGTTTCATTTGATATTTAATTAGTTTCTTATAAAATGTTATCACCCATAAATATCTTATTACTTGAAAAAAAAAATTTACCTCCAAAATCGCAAAACCCAACCAACCCATCCATAACGATACAATGGATGGGTGTGGGTTATTTTTTTCCTCACCCATCAAAACCTTGGATGGATGAATCTTAGCACAAAAATGTGTAGAAAGAAAAGCTCCTCCCAATCGAGCTTTATTCTCCCCCACATCTCTCTAGAATTAATCTTAAAACCTACTTAACGTAAACCTAAAACTAAAACTAACTTGATCAACACCAGGAGCAACAAACAACAAGCATCTTTCCTTCTTTGAGAATACCACCGCCATTCCACTTTTGACCTTCTTACAGAGCCTCCCCTTTGTTGTTTCTCGACCTCAGTTGCCATTTGCACCAAACCCTCGATCTCTAATTAATGGTGAATCACCACAACCAGTATGATTTATCAATTAAAACCATTGAGATAACTAGCAATAGTCGCCTCTGTATCTTCATTGATGTGAGCTCGGATCATAAGGCCATCTCTTTGAAATAGTCCTCCACGCTCGATGGTGAATATGTCAATTTCGCTTGCTCATAACCACCATCATCTCTTGCCACGTATAGAGAGTTTGGTGAAGCTCACGTCGATGGTGAATATGTCAAAATCGCTTGCTCATAACCACCATCATCTCTTGCCACGTTGCTATGGGTTCCTCCTCATGCATTCTCCTCGTGGCACACAACTGATCCCACCAAATAATCGCATAATCAGAAAACTCAAGGTCAATGTTGGTTAGCTTCTTCCGATCAGAGTAGTCATGACACTCGAACATATACTCCATCTTCTGGGTCACTCCTCCCTTGAAACGAAGGAACTTTCACCTTCAGCCCCATCATATCATCATCTCTGTGATGGGGAAACTCTTTTTCCTTGTCAAGCTCCTCGTAGTATCGAGGTTCTGGAGCCCTTCAAGATTGAGGTGGAGCACGGTCTCCTCTACCTCGACCTCTTCCTCACAAGGCTTCAGCTTGAGGGTTCCTCAAAGCTCGATACTGACCATCGTCGCCTAGGATTTGACATTGTCTACCTCGTGGTGGTGGTGGTGCTTCTTCCTCGTCATTGTTGTGAAGATTAATGGCTTGAGCCATCTCATCGAGGCAATTATGAAATTGATCATGTTGGGTTCGCATCATGCGTGTAATATGACCATCTAGGGCTTCCATTGTGGCTCAAGGAATTCCCTCCACATTCTGAATCTCCACTGCCTCGTCTTGAGCCTCCCGAGTGTCAGCTTCTTTCCTGGCATGATGCTCAAACTCAAAACAAGGTAATATTTGTCAATTAAATTTCAGATTAATGGTACAAACAAAGTAAAGGACCTCACCAAATCAATCCCTCACATGTTTCACACGTTTGGAAATCACTCTTTTTCTTACCACTCGTGTATCACTAAAAACAATTGGCTTTTACCCCATAATGATCTCATGAAGCCTCTTTCCACTCTCTCTCTTAAAACCCTAGCAAGATTTCGAACAAGAACTAACAAGACTTGACCAAGAATCAACAAGTATCAATCAAGAACTAACAAGACTCGACCATGAATTAACAAACTCGATCAAGAAAGCTAATAGACCGTTAATTACACATGTTTTTACCCCTGTTCTTACACCGTTTGAGATGTGATTTCTCGCGTTTTAGGCCGATTTCACGCTAGGTTGTGCTTGTTTGTGATATTTCAGGTCCTAGTACGTGAATGGAGACTCGGGAGCGAGTTTGGGGTCGATTGGACGAAGATCGGGCGCGAGGCAAGTCACAAAGGAGGCCACACGGGCACACCCACAAATCACACGGCCGTGCAACTCATATTTCTGGCCGTGCGAGTTTTGGCGAGAGCAAACACGGCCTGCCCTGACAAAGCACACGGCCGTGTGACGAAGTGATCTGGCCGTGTGACTTTTGCCGTGAGCAGACACGGGCAGATGGAAATCAAACACGGCCGTGCCAACCTGGCCGTGTGAGAAGCCTGAAAATCGAACTAAGTGGAACGCAGCGTTTTAACTCACACGGGCAACTGGGTATGCCACACGGCCGTGTGGCCCTGCCCGTGTGAGTCGGGATTTCCTAGTTTTAACCCAATTCCGGGCTGCAAGAGAGAGGATCGGACTTTTTGAGCAAAAACAGAGTTTTAGAGAGAGAAAGGACGAAGAACACATCCTAGAAGCTATCTTGGAGCTGGGTTTCATCAAATCAAGCTTGGAGATCGTCCTAGGAGTGGAAATCATCATCCCGGAGCAGATTTTCCTCATCATTATGAGTATGACTACTCCGATTACTGTTTTCTTATCTCTCTCTATGGAGTAGAACCCCTCTCTCACTTGGGGATGAAGAACCCTAGTTCTATGTGTTAGGGATTGATTGTAATGACTTGGGATGATATTACTGTTTGATTTTAATCGAATGATGCATGTTTATTGAGTCAATTGAAGTCTGATCAACTTTTCCTGATTCCTGCTGCAATCTGAGATAGATAGAATCTGATTAGGTTGCTAGAGTCTCATCATTCGATAGTAGGAGATTGGCTATACGAGAGTTAGCCAGTTTACTGCTTTGTACTGGAATCCAATTCCAGTAGTGGAGTTCTGTTCTTACTGCTTCAGCTTTCTATCCCGGTGAAGACTAGTCGTCTGCCGGATAATTAGACTGAGAGGGCTTGGTCAGCTTAAGAGATTCCAAGCTACTGTCGGATCTTCCGCAGTCTAATCAACAGTAAATCAACCCAGGGGAAATTGAAATTGAACCTAACTAAGGAGCTAGGGGGGACTCATTCCCGAGTGACTCTTTCCTGCTTGAGAAAACCGAATAATTTCCTGCTTTATTTCTGCTTTTGCTTTTAAACAAGAATCACTTACTTTAGTTGGCTAGATAACAGAGAATCACTGAGTAAGCAGTAGATCTAGAGCCCGGGTTGATAATATAACTTGCCTGTTACTGCATTCCCGGTCTGCGATTACACTTGGTCGCAGATTGGTGTTGTGTTTTGGCGTGTCAAGTTTTTGGCGCCGTTGTCGGGGACTTTCTAGAGTATTAGGAAAGGCAGAAGTTTGTTACTTTAGCGTTTTTCTTTTCTTTTCCACCCTTGCTTTTCACTTGGGTGTTTTTGTTTTTGTTGGTGCAGATCTGAATCATGGATCCTAATGGCTTCTCCAATCATTGGGGGTATCCACCACCACCTGAGTGGTATTACCCCGAGACTCCGTGGAGCAATCAAGGCGGAGAAGACTATGGATTCGGGTTCCAGTACCAACCCCCTTACTACGGAGAACAACCGGACCCCTGGGCATATCAAGAACAACCTCATTACCAAGAAGAATTTCTCCCACAACCAGAAGGGCCATTGGAGCTGGAGTTACCCATGGCGGCCTTCACGGGCCATTCTGCAGAGCCATGCTACACTCCACAGCCAGATCCACACTATGATTTGAGGCTTCTCATGGAGAGATCATGCTCCAGTATGGATCATTGTGTCCAGGCCTATCGTGAAACAGAGGGGATCCTCCTAAGCCTTAAGAAGAGCGTCGATGATCTTGAGCGATCTTGGGCGCAACCTGCTCCAGATCACCCTTCTGCTACCATACAAGAAGATGAGGAGGAAGAAGAAGGCTACAAGGACATTGTGGAGCACACTGAAGTTGTCACGGAGAGCTCCCGTGATGATCATGATCAGGAGTGTGATGTCGTAGCCGACCACACCTTCCCACACCCCAAACTGAGCTTTGAAGAGGCGGGCATGAGTTCGGAGATGCAAGAAGATATCATGAAAGAAATTGCTTGGCAACTTGCTCTCCAATCCGTGCTAGAAGAAGAAGAGCAAGAAAGGGTGCAGAAAGAAGTTGTGGAGGATGACGAAAGTGAAGCAAGAGGAGTTCTTGATCATTTCCCAGGGGTGATACCACATGAAGAAGAAAGGGAGGTTGAAGAAGAAATTGGCGTCCAGGCTGAGGACGGAGTTAAGGTGGAAGAGGCCTGCACCGGCCATGAGTTACATGTGATATCTCCACCAAACTTCGAGGAACTGCTTAGCAAGGACCCATTTGCAGTGTCTCTTTGCCAGACCAAGGCCACCTCGACATCGGTCCCTCTTGGTGGACGCGATGGTGGCCAATCGATGCTGTCATATCTGGTTTGGGGCAATGAGACGAGAGAAGAGAAGGAGAGGTCTCGAGGGTGGAGACTTCATCTGCATCAAGTACATGAGCCTTCATCACCTGCCACACCACATGCTCATGACTTGAGACTCCACCTCATCGACGAGAACCTCAACTTCAAGGAGGTTCTAGCATGGACCGAAACTTAGGAGCCATCGTCTGGCTCACGACGTGAAAGAAGCGCTTGTTGGGAGGCAACCCAACCAGTCGGTTTGCATTTCTTTCTCTATTTCTCCTCGGTTGAGTCAGTTTTGTTATTTGATTTTAGAGTCAATAACTCAACCTTTGTGAGACTTTGTGTGGTGTTTGTGTTCTGATTACTCTCTCTTCCTGGAATGCACTGCCTGACCCGTACATCATCATTCACCCTTGATCTGGTAACTTCGTTCTACCCTCCTTATCTTTCCTCCATTGAGGACAATGTCGTGCTTAAGTGTGGGGGGGTGTTCGATTATGTATGCGGGTGAATGTTTGGCTGTTTGTGTGCTTGGAGCCTAGTCCACTGTCCAAATTTTTAAATTTGAGGGCTCCAAGTACGTGTTTCCTTGCAAATTGCCTGCTCAGTATGCTTTGAATTGACAGTCTCTATAGTAATGTGCAACTTAGGGAGGTAGTATAGCACTATGGAGGATGTTGAAGTATAAGATTTTTCCTATCTAGCTCTCTGTTGTGCCAGTTGATTTTGTGAATTAGTGGAGCTAAGACCGTTGAATTCAGGTGGTAATGGTGACTCTGTTTGGATTATGTTATGGACTCGTGTATCGAACAGGGTGCTCATATGGAAAATGGGAAGCAGTTGGTCCTCCATGTCAAAATCATTAAATCTTAAACATGGGGTAAGCCCAACGTGTGCGGCACCGTTCATTGCACAAAATCGGGTTTTGGAAGAGATTTTAGTGATCCTTAGTGGGGTACTCCTACAAGGTGAAGCTAAGTTGTCTCTAGTACAAGTAAAACTTCCACCCGTTGAACGGTTTGCCTACTTGAGGATGTGTTTTTAAGGGCACGGATAGAGCTTCCGACCCCCCTTAATTTCATTGACCCTCCACACGAGTTGAGGAAAAGGAGTTAAAAGAAGTACTCTGACGAGCTCCAGATGTACAGAAATTGCTCTTGCTCGACTAATAAGGGTCGACCGTGCAAAAGACTGCAGTTGGAACCCCACCAAATGAAAGAAAAATTGTAAATGAAAGTGAGAAAAAGGGGTTCCAACGGTGAAATGAAGTGAAAGAGCACCCCGGTACAACGAATCCTTGGTTGTGAATGGTGTGAGTCCCTTTATCCATGAACTGACTGTCTTACTTCTACTTTTTCTCATGATCCTGGTTTGAGTCTAGTACTCGCATTGAGAGAGATAGGGAACGTCTTAGAAGACCAGTTGACCTCGTAAGCTGCTATATGATCTAGGAAATCCTCTACCGACGATCGGGGTTGTATGTTGCTATAGAGCTCTGGAGAGCTGCATTGGTTTGAGTTAGGTTTGCTTGGGGACAAGCAAACAGTTAAGTGTGGGGGGATTTGATGACTCGGTAATTGCACATGTTTTCCCCTTTGTTTCTTGATTGTTTGAGCTTGAATTATCGTGTCTTTGGCCTATTTTATGCTAGGTTATGTTCCTTTGTCACATTTCAGGTCCTAGCACATAAAGTGAAGCATAGGCGCAAGTTTCAAATCAATCAGAGATCAATTGACGATTCGGGAGAAGAAACTCGGGCATGACCTGAAGAAGAATGGATTTCTACCTTACTTTATGGACAAATAATCATGCAAGCTTGTTATGAAAAGAAAGAGGACGAGACTACGAGCGTCTGGGATCAAACGGGGACTGATTCAGAGTCCGGACGAGGGAGAAACGAAGCATTAAATAGAGGCTGAGCAAGCCACACGGGCACGACCCACACGGCCGTGTGAACTGGCCATATGGCCGTGTGGAAATCACCGAGGGCTCACACGGGCAGCTGGGAAAGCCACACGGCCGTGTGGCCTGGCCGTGTGAGTCGGGAATAGCTGTTTAAAACCCGATTTTCAGCAAAAGGAAAGAGGGAGAGCTGGGTTTTTGGATCCCAAACACCCAAGGGACGAACCAAAGAGAGAAAGGGCGATTTGAGGGCATTCTTGGAGTAGAGAAGGAGGATTTCTTCGCCTTGGAAGCTTGAGGAACAAGCCCGGACTTGAAGACTGATCATCTGAAGATTCTTACTGCAGTCTCTCTCTTCTCTATGGAGTAACTTCCCTTCACTTAGGTTTTGAGGAACCCTAGCTATGTTTGTTTGATTGGATGATTGTATGAGTACTCTGACTTGATAATCTTGAGTTCATATTCAATCTATGCATGTTTTCATGATTCAATTCTGCTTTAGTCGAGATTATTGATTCTGCTTTGATCCTATGAGAGGGAATACCTGATTAGGTCAATAGAGCACCATAGATTGATAGTAGTGGATCGATTGCTTTAGTCAAGGGTTGATTCACTGCTTTGTATCGATTGAGAACCTCTTTCGATAGAGGGAGTCTAGTTCAGAACGCCTTGATCAGTTGTTCTAGAGAAGGATACGTCCCTCTAGGCAATTGACTCAAGAGGGCCTTGTTCCTTTAGTCGAGACTCAAGGTCTAGTCAAGGATTCTCCGCATTGTGAATGAAAGTGAAACAGGTTAGAGATCATCAATCGTTAATCTGGCTAGTGGCTAGGGGGAATCATACCTAAGTGAGTTCCCAACCTGTAATTAGATTAACTTTAACTGTAGTTTGCTAGAGTAGTTTTAGTTCTTTCATCTTAATCTGATTTGCTAAATAATAAACTGAAGCTGAGTAATAGTAACTCTAGAGACCCGTGGATTCGATATTTATCACTTGAGCCACTATACTGCAGTCCCTTTTATTGGGTACACTTGGCCTTTGTTAGGTGTTGTGTTTTAGAGCATCAAAAGCAAACTTGCGTGATCTAGCCTTTGTACTTGCCTTTTGCGAGCTACTCTTTTGATATTTTATGCTTGTTTTTTTGTATTGTCTAGAATCACTCAATGTAGTCAAAAGCGAGTTTCTATGTATAAACGTTTTAGTTACCTAGAAACGTAAAATTGTAAGTTTTTAAGTTTTAAAGCGCGATTTTGACTACATTGGAATCACTATTACTAACAAATGCGCGTTACAATCTAGAAAGAAATTAAACAACTAAAAAATGAAAATTAAAACATTCTTGGCGATGTTTAAGAACTTAAAACATGTTTGGTTGATTTTAGTACAAGATAGAAATTATATGTATGTGACTGTGTTTGAATAGCAACTCTAATATCACCTGATAGGTTCTAACTCCTAGGCTTGAGCAATCAGAAACGCAACAAAATTCTATTAGTAACACAACGAACAAAAAAGCGAAAAATAACTCGAACCAAAACCATGGTTGGGTAGAGGGTGAAGTATACGAAGTGACTCCGCAACTAGGATGATTGGCTGATTGATAACATCAGGGTCTCCATATGTAGGCTTGATGACACGAATGGACAAGAAAGAAATCAATAGCTCAATAATGAACACTAAAAAACTAGGGTTTCAAATTGATAAAACTTGTTTAGCCTGTAGGCAAATCCTCTTATATTTATAAAGGTTACTAAACAATGTATCTACCGTAATTAACCAAAAATCTGACTCTTACTAGCTATAGAATCCAAATGGCAAAAGGAAAAGGAAACAAGAGCAAAGACCCACCCAAAAGTTTCTCCATTCACCAAGAATGACTTAACCATCAAGTAAACTACTTTCTTCATTCTGTTGAGTTGGGCTCTTCTTCTTGGACGTGGAGATGTTGATTTCTTGGCCAACGAACAATTTAGATTCCAATGATGGAAAACTCTTGGCCAAATAAATTTATAGTTGTGATTTGAGTGCTTTGGTTTGACTTCGAGTAATTGAACCATTCTCTTGGACAGTCTCATCTCGCATCAACGTTGGAAGTATATCAGTTTTGGTGTTGATGCACTCATCAAAGGGAACCAAGCTTTTGATTGAAAAAATCGACTTGAATGAATTAAATTGACAACTATCAGGTTACGATTAAAAGGTCAGGAAATACGTTGCTCTCTCCTTTCCTCCGCCTGTCTGAAAATATAGTTGCTTCGGCTTTTTAGTCTCTTATATTCGACGTTGACTATAACAAAAACTTCTCTGACACTATATAAACCAGTGTTTGTAAAACATACTGATCTTATTGCAAAAAACTTCTATAAGAGCCTAACCGATATGTGGGTTTTGACGGTACAAAACAATTGAACCTTGAATAAATCACAATTTCAACATGTTTCAATATGATTTTTACAATCCTTAACATTATAACCCACGGGAAAGTGAGCAACAACCAACAAAGAAGAGAAGAAGCGAGCTGTTTATCCATTTTTCCATTTACACGAAACTAGCAGAGCGTAGAAAAGGACGATACGCAGAGTATAGAAATTTCTGCCGTGGCAGGCTGATGAACATACAAGTGTAAGCTTACTGTCCTCGGTAAATGACAGGGATAGAAATACATAGTGAAATCAAATTACACATGGCGGTGATTGGGCTGGGGAGGGAACTTAAATCACACTGATATGTGGACGGATCAAGTGAGGAAGATGATGGATGGGTCGCAGCAGCACTCGTCAATGAGGCAGCAGCAGCAAAGAGCGGCCAGACTTTGTCAAACCAGGCAACCAAAAACAGGGGAACTCATTCAGCCACCGGAAACAGAGGAAAACGTAGACAAGGCTTTAAATAAATTTTAAAAAAAAAACTTGATAGAATTGGAGCCCTAATGCTTACCATCCTTCAAGGAAGCCAGTCTGCTTCCTCGGCGGCGGAGCGGCGTACTGTGGTGGCGGCATCACCGGCGGCCCTTGATAGTACCCTGCAACCATGTAACCAACACCAGATCAAAGCTTCAGAAAGTTAGTAAGATAGAAATAGAAAGCGAAACAATAGAAAAGGCGGGTGAAGAAGCAATTGAGTGGAGGTGGAACCTTGAGCAGGGTAAGGTTGGGCGTACTTGGGATCGCTCATTTCTGTTGTTTCTTTTAAGGCTGAAGGATGAAGAAGAAACGAAAGAAACAGTAGGGAAATGGTGTATTTGGTTTCAATTGAGAAACAAGGCTGATCATCTTTCTACTCTTATATGTAAATAAAGAAGGAGTAAAGAACCTTCCCAACCAAATCCACTTCTTCATTTATTAATTCTGCAGATTTCTAGCACCTTCTGATGCTACAACTTGCGTGTTCCTTTACAGGAAAAAATCCCAAGTTACACATGTTTTTAAAAAAAATTCTCAAAATACACACGTTATGAAAATAATTCCCAATCTACGTTAGTTTGAGCCATCACCGCTGTCGACGAAGACAGTGATTGCATCACTGTTGTCGACGAAGACAGTGATTGCATCACTGTTGTCGACGAAGACAGTGATTGCATCACCGCTGTCGACGAAGACAGTGATTGCATCACTGCAGTACACGGCCGCGGTGAAGGCCTGACCTGCATCGAAACTTTAAACAAACGTAACTTTGTGCTCGGTTATCCGATCGTAGCAATTTTTTTTTATTCCGCATAATTTTTCGAGATCTTGCAAGCCACAAATGGCCATAGGCGGTTTGGTCCCGCCTTCGTCTCGAAAATATGTCGTTTGCTACCCCGAACGAGCCTTTTTTCGATTTCGTCAAACTTTGAATGACCATAACTTTGTGCTCCACAATCCGAAAATCATGATTTTTTTTTATTTCGCATAACATTTTAAGGACTACAATTTTTATCATAGACATATTTTCGGAATGTACTTGGATTCCTGAAAAGGAAGGTAAAGTTATTCCCAAAACCCCTTATATCCATAAATAATTCATTTTTTGAAAATTCTCTCCTACTAAATATTTTAGTCCTTAAAAATTTATGCGAAATCAAAAAAAAATTCATGATTTTCGGATTGTGGAGCACAAAGTTATGGTCATTCAAAGTTTGACGAAATCGAAAAAAGGCTCGTTCGGGGTAGCAAACGACATATTTTCGAGACGAAGGCGGGACCAAACCTCCTATGGCCATTTGCGACTTGCAAGATCTCGAAAAATTATGCGGAATCAAAAAAAATTTTGCTACGATCGGATAACCGAGCACAAAGTTACGTTTGTTTCAAGTTTCGACGCAGGTCAGGCCTTCACCGCGGCCGTGTACTGCAGTGATGCAATCACTGTCTTCGTCGACAGCGGTGATGCAATCACTGTCTTCGTCGAAAGCGGTGATGCAATCACTGTCTTCGTCGACAACAGTGATGCAATCACTGTCTTCGTCGACAGCGGTGATGGCCCAAACTAACGTAGATTGGGAATTATTTTCATAACGTGTGTATTTTGAGATTTTTTTTTAAAAAGATGTGTAACTTGGGATTTTTTCCTCCTTTACAGGCAGTTGTTTGATCTAAGAAGTTAAGAATTTATTATCCCATATGACAACCAAAAAAAATATATATATATATCCCCTTTTCCCCCGATTTCGATTTACTTAACTAACACAATTTTCTAGCTAGTGGCTAGCGGGCTAGTTTTTTTTTATAGGAAGCCTGGGTAATAATATTAAAAAGGATCAAACCTGATCCACAGAAATACAACCCGAGTCAGTCTCAACCATACACAATAAAGTAAGGGGAGGGTCATCAACCCAAACCACCTGATGATTCCAACCTGAATCAGAGTGGGCTAACCAATGGGCCAGAGAATTAGTCTTTCGTGGCGAAAATTCCCATTTCACCTTCACACCAGATATAGCTTCATTCTCACCTGCCATCCTCTTGAGTTCATCGCACCAAATCCCAATCTCTGTGAAATCATCCTCCCCTCTATTCAGTAAGTTCACCAGCACTTGGCAGTCCGACTCAATGATCAACTGGCTGATGGATCTCCGATTGGCTTCACGCAGATCCATCATCATCGCCTTTGCTTCGGCTTCGATCGGACGACAGATCCCCTTCTCTCTCTTCACTGTTGCTCCAATGAAACCTCCCCTCCAATCACGAATAATGGCGCCCAATGAAACCTTTCCCGCGGGGCTCTGCTCTCAAGATGACCAGAAAGGAGGGCCGAAGCAGGGTTGGGTTGAGCTTCCAGGTAGGAGGACAGTCACCCCAAAGCTCGAGGTATGATTTCTTCTTCTTCTAGCTTCCGATTATTGTACTTGTGATTGCACCTCTCCTTCCATAGGGACCACATAATTGAGCAGAATCTTTGGACTTTTTCTATGGATGAATTGTTGAAGACCTCTTTAAGCCAGTCGATGCATGTCCTTCCTTCTCCCATCTCATACAGGTCTTTTTCTACACAATTTCTCCACTGCCTTCGGACCCAGTCGCATTCGCGCAGGGCATGCATTTGGGATTCTGGAAGATTACAAAAAGGACAGTCCGGAGCAGCATTTTCGATCCACTCCTCGATATTGACACCAACAGGTAAGATGTTCTTACTTACTTTCCATAAGAAGATCCGAACCTTAGGTTGAATCTGAAGCTTCCACAGGGCTTTCCAAAAATCTGAATCCTCCATGTTTCTATTGTGAAGTCGGATCATTGTGTGTTGTTGTTGACTTCGAACATAGTGGTATGCAGTTTTTACTGAGTAAGCCCCATTGTCAGTAGCTTTCCAGACCCTTGAATCTTCCATCGGGGGGGGGGGGGGGGGGGGGGGAACGAATAGGGATTTTTTATATTAGTTCTTGATCACTTCTGGAGAACAAATTCCTCAGCTTTGATTCATCCCATCCACCATAAACTTCATCGAACAGGGCACTGACCTTTATCTCAGGAGTTTCCCCATCAAGGGGAGGGTCAGCCTGGTAGAAAGCCTTTCCCGGGATCCAAGCAGTACTTTTTAAAAGTACAGTGGAATGTTAAACTGAAAAAATGTAAAATTATTAAAAAGAATTTATAATATAAAATATGAATAAAATTTTTAAAAATGAAAAGTAAAATGGATTTTGTTGGATTTCTAATATTATTTTATATTTTATCTTATTTTTCAAAATAAAATTAAAATATTGTAAGAATAATATTGTATTTTCAAAACGGTTTTTCACCGGTCAAGAAATTAAGATAGAATGAGCCAAGACTGGGGTGGCACGAGGCAGGGCGGGTTCGCAGTAGATACTCATGCCCAGTGGCGTAGCCAAACTTTGAGTTGACTAGGGTCCTTAAAATTTTCATAGCACTAAATTCTGTGTATGTTATGAACTTTGAGTCGATTGGTGTCCTTAGATGAGCTTTCATCAACGAGAGTATGAGGTCTTACATTCGAAAGATTATACAAAACCCATGCATATATTTTAAGAACTACCGCCAACCCTCATCTTATTTCCAGCAGAAGCAGCAGAAAACATGCCAAAATCACTCTGTGGAACCTCAAATATATGCAAACAAGTGATTTTTCAATGTAGACACAAAGAAAGAAAGTTACACGACTCAGATGGGCTAACTAGGGGGTATGACACACTAGGACATGCAATTTGGTCGTGGACTAATCCTATACCTCTATCATCCTAACTAGTGGCAACGTGAATGCTACACATCATGAAAGAGGGATCTATCACAGAAGAAAGAAACGAGCAGACTCAAATCTCACATGGCTACCTATATGCTCTATCTCTCATTCTGATCCCCTGAACTAGATGCATAAATGAATGTAAAAAATAAGTGATCAATCCAAGTCGCAGTTGGTAAGAAAATAGTTGAAAAATTGAACCCCTACACAACTCTACTGCACGTCTTAGTCATCATTATAGGTTGCCCTAGTCACCAAAGATGTTGTCATGCATCAATATTAACAGCCATTACTTAGAGTAACCAACGAGACACTCCATGTAATGATCTTCGCAACTTGCATTTCACATCCGCCCCTCACTTAGAGTAACCAGCGGGACACTCCATGTAAATATGCTCCTTAAGAAAACCATGCAGAAAAGCATTCTTCATGTCTAGTTGAATGAGCAGGCAATTCTACATAGCAAGTATAGCTAAAAATAACCCCAAACTGTCTACATCTTCACCACCGGAGTGAAGGTTCTTCATAATCTAAGTCAAACTCTTGACGAAAACCTTGTGCTACCAAACGCGCCTTATAATGATCCAACATTCCATTAGGATGCAACTTTATTGTAAACACACAATGACTACCAATGATAGGCAAGTCATGTCAGCTGGGAACAACATCCCAAGTCTTGTTGGCTTTTACGGGAAACGTTTCTTGCATTGTGTGATCCTAGTTTGGATAACCCTTTGCTACATGATAGTTAGCTGGGATGGGTACTGTTGTAGAAGGTGGCTGCTCCATCGTAGCACGAGTCCATCGGCGAAGAATGGGTACGGGCACTAGCACGTTGATAAGTTTTTGAGCTAGCCCATCTCCCGAGGATGAGTGATGAGACGAGGTTGTAGAAGATGAACTTGGAGATGCTTTGGATGATGATGTTGCGGTATGAATGATGGGGGAAGATGAAGATGATCCCAAAGAAGAGGCGATGACGAAGATAGTAGCGGTGATGGCGAACCAGGCGTACCAGGTGGGGTGACAAGAAAATGTCTGTCATTCTCTTTATGGTTGGATACCACCGCGTGTTGTGAAAAGGAATCATATTGCAAGAAGAGTTAAAAGCTTAGATCCGCGAACGTATGCTCCTTTGATGTCGTTCAATAAAACATAATTTGCTCAAGAAGAAAAACATGACAAGAGATACAAAGTGTTCTAGCAAAAGGATCATAGAACAAGTATCCCTTGTGTCGTCAGTATAACTAATGTACACACATCTATCTGTCTTATGCTGTAACTTGGTTTGCTCCTTTTTAGGAAGTAAGACAAAACAAATAGAGCCAAAGACACGCAATGAGTCATAATCCGAAACCTTCATGAACAAAGGTTGATAAGGAGACTAATTATTAGGATGGAAAAAATATCTGTAAACATGGACATCCGCCTGAATCTGGTCTAATCGGGTAAGGTAAAACCCGAACCCGAAGGATATTTAGTGGGTACGAGTAAAATCCGAACCCGAATATTGCGGGTAATGGGTGGGAATGGGTTTCTCACTTTCCAACTAGAACCCGCCCGATTATACACATGCATATGTATTTTATCTATAAATAATCATTATTTTTCTCCAACATATTTTATATTTAGCATATAAATATAATATTTTCATGAAATTGTGTTATTTTAATTGATTTTCTTCATTCTAGTGAATTATTGTCGTACTTTTCCTCTTACGTAATGTGAGAATACGTGTGAATGTTAACATATTGGTTGGAGTTATGAAGAGAAATTATTACCCATAAAAAAACCATGAATACCCGAAACCCGAACGGGTATGGGCATGGTTTGATTTTCTACCCGTTTCACATGTGGGTATGGGTATAGGTAAAACCCGAACTATTTTGGGTAGGGTAACGAATATGCACTATCCGCCCCCGACCCGACCCATTGCCATCCCTACTAATTATCCAACATCGAAGTAATTTGACAATTAATAAGATATACTTCAGTATGCACTACTTTCGCAAAAAACTACTCAATATAGAAGATTGGAACAAGATAGCTCTGGTTAGTTTAAAAACATGTCGGTTCTTGCGTTCAACTACACCATTTTGTTGAGAACCCTCTGGACATGACTATTTAATAAAGATGCTATGTGTTTTATAGAAAGAAAGCAAAGGATTTTATCTTAATTCTCCTCCTTGATTGTATCGAATAATTTTGACGCCCTTTTGAACCTGAGTCTTAATCATCTTAATAAACTCCACAACACATGACATTAGATCTGATTTCTTCTCCATAAAATAAAACCATGTATACCTAGTCGTATGATCAATAAAGAGAGCAAAATAGCAAAAGCTAAAACATGAAGTAATTGGGGATGGTCCCCAAAGGTCTGCGTTCATAAGCTCAAAAAGTGTCTCATAAATCGTGGTCTAAGGGAGAACGAAGATTGAGTTTTCTTGGCCTCTATACAACTCACACACATAGTACAAGAGGAAGAAGACAAATCAAGCTTGACAGGTAAAATATTATTCTGTAACATAATTAACAATCTTGTTGAATGAGGATGCCCTTAGCGACGATGCCATAAATCCCAAATAGCTGTCTTAGTAGAAAAATCTAATGGTCTAGCAGAATAACCAGGAAAAATCATGGCTAAGGCTACGAGTATCATTAAATTCACCGCCCCTATGTTCTCTAGGATCGAGTGCTCCTACTGTCTTTTTGAACTAATCCAACACAAAGACTCGACCCTGCTTTCATCCTCTACCTATCACCATCATGGTTTTCTGATACTGCGCCACACACCCATCCATATTAAACATGACATCATACCCTTCCTCGATTAAATGGCCCACGAAAATGAGGTTTGATACAAGCTTAGGAACATATTAGGTATAAGATAATTGTGGTACCCACGCCCCAAACAGGAATCCGAACACCATTTGCGACTTTCAAATGTACATCAATAATCAGTTTGATGGATGAAAAATAACAAAGGGATAGAGACATATGATTAAATGCAGTGCAGTCCAATAACCAACAAGAAGATTTACTTGGAGCAGCACCAATAGAGAATGTCGAGGTGAGAGCACTAAGAAGAACCTCCCGAAGCGCCTCCTGCACCAACCGACGAATCATCTCGGCAAAGAAGGAAGAGGAATTCCATATGAGGAAGCACGCAGAGTAGTAGCAGAAGACACGAGAGACTCGTCAGCATCATAACTTAGCTAGGAGCAACTACTACTAGTCTTTCGACCCCCTTTCCATCAATGAGCCAAAGTAGGGAAATAAAAAATGATATGACCCCATTGCTTACAGTAGGAGCAGAGATTATGTTTTTTTTTTCAATGAGTCTGGATATAACCAACCTCATGAAAAAATGACAAGTGAGAGTACTATAAATGCAATGATTAAATTGAGGCCGAGAACCGCTAGATTTACCCACATTCCACAACAAAAGAAGACGAATCAATGGATGCAAGATTATCAATCGCAGCCTGACACTTGAGATGTGTCTCTTTGCGAGCAAGATTAGAGAGAACCTCATAAGTTAAATTCACATTACGATGAAGAGAAGAGGCACAGATGGACTCAAACTCAGGTCGTAGCTTCATCATAAATTTCATAAGACGAGACCGAGCACACTCATGGTGTACTTCAACAAATGTCACAAACGAGAAAAGGGAGGCAGTTAATAGGTCGTGTTCCATCCAAAGATGTAGGCACGCATGATAGAAGGTACGAATATCACGATCGGCTTGAGAAATAGTATTAAGTTCTTATTCAACCTAAAACCGCCAAGAAGCATCAACCGGGGAGTGAGTATTACAGATGTGAGCCTACATTCAGTTGTCGTCAAAAACCAATGGAGAGTGAGGGCAGTCAGCAGATCGACAGAGGTATTAAGCCATGAGATGATTTGAGCATTACCCACTGCCCAGTCGTCGATCTCCTTCACAGGCACTTCAGGTTTGGAGGAATTCGTGATACAAATGAGGAAAAAAAGCCGGAGCAAACAAAAAAAATACCCGAAAAAAACCAAAAGAAGAAAAACACGCCAAGGAGCTAGGGCACGAAAAATACCTATGCAAGAAGAAGACTGCATCAGACGAAGGTTACACGAGACGCGTTCTAGCTCACCAAAGATTGGACCGAAAATAAGACGAGATTAAAATTGCCAGGCTATGATACCATGTCAAATTATCAAACTATAAACTCATAGAATAACACACAAGACTATGTTATGTGGTATCGTCATATTGACACTAGTCCATAAAGATGATCTCCCTCTTAGGTTTTAAACTTATATGGATTAATACGTTGTTCTCAACATGTTACAATATTTATAAGGTCTCACAAACTAACCCTAAACAAATCCTCGTCCTTATGGTACACAACTCAATAATAATATTCTCTACAATTAACCTCTTCTTCCTACAATTTTCTTATCAAATTCAATCAGTTCGTTTTTTTTATTTACAAAAGATAATCATATATTGATTCACAAAGAAGGTAGCTACATCCTGGAATTCAGCCAGGCCTGAATATCAAATAAACGACTTATAGTCAGGGACAACGAAAGGGCCTTTCTAGCCACCAAACGGGCTACCCTATTGTTACGCCGACCTACAAATCGCACACTAAACCCAAGATGAAAGGTAAAATAAGACACAATTCCTTTAAGAATAGCCTCCATCCGATTATCACTAGTCACTACCCGATTGATATTGTCAATGATTACTTTGGCATCGCCCTCAAAGCTAACTTCTGTGAACCCGTGCCCAAGACACCAGCTAACAGCCTCCCGGAGTACAAGCAATTCAACCACCATAGGGTCATCAATGCACGGCAACTGAACCCCAATAGCCACCAGAATCTCCCTGGATGGGGTCATAAGCACCATCCCTCCTGACGAGTGAGACCCACTCCGGATAACCCCATCCCACATGCACACCACCAAATTAGTCCCCCAGAACTCAAGTGATATGTCAAAGGGATGAAAGTCTGGATAACTTGGTCCACCAGCAAACTTATCCATTCCTCCAACTGCTGATTAAACTGTCGCATCAAGGCAGGGATCCCAAACTGTTTTTCCTCAAAGACAACCCAATTACGAGATCGCTAGATCCTCCAAAGGATAACAACAACCGCCATGAACAATGCAAGTTGATGTATGAGAGACATCAACTTTTTAGAAAATGAGAGAAAGTATGACGAGGCAACCCTTGACCAAGATATTTCAGCCCGAATGATCCCAAAGAGGATGGGTCACAGGGCAATAAAGAAAAAAGTGTTCTATTGTTTCTGCCTCTGCCCAACAAGCCGGAAATCTAGGATGCACCGGAACATCCTTCTGAATTAGGGCTTCTGTTGTTGGTAGGATCCGATTAAAGATTTGCCAAACAAACACCTTCAACTTAGGTGGAATATTGGCCTCCCACAAACCAATTCAGGTGGTCATATCCATCCAACTAGCCATTGCTCTCCACCGTTTTCCCGCTGATCCAATAGGACAGCAAGATGGTAAGCCGACTTAACAGAAAATACCCCGGCAGCCGTGTCGTGCCAGATTAGTCTATCCGCTTTTGACGTGGGAGAGGAATAGCTTTTATAGCCCGGCAGGTTGGCGGGTCAAACCACTGGCTGAGTTTGGAATCACACTGCCGCCCTTCCCTAGAACAGATAACCTCAGTTACCAGCGCCCCCCCCCCCCTCCCCTCCTTCAGAAAGCACCAGGGGATTATACCTTGGTGGAGAGGGATGTAACTGAGGAATCCAGCTAGAATGGAGCAAAGAAGGCATCTGCCCATTACCAATATGACATCGTATCCCCATCTCTAGCAACTGCCTGCCATAATCTGCCAACCCCAAGATGGGAGAGAGCGCGCCGTAGCAGTGAGGAAGGTTCCAGTAGGAAAATACTTTCCTTTGTAGACTTGAGCTAAGAGGGAGTGAGGCTCATTAAGGATACGCCAACCAATCTTGGATAAGAGAGCCTGATTAAAGTGCTCAAAATGACGAAATCCCATACCCCCATTATGCTTACTTCTACACATATTGCGCCATGACATCCATTGAATCCGCAACTGGCCCTCTTCAACACTCCACCAGAATCTGGCCACGTGTTTATCCAAGAGCCTACACAGAGATAGAGGCAACTTGAAACAGCACATTACATGTAATGACGAAGCTAAAACGACAAATTTAATCAAGATCTCCTTAGCTGCCCAAGATAAAGTCTGCTGCTTCCATCCCTGTAGTCCTCCAGCAATTTCAGCAAAATGTAGCAATCTTAGAGCGGGCTATCAGCATAAGTAATCCTAGGTATTTATCATGGACCCCTATCGCCCTGAACCCCAAAATCTGGACCAAGAACTCCTGATCTGGCAGTGACATATTCTTACTAAAGCACACCGCCGATTTAGCCAAGTTCACCCTCTGGCCACTGAGTTCCTCATACTCATTCAAAACTTCAATCAAATTCTCACATTCCTGGAGAGAGCCTCTAAGAAACAAGTAAGAATCAACCGCAAAGAATAAATGCGATATTCGAGGAGCTCGAGGAGCCACCTTTACACCTTCAAGTTTTCATTCTGAAATGGCCTTTTTGAAGAGAGCTGCAAACCCCTTCGTGCAGAGCACAAACAACAGAGGAGATAGCGGATCCCCATTGCCGAAGTCCCCTGGACGGCGTGAAGTAACCCGACAGGGTACCATTCATTAGAACCAAAAACGAAGTTGTTTGGAGGCATTCATGAATCCATCCTCTCCAGGTTGAGTTAAAACCCATCTTCTCCAAAACCGCAAGGAGAAATGGCCATTCGACTCTATCATAGGCCTTTTCCATGTCAACCTTAAGAGCCATGTACCCTTTCTTACCTTTTGTTTTGATTTCTAGGTAGTGCATTAACTCATGTCCCAGGAGAATGTTCTCTACTATTTGGCGTTCACGGATAAAAGTATTTTGGCCTTCCGAGATTATATGTGGCAAGAGACAAGCCCGTCGTTCAGCCATGATTTTTATTATAATTTTGTACACAAACTTGCATAAGCTTATTGGACGAAGCTGTCTCATGGTTTCCACAGTATCCACTTTGGGGATGAAAGTCAACCAAGTATGATTGAAGCTACGGAGCATCTTACTCGTTGTGAAGAACGAGCAGACCGCTTCAATCACCGAATTGCCACCAATATCCCAGAAGGTTGAAAAATTTGCCAGTGAATTCATCAGAACCAGGTGCTTGCTTCGAGCCCATAGACAAAACCGTTTTCCTCACTTCACAAGGAAGGACTTCAGCCGTAAGACTGACGTTCATTTCCGGTGCAATACTCTGGGCTATGGGAAGATCACCCACTCTATCACCCATGTTCCACACCTGGTTCTCCGAGGTGAAAAGATTGTGATAAAAACTACAGGCCATGTCTGCCTTCCCAGTCTCCTTAGTGATCCATTCACCAATATCACCACGAAGGCCTGCCACAAAGTTTCGTTTTCTCCTTGTCCTCATAACCGTATGGAAATAAGAAGTATTCGTATCACCTTTCTTTAACCATCGGACTCTAGATTTCTGCTGCCAATATATTTCCCCAGCCTCCCATTGCCGATTCAACTCCATTTCCAGGATTCGGATCTCATCCCAGTCAATAGGATGTAATAATTTTATCCGTTCGATTCCACTTGTGGCATTTGAAAATCGTGTTGGATGGTTAATTTTAGTCCCGCAGAAATGTCTTCGCTTCTGCCAATTCCGGCCGCCAACCAACTCGTCTTCTTCGTACTACTGTCTACTGCCATATAGAACTCTCTGCCTGCATTCCTTATCACCATCCCAGACCATGTTTCTCCGGGAGCAGTTCCTATACATAACCTTGTGGTGAGTAACCATGCATAACTCAATCACCATACGCCACATCAACACCCCTTCTCTCTCCTGTAAAGCCTTTATTTTTTTCACCCTTAATCTTTAACGGACGATTTTTCACTCACTTTAAAGTCTCAATTTTTTTTTTGCACAATTAGATCAAATTAATTGTGCTCTTCAAAATGATATCCACTTTGATATATTTTTGGAACAAATTTTTTTGCCATTTTTTACCAGTATACACCATATGATATTGATTGGTATTAAATAAGAGCATACCATATGGTATGTAAAACCTTACCATGGTGGTATGAACATACCAAGACTGTAGGATGATTGAATACATGATAATAGGAATATACTAACTGTCATTTACGACTTTCAACATTGTGTACCACAAGATACCACCCCATACCAGGGTGGTATTGGGTGGTATGTTTTGGTCTTGTATTTTGCTCACCCAAAAATTTGTAGATCCAATAGATCATGATGAACTCGTTCCTTCTATGATTTTTTTTAAATGACTTAAAAACGAAGAATATACCATATGGTATGCAATTGGTAATGAGAGACAAGAAAAAAAAATTTTAAAAAAATATTGAAAATTGATCTGATTTTCTAGTGCACAACTAACTCGTTCCATCTGTGCAAAAAAAAAAAAAATAGAAATCCGAGTTAAAACGAAGAAGATATGAGCCGATTAAAAAAACAAGAGAAAATAAAAATGTATTTAATTTTCCACCATGAAATCTGGATTTTTTGTGCCCACTTTAATCTGATGGCTGAGATTTAGTTACTCATGGTGAGTAACCATGAGGTTATTCACGGGAACTAGCGCATGTTCCTTCCATTAGTAGTATGGCAACATCTACATTGACCTTGCGCAACCATAGCCTTGACATTTCCATTTTAATGGTGCTTCAGATAATCCTTCATGTATGATTGAGAACGTTATATGACAGGTATTGTTCACATGATTATTTATACCCTTTACTCAATTTTACCATAAGTTAATTTTCTCCTATAGTCATTTGTAAATGTAATTTTTTTTGTTTTTCATCTCCTACACTCAATTCCACCATATGACATTTTTTTTCGTACAGTTAGCTTTTTATGTTTTTTTTTTCAAAAACCATTATACCATATTACATAAATTTAATTACTTCAATTATACTATGTAAAACTTAGGAGATATAGTCATTTCTTGTATCTCAATAAAAAATATAAGTCTTCTGCAATGATTAAGACACTAAATAAATCTTATGAAGGATAGTTATTTCTTAAGTATTAATTAAATAAACATATTACTAAATCTCCTTGTACTATAAATTTGATAAAACATCATTTATTAATAACTAAACTGTTAACTATCTTATGAGTTTGCATTACACAATTTTTTTAATCAAACGTGATATTTTCTTATAACTTAATTTATTTATTATCAGCTAGAATATTCGCTCTCATAAATTGCGTTACACAATGGTTCCATAAGGTAGGTTAACTTTTACATAGAGGTGGCAATGGATAGGATTCGTGGATTGGTGGATCCATGGATCAAATGGATTGGATCCAATGGATTGGTGGATTCATGGATTGGATCAAATGGATTTGTGGATTGATCCATGAATCCAAATGACATCCAAGGCTTGGACCAAAATGTAAATTTTAAAAAGTTTAGGTACTAAAATGTCAAAATGAAAAATTTTAGGTACCAAAATATAATTTTCTAATGATTTTTTCGTATAAAAATATAAATTTTAGGTACCAAAATGTAAAATATAAAAAATATAGGTACCAAATCGCAATTTACCATTTGGATCTATGAATCCACCAATCCAATTGGATTTAGATCAAATGGATTGGATTAAGTGGATAATTTGGTGGATGAATTGGATTCATGGATTTGGATCCTAATTGCCACCTCTACTTTTACATAATATAGAGTAATAAAATGTGATAATTTGATCAAATGTGATACTTTTTCGTAACTTAATTGTATTATTAAATCACATATTACGAAATATTTATGTGATATCGTTCTATAATAGTTATGTAGATTACAAGTACATTATGTAAATCTTATGCATGGATAATATTTTTTATGTATCAATTCAACAGACGTGTTATTTAACTCTTCCATAATGATTAAAATACTGCATAAAGTTTACGAAAAAATCTTACGAGGAAATATTTTGTGAATTATGTGATTTCAATTAAAGTATTAAATGAGTGGTAAATATAATTAGTTTGGTTCGCGGACAAAAACAACTAGTATATCCCATTCAAAGTTTTGGTTGCTAATTTTTGGGCACATATTACTGTAAGTTTATAGACTTAATTTCATTTTTTCTAATATATATTTGTGGGTTCTATACTTTTTAATTTTTATTATTCTTAATGGCAGTCATATGCTCTGTTATGCTATGGCCACTAATTCGTAGATGGTAGACCATGTACTGTCAAAGCGACTTCTTTAAATAGAGGCTTGAGGAATCTTGAGGATGCTAATATGAAAAGCTAGAAAGAATGAAGGTTCTGGAACTGAAAGATGAAGATTGGCAATAGAGAAGTTACTAGCCTATACCCCGGCTCGTTGGTCGCATTTGTTTAAGGAAATGGAGTTACAATATCTATAATGATAGTGTCGAGAAATGAGTCTTGTTTTATATTATCATAAGATTGTTGCAATTTTGCAATTCGTTGAAGACGAACATGTAATATGAATGAACATTCATAATAAGTTAGAAATACATTTGAAGATTAGCTAATCACAATAAAAATACTTACATGAAATTTTACTAATCACAAATCTAATCTAGTTGAGTATTACGTCAAATAACATGCAAGTCCAAAATAAGAAAACTCAATACATTGTCTCATTGTTCATGACATGGTACTCAATTCAACAAAGGCAAAAATAATTTCACCAACACAAGTTCACAATAACCAAATGCATCGTTCCAGGGACCGACTGTGACCATGACTTCAAATGTCTGTTCTCCAAGCATGTTCAGAAGGGCCATATAGTCAGCATTGACAACATCTGCATGACTGAATACAGATTCAACAATCGTTCGTAACTGTGATGACGGGAAGACGATGTCAACACCAATGAATTCGTCCTCAATTGTGAGGTGGACGAAATGGATTCTGGATGCAGGGGACCAGGACGTCGTCAAATTCGTTACACGTCCGGATAACAAAAAAGAGGTGCCCTGATGTAAACACAGAAACGAATATTGTCAAAGCAAATCGATAAAATGCAGCATGCCACAAAAGGCGTATGATTAAAAAGAAATTTATTTGTTTAGTTACCTGATTTTCGACATCCACTTGCAACATAATGAGATCGATGGTGTCGGCACGCTCACAAATTTCAAGAGCATCATCATATTGCAGATTAGCAATAAAACCATGGGGAAGCCTATATATTGGACTGTAAGTTTTGGCATTAAGTAGTGAAAAAGAATCGAAATTACATGATGTAGTATTTGTTGGATGCATGAGCAGTACTTACTGATTGAATTGAGGCAGGCCCGCCATATTGAATGCAATTCGCACGATCAATGGAACCGAAGTGTTTTGTATGGGAAGTAGTAAACGGAAATTGTAACATGAGAGAAAGTGGTTACTCCATTATATAAAGGAGAGAAAGTGATTCTACACACGTGATTTACTTGGCCGCATGCAGTGGAGTACGTGTGTGTGTGGAAAGTGGGATAGTGGGGGAGTGGAGAAGGATTTGTGGCCTCGTGGGGGAGTGGAGAAGGTTGGCCATTTAGAGTTCAAGAGGCGGGTGTGTCACGGAACTCACGACCCACCTTTTTTTTTTTAGGGGAACGACCCACCTTCTTAAAATCAAACATGCGCCTTCCTTTTATTTTGTTGCAATTAAAAATTCAAAAACAAAAGAAGGTAAGTACAGAATAAAATATAAAGAGAAGAAAAATCAGTTCACTTTTCCCAAAAAAAGACCTAGCAGCCGCCCAAATTATGCTTTTTCAGTTTTAATAATTCTCACTTTATTCTTTTATCTCTAATAAGTGAAACAATAAATGTAAAAAAAAATAATTGTTAAGTCTACCAAGTAAGTCAACACCGATTTATGATCGGTTTTTAATATCGATTAACCACCGGTTATTTGATAAACCTTGAACCCTTTACTAATCCGGATCGATGTCCGGTTCTGTTTTAACAACTTTGCTAATTGCGACTGTGTCAACAATTCTTGTCCAAAATTGCCTCTCAAAGTTTCTAATTATTATTTGATGCGCCAACCCGGCCGGCCCGGCCCACACCACCACTAATTAACATGAAATGAAAATCATAATGAATGTATTTAATAAAGAAATAATGGCTTGGAATGCGGCAGCCTTCACCTCATAGAAGATCCAAAAAAATCGGATACTGGGCAGTAGAGGAGGTGGGGGAGTGGGGGAGTGGAGAAGGATCCGCCCAAGGTAGTGTAGGTTGGCCTTTTTTTTATGGGAATAAGTTGGCCATTTAGTTTCAACAAATCCGGCTGGGCATTCCCTCTCTAACTATATTTTATTTAACTGAACCATGCTTGGGTTGTTTTGTGGGCTGGGTTGTGGTGTTAATTTAGTTTAGTTCAGTTGCGACTATGGAAGTTCTTCTTCGTATTGCAATATAACGGTCACACTCGCATACCCTTCGGTAGAGTAAATTGAGGTACAATTAAATATAAAGTAGTGTGCATAAATCACATTTCATATAATTGGCTGTTAAAAACAGGAAAATAATTTGGACAAATTGAGAACTCAAGATTCAAATTGTAACGACCCGATAAATTTGACAGTCTTAGTCCTCAAATCGAATAAAACATAATACATCAATAAACCACTACTCAAAAATCTCAGTGAACACAATGTTCTGCATAGTCTTCACCGGTTTACCTTGAGAGTCACAGCTAAGAATCTTGAGTCCCCTTTCCGATGTAACTCGAGACATAGCAACATACAACTGTCCATGAGAAAATACTTGTCTTTGCAAGCAGATGCCAACGTGATTTAATGTTTGACCTTGACTCTTGTTAACTGTCATTGCATATGACAGTGCAATTGGATATTGCCTTCGAACCAGAGTGAAATTTAAGCTCTTGTAGTGGACCGATAGACTTAGGCGTGGTAAGAAAACTGTATCACCAACATGTGTCCCGGTCAAAATTTGGACCTCAATAAACCACTTACCTAATCTCTTAACGATCATCCGAGTTCCATTGCAAAGCCCAGTACTCTGATCCAGATTTCGAAGCAGAATAACAGGGCACCCCAACTTCAATTTCAACTCATGTTCCGGAAAATTCCCAATCTTTAAAGAGTTCAAGAATTCAACTGTTTAGTCCCCTTCTTCAACATGCTGATTCTTGGCATCAATCTCTAGCGAATCCGAACTAAAATAAGAAACTTCTTCACCAGGAAATAGACCCAATACATAATTGTTAATGGCCGCAACAGTGTCATTATGAGGGGCTAAGATAGCTCGCTCAACCAAATAGGTTGACATATTTTCAGTGGAGAGTAACTGACCATATATTTCAGCAACAATATCAGGAATTGGATCACTGCGACGGGGAACACAAATGTGTAGAGGTATCGGGATAATTGATTCTCCAAAAATATTACTATTTGTACCATCATCAATTTCCAAAAGCCATTTGCTAAAATTTGAGATTGCTAACCTGGCCGATGCTTCAGAATGAGGCAATTTTAATCGCATGTTCTCGGTTAGCTTCAATACTGTCATAGACTGCCACAAATAAGATCTCTTTATGGAAGAATTAACAATTTCAGTCCGTGTACCCTTCGTGATGATAGGTAACGTCTGTCGGAAATCACCTCCAAACACAATAGTCATACCTCCAAAAGGCTTCAACTCAGAATCAACATGCTTAACTCGGAAAATATCCCTCAATGTCCTATCTAGGGCCTCTATGT